AGATTCGCTCCTAGTATGTTGACAAAGAAACATACCCATTGAGGGATTACTGGCAAAAGCTCCTTCCCTTTCTTCTGCTTAAGGAGTTCTGACAGGGAAGCAAGAGCTTTAATCTGTTGAAACAAACAAATCATAATCAATAAAACTCAGAAGAACAGGTCTTATGTAGTCAATTGAATATCCAGGAATGCCATTACCTTTGTTGTAGGGTCTTTCCTCGAAAGACGTTGCAAGTGTTGAGCTACCTCACTATCCGAATCCTAGAATCCATCCACAAAGATGAGAGACTTGGCAAATCGGTAGGAGGAATTAAACAAAGAGGGGGCAAACATACCAAGAAGGGAGCAGAGTCTTCGTTTGACAAAGAAGTATCGAATCTAAAGCTGCCGATATAGCCGCCAAAACCTACGGCGGCGGCTGCAGAGCCAGACGGCAACAGAGAAGCTGCCAAGCTGTTCAGAAAGCTCAATTCAGTACTGAACCAACGAGGCATAGAGTCGAAAAATTAAAATTAGGAATCAAGGACGAAGAGCGATTGATTGAAAATTCACCTGCTGCTGGAAGGACGAGCCTTGCTCCTTGCAGCATCTCCTTTGGGTCTGCCCATCTCGTTCTACTCTAGACGGAAAAACGGGAAGAGAGAGAGAGAGAGAGAGGGAGGGTCTGATCGGTCTAGAAAAGGAGAAATTAGAGGTGGAAGTCAAGGATCGGAGGGATACGGCGGTGGCAGTACGGTCGTCGCCGTCGCTGGTGCAGCTAAGATTGTTTGTCGGGTAGAAATTGTGTCGATTAGTAATTGGGTTTTCTTAGTCAGGCCCAATTATTGACAGCCCAACTAGAAATGTACTTTTAAACTAAAAGGGTTCCAGCCCTGAATATCTTTTTTTTTATATCGTTTACAAGAATATCATTTTTTTACAAGTAATTAAAGTCCATATAATTTTCTTGTAAAAATTAAAATTTAATTACACCAATTTTATTTCTATAACCTCAAAATTTGGACCAATGTTTTGTGGATCTTGGGCAAATGCACATCTTGCATATGTTTAGATGATATAGTTTTGTAATACATGTTTTCAAGATATGTATACGGTTGATGTGGCCGGGCCCTCGACACATACATATGAATTTTTATGCTCAAATTTAATGTGATTGATGAAAAAAATATTAAAGTGTATTGAGAGACCTGCCTTATATTATAAGAGAATACTTTATGGTGTAAGCTTTTTACTTTTGATTTTAACTGTAATAACTTTTTTAAAAATGTGGTTGAAACTTAAGAAAAAAAAAACAAAAAATTAAAAGAAAAACATAAGCAAAACATAAGCAAGATATAAACAAAATAATAGAAGAAAACATTTTCATAATTTGCTTTCGTTCTTAATGTTTTTCGTAATCATTTTTGATGGTTTGATTGTGTTGTATGTATAATGGATAACAATGCAATCGCAATTCAGAGCTAATAAAGTTATATAATTTTTGTTGTGTCAAAGGTTGGAAATGATATGTTCAAATTTAAAACACAAGAACAAAAGTGTATATGATTATTAATGAGAAATTGCACTACAAGTACAAGAAGTACATAAATGTGAATTAACAAAACTCTTTTCCAACAGCAATAAGAGAACATTCTCAACAAAAAAAAAAAAAAAAAAAAAAAACTAGAGAACATTCTCTAATGGAGTACAAGCAGAGGAGTATATGTGTTAACTCTCATTCTGTTGATGATCACGATGATGGGAGCTCAGGGCCGGCTAAACACTGACTTCGTCTACTCGGACACCTGTCCGTCGACCGTCACTGCTTCCTACCGTGGTTGAGCGGGAGGTGGGATGTGAGCCCCGCATAGCTGCGTCATTCTTCGTTTGTTCTTTCACGATTGCTTTGTCAACGTATGTAACTAACCTTGTTTTCTTTAATTTCTTTTGTATTTTTACGACAACGAGGAATCCAACAGTTTATATTTTCTACCAGTGCTGCCCCTTTCATAAGACCATTAAAGCATTAGCTTTAGTCGACACAATATATTCAAATATATAATACTACATACAGTAAAACCTCTATAAAACAATAATGTTGGGACTTTGAAATTTTATTATCTTATAGAGATTATTATTTTATCGATAAAACAATAATTATTATTTTATAGAAATATTCTATCAAAAACAAGAAACTTTATAGAAATATATTTTTTCACTTTTTTATTCAAATTTTCCTTATACTTTGTTATTTACATATTTCATGCTCAGAAGTTCAAAATCTAGAAGAAATTATGTCTATGTTCTTAATGGTGAAGATGAAGTTGAAGATGATGAGGAAGGACATGTGCAAGTAGTTAAGCAATTGTGGCTTCGAGAACTCTTCACAACTTTTGGCTGCATGTTGAGAATACACCACCAGAAATTGTAGATGCAATAAGAAAAATTCGAGATGAGCTCCAACGGGAATCCAACTTTCAGAAAAGACAAACTACATTGGAGTCATATTTTACTAAATTGTCTTAGATATATATGCCTTAGTTTTATAATTATTATCTTAGCTTATTGTTGGGACTATATTTTTACATAGGAGTTTCAAAAATATTATTGTCTTATCATCTTATCGCATTATGCTATTTTTTACATTGGCCCGAGTTGGGACCGGAGAAAATTATTATCTTATAGTGTTTATTGTTTTATCGAGTATTGTTTTATAGAGGTTCTACTGTATACCAAAATGTTCACTTGGCACAATGGTTGACTACAATGGTTGACTAGTTGTTTTGTTCTTGTAAGGTGTCTTCAATGTTTATTCTTTTTTTTTTTTTTTTTTTTACGGAAATTGCATTTCATTAATGCCCAAAAGGGCAACATTACATGGATCATCGTATAATCCAACAACTTAATTTAAGCCTACCCATAATGATATGTTTAGTAACAACAAAATAAGGCAAATATTGACACGTGTCTTAACACGTCTTAACACGTGTACAACGCAAGTTGAGGGATGGAAAACGCCACCGACTCTTCGTCATGCGTCGCCGGAGGTAGCTTCGATGAAATCTGATATCGTCCGATGATAACCACCGAAATTAGCCTCCTTCTTCGAGATCCATGCTGCAACTTCCTTTCGCAAACCACCGGAGAAGAATTGATCTATATTGTTTCACCAACTTAACTGAAACCGCGAAGGATTATTTGTAGAATACTCCTCAGATCACCATCAAAACCGACGAGAGCCTCTAAATCTACATATTCCAAAACAATCACTCCGAATCATCTTGACTCATCAATCAAAGAGACACCGTACTTTTCCACATAAGTAAAGATTTATGCTCAGTTAATTGATGAATCAAGTATTGGGTGAAAACAGAGATCAAAATATGACCGGAATTTAAATTTTTCAGAACTAGCGAAAGGGGAAGACCGAACTGAGTTGGACCGATCTCAGTCGGTAACACAAAAACACAAAGGAAAAGAAAACAAATCCATCCATAGACAAAATCTATGGTAGAATTATTAAATCCGATCAGATCGGAAGAGAAATCGGTCTAAGCCGAAAGTATAAACAAACAAAAAATGGCAAAAAGCCATAAACTTAATCTTATCTAAACAGATCGGAAATCGCCCTTTCAGATAGGAGTGAGAAAAGAGAGAAGGGTCCTTCGTCTTCAATGTTTATTCAAAATCTAAGTTTATACAATATTTGTTGGAAAAACCAAGTGTTGTTGTTTTTTAAAAGAAAAGGCTTATAACATAAACTATAAAAATCAGAATTTTTTTAGAAGAATTAAAGTCAGAAAATTTAATACGTAAGGGTCATCATGTATCAGTTTTTGGCATTTTGCTAGGATTTTATTTTTGTTTTAAATAAAATGCTTCACATTTAATTAGCTAAAAAGTTAGGAACAAAACTTTTTATAATAAAAGGTCTACAACTCTTCATTTTTCCCGAAATGGCCTTCATTTATGATTGGCTTAGCCTTGCTCCCAATGGTCTACAATTCATAGAAGATAAATTCAATAATATATGGTGGCAAAACGAGAGCCGTTAGATGAGAGAAGCAAATCTTTCTGACGGAGAAAGGGCACAGAGAGAGGGACAAGTGGCCCTCTCTGCCTAATTACACCATTAGATTTCTCATTTTACATGCGTGTGGACCCGCCATTGCCAACAACGTTTTAGCTTCATTTTCATCGATTTTTTTTTTTCTTTCCTTCTCTCCCAAAACAAAAATCAGAAAGAAAGAAATAAGAAGAGAAGGAGCCGCTCGTAGGGGCTCGGAGGCGGATAGAGAGATCTGCTCGTTTTTTCGTTCGAGATCTCCGGATTCATTTCGAGAATCCAATTCGTCTGAGGTTATTGTCTTACACCAAGAACTATTCTGGAATTCAATTTCATATAAATTGTTTTGAATGAATCGTCGATTACGTTTTGAGTTTTTAGATTTTCTTATGCTCTCTGATTGCCGATCTATGCCTTCCTTCTATATATAAAGGAAACGCGGTAATGGGTGGAGGAAGGTAACCAGAATGATCCGTTCTGTTATAGGGCTTTAGCCTTTAGAGTTGTTGATTGCGTTTTAGGCACTCGTGATCGATATAGTCAGCCTTTTCATTCTTACTTCTGTTTAGCGAAAGTCTTATTCATTGGATTGAACAACAGCAGCTTTAATTTTCTGGAATTTTTTTTAAAAACTCCTCATTTCCGTGAGCAATGTTATGTACACTGATTGTGGTAATAAGTGAAATCTCATTGCTTTGTTTGTTTAACTTCACAGGCTCAGACTCGGCCAAGTTTCTCAGAGGTGTATTCAAACCGCTCTGCAATCTACTCGGCTCTCTGTTTCCTTGCTTAGAAAGAAACTCAGAAAATGGTGGAAGATGTGTCTTATCCCTAAGGCATTATTAGCTGCACGAGCTCATGAGGTCATGACTCATGAGCTATCACAAACTCCGAACTAGCTGAAAAACAAGTACAGTTGCTTTTTTTGCTTGCCTGCGTTAAAATCTGTAGATTAGATGGAAAACAAGCCGAGTGTCTTGACCGATAAGTATGAAGTCGGGAGGTTACTGGGTCAAGGAACTTTTGCCAAGGTGTATTTTGGGAGGAGTGTTGATACTAACCAGAGTGTTGCTATCAAGATGATAGACAAGGAAAAAGTCATGAAAGTTGGGCTTATGGAGCAGATCAAGCGAGAGATCTCTGTCATGAGGATTGCTAAACACCCTCACGTGGTGGAGCTGTACGAGGTCATGGCAACGAAAACAAGGATCTACTTTGTTATGGAGTATTGTAAAGGCGGAGAGCTCTTCAACAAAGTTGCTAAAGGGAAGCTGAGAGATGATATTGCTTGGAAGTACTTTTACCAGCTTATCAACGCGGTTGATTTCTGCCACAGCAGGCAAGTGTATCATCGTGACATAAAGCCTGAGAATCTGTTGCTGGATGATAATGAGAATCTCAAGGTCTCTGATTTCGGGTTAAGTGCTCTTGCTGATTGTAAGCGTCAAGATGGTCTCCTCCACACTACTTGCGGTACCCCTGCGTATGTTGCTCCTGAAGTGATCAACAGAAAAGGATATGATGGTACAAAAGCAGATATTTGGTCTTGTGGGGTGGTTTTGTTTGTTTTATTGGCTGGTTATTTGCCTTTCCATGACTCCAATCTGATGGAGATGTACAGGAAGATAGGGAAAGCAGATTTCAAGACCCCAAGCTGGTTTGCTCCAGAAGTGAGGAGGCTGTTGTGTAAGATGCTTGACCCCAACCCTGAAACTAGAATCACTATCGCAAAAATCAGGGAGAGCTCTTGGTACAGGAAAGGATTACATATGAAACAGAGAAAGATGGAGAAACGAGTCAATGAGACGGTAAACTCCGTGGCAGCTAATGGTGCAGGTCCAAGTGAGAACGGAGCCGGAAACGGAAACAATACAGACGAGCCTACAAGTCTGAACGCTTTTAATATAATTGCCTTGTCCTCTGGGTTTGATCTGGCAGGACTGTTTGGAGATGTGTACGACAAGCGAGAATCTAGATTCACATCTCAGAAACCTGCTTCGGTGATCATATCTAAGCTGGAGGAGGTGGCACAGCGGTTGAAACTGAGCATAAGAAAGCGAGAAGCAGGTTTGTTCAAACTGGAAAGTTCAAAGGAGGGAAGAAAAGGAGCCCTGTCGATGGATGCGGAGATATTCCAAGTGACGCCAACGTTTCATATGGTGGAGATGAAGAAGTCTAATGGAGATACTCTCGAGTATCAGAAGTTCGTAGCGGAGGATCTTAGACCTGCTCTGGCAGATATTGTGTGGGTTTGGCAGAGCGACAAAGATGAGCAGTTACTTCCTGTTTCAAAGCAAGAGACAGAGCAGCAGGAGGAGCCATTGTAGATTTTTGAATTTTGTTACTATTTTTCAAGCTTTTTTGGATTTTCTTAACTGATATTAAATGGTATATGGAGTTTCTTACATTTTCGTTTGTGAAGAAGAGGAAAATTCCTGCATATATATAAAGTCGTTTTTTCAGAACTGAGTGTGGTAAGACTTTATGGTTTAGAACTTTTAATTGCTTGATCTTACTGACATTATAACAGGAAAGTACGAAGTTTTGTCGAACATAAATTTTAAGCATCCTCTGCTCGAAACTGGGAAAAAGGCTCGACTTTTATTGAGATTTGGTGGTGAAGACGAGATCTATAGTATATAGTAGAGATACAATATGCGATTTTGGTGTTGTCCATCGCAACAATTAGACAGTTACAGACAATGGAGAGAGTAAGAAAACTCAAGAAGAGCGTTCGGGATTGGAACAGAGATGGTTCCAGAGATAGCGGCCACTTGCCATGTCAACGCATGTCCAGAATCCAGACTTCATTGCCATTCCCACCTGAGCCCAGAAATGAGAAAAAAAGAAGAAAACCCATTAGTCCCAATTTAGAGAGAATGAAGATCGGAGGAAAGAAAAGAAGAAACCTTTGAGAATCTGGAGTCGGAGTCGGAGTCCTCGGCGGGATCAGCGTCGGTGAGAGGGTCGGCGAGAGGGTCGTCGGAGGTAGAGTTGAACTTCTTGAGGACGAAGAACCCAGCGAGAGTCGCCGACAAGAATATGAGGATCAGCCTTAAAGGACACATCTCCTTCTTCTCTTGCTTTTTTCCAGTTGATGAAGGCAATGAGGAGGAGAGAGAAGGAGGAGTTGATGAAGAAGAGAGAGAGAGCTGAGGAGGGAAAAAAAAAGACCAAATAAAAAAAAAAGAGGAAAGAGGAGAGAAAAATTCAAAGGGTGCGGTTGAAGAAGTGTCGAATTAGGTAGGCCACTCCCTAAAGTTATCTCTGAATTTCAACTTCAACACCTAATAACATTATTATTTGATTTTTTAAATAGAAAGAGATTATTCTTCTTAAGAAACAAATGATCCTGATATTCTGTTTGTTGACAATTAAATTATGATGATTAAAGAAAAAAGTGAGTGGTTTTGGTAACCTAATCTGTCAGAACGTGAAATACAATTATATGTTTATTGTGATGGCTTTTGACATACAAGTAGATAACTAAACAAAAGGAAGATAACCAAAGTGATTGGTGACACTTTTCACTATCCTTAGTCGGATCTTTCATCATTACCATTCACACCATTGCTTCCTTATCTCAACATTTTGACTTCCTCACTTCTCTCCCACAACAGAAATGTCTTTGTTCATCTCCCCTTGTTTTGCCTTAAACAAGTATTCTTCTTTGACCCTGTTTAATCACCCAAGAACAAACAAAAAAATTATGATTTTGATTGATCATTGTTTTACTATGGAAATGGGTAAGAGACAGTCCTGACCTGGCTTTGGGGGATTGTTTTCTAGCTTTGAGAACCTAAAACTTTGCAAACCTAGCAATTCTAGCAAGCGCAGTTCTTAAGCTTCCTATGCCAGCTCCTGATCTTGAGCTAACCATCATCTGTAATCATTAAACATTAACCACTTCTTTATTAGGTCTCATTATCTTCTGCAGCCAATAGAGAAGCAAACACAAATTAGCTAAGTCATATTCATACATACCAGAGGCTGGACAATTGATCTGTTTGCCTTCAATTTCTGCATTGTTCAAAGAAACATAAATGCTAGTGTAACTAAGAGAATGAACAAGTCTTTTTCTCATCACTTCATTGTATTCATTTAGAGCTTAGTGACTAAGACCTCTTCGATTTGCATTGCTCGGCGTGCCACATCCATTGGGAAAACCACATCTGTCTTGGTTAAGACTATCTGATACTTTGTATTTGACCTGCAATTTCAGTTTTCGGCTGTAAGAACACTTGACTACATGACATAAACAGAGAATCAGAGATTAAGAGCAGCATCAATGATTTTACCTCTCCATCAGACTAATAAGTTCATGGTCTCTTGGCTTCATACCCCATTTCGTGTCAACAAGAAGGCATACTCGTTTAAGACTAGTTCTTGTTGAAACATATTCTTTTACCTACATCAATCAATGTTAAAGAGATGGGGATCATTGACCTGCTTAGTGACACAAAATGAGCAAGCAAAATCAACATTCTAAATTCTAGTCAGAGGCAGATGCTCACAAGATCTTCCCAGGCTTCCTTAACTTCATCTTTTGCATAGGCAAAGCCATAGCCTGGCAAATCAACAAGGCGAACCTTCGGACCAAGATCGAAAAAATTGATGGTCTGCAGTGAATTAACAAACCCTTTGTTATTACAGGGAAAATGCAAGCCGTACAATTGAGTGATTCTCAGACAGAGGAATACCTGGGTCAGTCCTGGTTTGTCAGATGTCCTTACAACACCCCACTGTCTGGTAAGAGCATTCAGCAGAGACGATTTGCCAACATTTGACCTTCCTGATCAAAATTTAGACACCAAAATAACTCCACTTTTTAATGAAGTTCTCTTAAACTCAGAAAAGGTTTTATTGTTTGACATTTCTACGATCCTGGTGGAAACAAAAATTTGAGTGAAGTACCTGCAAACGCAATCTCAGGTACATCAGGAGGTGGAAATGACGATGAAACATTTGCAGCAGCAAAGAACTCCATTTTATTCCTAAATATCTGCAAATAGGCAATTGCAACATTAGCTTACTAGACTAGCAGGACAGGCTATTATCTTCAAGTCTTAGGGAACGAGCATGAGGGAAAAAGACATACACTTTCTTCTATACGCTCTCTGTCCGTGCTGGTAGACTGAGGAATATTATCCAAGGGAACAGAAAGCTCTGTGTTGTAGCCAGCCTTCTTTAGCTCAATCAAGCGTCTACGCCCCAACAGCTGCAGTAAAATGTATGTTACGAGTCAGGTCATGAAAAAATATGAATATAGCGTAAGATACCACAAAGCTCTGGTCATATAAAATTACATTTTCTTCTACATAGGAAAGGATTGACTGACTAGGCTGAATTGCCCGAAACTGTGCATTTTGCGACATCTCTACACTTTTCTCTTCATTGTTCTTCTTCTTTTCTTTAACACCTTATGAAACAAAGGAAAAGAAATAGCAAGTCAGGAAAGCAGCAATTGAGATGTAGCAAATGAAGCTGATTTATACTCAAGCACAAAGAACTAACCATCAAGAACGATATCATCATCTATTCTTTTATTCGAGGTATCATAAGGATCAAGTCGTATCCTCTTTCTCTTCCTCGGTTGATCCTCCAGACTATCTGAACCATCGTCCAAGACTCTCTTGTCTGCAAATCCTTTCCTTTTAGCCCTAAATGACGGCACATTCAAGCTTTTCCTTCGGCTCACATCTCCATTTCTATCCAATTCATCTCTCTTCCGGTAGCTTTGCTTCCCAGTAGCATACTTTTCACCATCCCCTCTCGGTGACTTTGTTTTAAAACCACCTGTTGTTGCAGCTTTAGCAGCATCTTTAGTGGTTTTCAAACTAGAAGTAGAGCGTTGGTTTTTCTTTGAAGGAGCCCACATTGTGCGTGGGATTTCGTTCACATGGTTATGCTCAGTGAGCTCAGACTTAGTGGCGTAGACCCTCTTCTTCTTCACATACGAAACCTTGGTTTTACCACTATTCCGAGGGGTTGTGTCATCATCATTTCGGCGAGCACTGGATCTATTGCTTCCTTTATGAGTAGAATTAGAGTTGAGAGATGAAAGCTTCAGTCTTTTCTTGAGCTTATGACCTAAAGCAGTATCTAAAGACATTCTGTGATGATCGAGCTGAAGTAGAACAACTACTGTAGCATCACCAACTCAATTTACCTGCAATTAGAAATAACCATGATGCCGTTAATCATTCATCAGTGTAACACTTAAGCAAGAGAGAGACTTCCAGAGAGTGAAATGGATAAAACCCAGAACCATCATCACTAAACAACAGAATCGAATCAATCGAATTCGCTTTAAACGAAATAGGACTACGCCAATATAATTGGTTGAAACAAGGAGAAAATTTGAAACCTTTGCGGATTGTGCGACGAACGCGATCAGAGAGGAGCTTGGATAATTGGAAGAAATGAGATTCCAGGGTTTAGCACTCTGCTTCTGTGTCTGTGACTCTGAGGGTTTTGGAGTTGATGTCTCTTACTGGGCTTTTGTAATAATGGGCTTTTTTTGGGCCTATGATGAATTGTTGAAGGAGAATGATTGATTGTTGACTTGACATCATACTAAAATTAGTAGTGTTTGACTAGAAAAGAGAGTGTGGAGTTCACGTCATATAATTGTGGGATCCATGATTACCCTATTCGAACAGTGTTAAGTAAACTTTAGATAACTCATTTGTTTGCTTCTTTACAGATTATGGATTGTGAATGAAGGTGACAGAGAGAGGTGGCATTTGGGGAGGGACAGACAAATACAGATAATGATTGCCAATTCAAAAGAAATGCTTTGTTGTTTTTGGAATTAGTCTTGACATGGAAGCCACTCTTAGCTTTTGAATGCTTCAAGGAGCGAAATTTTAACTAAACCCCTTTTTAATTAACCACTTTTATTTTTTCCTGTTCTGAAAGAGACAAAACAGAGGAAAAGAATAGAGAGATAGAGAGTGGACTCCAAATTGAATTCCCTTTAGCTTCTCTTTTTGCTTTGGACAGAGCTCAAAATCATTTGAGAAATGAAAGAGATGAATCAGAAAATGGGGACTCACAAGTTCAGATTTTCAGACATTATGCCTCACTCATGGCTCTATAAGCTCAAAGGCATCAGCAGAAGTAGCAGAAAACACCTTCCTTCTTCTCCCAAACACCAGCTTTCTTCCTCTGATGCTTCTACCTCAAGAAAGCTCCGTGACTCTCTTCGTCTTTCTTCACTTGCTCATCATCATCCCCAAGCTTCCTCTTCACCCCCCAAATCTTCTTTCAAGAGAAAAACCAAACGTAAAACCGTTTACAAGCCTTCCTCTAGGCTCAAGCTCTCGTCCTCCTCCTCCTTCAACAACTCTCATGTTTCTCTCACCACTTCTCGGAATCATCGCTCTAAATCATCCTCTGCATCAAATGCAATCATTATGGAGCCTTCTCTCAACTCTCATGTTTCTCTCACTTCTTCTCGGAATCATCGCTCTAAATCATCCTCCGCAAATGCAATCTCTGATTCCACAGTTGGAAGCTCGTCAGATCCTGTGTCAATACCTTTCTCTGGCGTTTCTAGTGATCCTGAAACACATTCAAATGACATCAAGGACGAACACTCTGTGAGGAAGCTCGATGATGTTTCAGAAAACTCGAGTCCTGTTCTGGTTGAGACTGTAAAGGAACCACTCATTGATATAAGGACACAGCAGAAGCTCAAGAAACCGAAAGCTCGTTCTTCAGGGATAAAGATTCGTGCAAATTCACCAAAGATCGCAAGAAAGAAGACAAAGGGATCAAGAACGTCCCCTGAATCAAAGACTGCAGAAAGTTTTGCAATAGTTTTGACTTCGGTGGATCCAGAGAGAGATTTCAGAGAATCAATGGTTGAAATGATTGTGGAGAATAAGATGAAGGAACAGAAAGATCTTGAAGATCTTCTCGCTTGTTACCTTTCGCTGAATTCGAGTGAGTATCATGACATTATCATCAAGGCCTTCGAGAAAACATGGTTTCATTTAACTCACCTCACCTGAGGACTTTCTCTGTAACCAAACAACTTTATTGAACACACATGTAACTTTTTACATTTTTGAACCAGCAAGTTTTTTTCTTTTCACATTACACTATAGATGATATTACATGAATAAATTTTACAGTATTGTTTCAAAATACTTGAGAAACTAGCGCCTTGACCTCCGTGGATTCCGGGAAACAGCATAAGGTGACTGAAACCCAACTGTTTCAACGTCTCCAACAGTTCTTATCATCCTTCTTCTTCTAGCTTCTTCCGCCAGCGACCGCTGCTGTAACCTGCTCTGCACGTTTACAAGTGAGCGGTTTCTTGGAAGTGTGCGGTTGTCTGAAGCCACTCTCCCGTTACTCGAACTGGAAGCTCCGTACATGTTGGCTTGTCCTGACTGCAGATGAGAGCTTTCTTCGGGGCAAAACCTCGTGACGTCGTGAGTTCTGGTCATCACAGCTTGCTGGGAGCTGTTCTCATCAACAGATACGTAGTTGAGGTTGGAGTAAGACCCTGAATTGGAAGAACTCTGAGAATGCGTCTCATCGTGAAAATCATCTGCAGTTTTGATTTTTCTCTCTCAAAAACACTTTGTATAAACATCACTACACACGTTTTAGTCTAATGTTACTTTTACATACCTTGTAGCCAGTCTTGACGGCCTCGTGCCATGTAGTTAGAGAGTGAAGCGTGGGATGATGATGAATGCGAGGAAGAAGCGTGATAGGTTTCATCATCTTCCTCGAACCTCCAACCAGGCACCAAAGAAGAGATGGCTCCATCAATCATTTTAGCAATCTCGAGTGGCTCCCAGTCTGTGATGTCGAGTTCTTTTACCATCTCCGTTGCAACATCAATGGAAGTATCAGTCATGGTGTCAAAGGGGAAAGACACTTTTTTTGCCATACCTGTAAAAGAAAAAAGAAAGAAACATTTATGTGACTGAATAACAAAAAAATGATCAGCTTAATCAACTACTGTATGTCCCTTTTTCTTACCATTTTCATCTGCAAATAGCACATCCAGTTGGATTGTGTTATCTTCTGCGTTCAGGTTCCCAGTGATGGACATCTGTGTCCTCCCTAACTCATCATCTTCCAACGCGAGTGTTTCCATTTCATTCTCGTTCAAAAACGGCCTTGGATTCCCAGCGCCGCTGGCGTACACCATCCATGACTCATCAGAGGCGAGAAATGGATCTTGCAATAGCTCTTTTGCTGATACTCTCTTTGAGGCAGGGACAAGGCATTTCCCGATGAACTTCTGTGCCTCAGTGTCTCCAACTCTGTAAAACGCTCCCGGTAGCTTTCCCTGGAAAGAAAACATTATCAGGCTCATGCCAGTTCCAACTGATAGCTTCATCCATTAAGCTCAGAGATCGAAAGACATACCGAGACAACTTTCTTGTAAATCTGCGCCGGATTGTTGCACTCACTATACGGGAACTCAGAGGTGATCATCTCCAAAAAGCACATCCCAAAGGAATAAACGTCAATGAGTTCATTGTAGTTCTCTTCATATAACTCTGGAGCCATGAACTCGGGAGTGCCTAGGCAAAAGAAGCACAAAGAAGTCTGAGCATATGATCTTGACAAGTGAGAACAAACGATTTTTTTGTGTGCTACATACCGATGACACTATGGGCAGAGTGGCAGTCCCGGAGCATTCTTGCAAGACCAAGATCGCCTATTTTGACTTGCCCAAGATGCCCATTAACAAAGATGTTATCACACTTGAGGTCTCTATGGATAACAGGAGGGTCGTGCTCGTGGAGATAAACAAGCCCTTCCAGGATCTGCCGAGCCCATGACTTGATTGCTCGGATATCTATCCGCAAGTACTTGTTTTTGTATCTGCACAAGAGTAAGACAGAGTCATACAAAGCAAAAAAAGTGAGTAATATTGCCATAAGAAAAAAGTGTTAAGAGAATTACTGTCGGAGGGTCCCAGAAGTGAACAGCTCCGTGATGAAGTTGAGAGTATGGGAATGAACATCGATCCAGGAAGTGTAGAAACGAATGATGGATTTGTGGTTGAGAGTGCTCAGGAGATGAACCTCGGAGTAGAGCCTTTGTAGGTCAACAGAGGAACGAAGAACCTCTTTTAGCTTCACCTGGCTCCATGCTACTTCTATTCCAAGCATCTCGTCGATTGCTTTGTACACTGTCTTCATCGCTCCCCTTCCAAGAACTTCTCCAAACTGTTCCAACATAAAACCAAAGTGTTATTACAAGAAGGTTTGATCGATGAACATAAGAGTTTGTCTCCCCCACTTACACGTCCGTAGCGACCAGTTGGATCAGTTTCCAGATACTCTAAAACTTGATTTCCGTTCATGGTTGACCAAAACTCGCTTGATGATCCCAGAAATGTTTTTGAGAGGAAGAGATATCTCTGGTGGCCAAAAGTCGTCCTACTTACTTCTTCTTCTTCTTCTTCTACCTCATCGAAGAAGGGTCAGCAGATAATATGTTGAACAGTCTTTGGCCTCAATCACATCCCCATTTGGTAATAGAATAAATAAAGACAAGAGCCGCAACCTTGCTTGCATCACATAAATTATAGAAAACATCAAAACAATATTCATTTTTATTTGACCCAATTGTAAAATAATATATATGTTTTTTTCTCAAAATCCAAGCTTTGTCAAATCTTTAGTTGCCAATATAATATACTCAAGCTATTAAGAAAATCACTAAACGTGTACCATTTTGAAAAACACATGGCTAAATAAGCTAAAAAGGAAAAGAATATGCCCTGCTTTATTTTGTCAACCACAGACACAGTTGCAAAGAGGATAAGAGTTTAAGAAATTGTGGTTTCTTGGAAACGCGATACTGGGGGAGGTTGCTTGAGGAAACTGCACGATTCAATCGAACCAATTATTAGTTTCGTGGACACAAGAAATCCAAAATATTGAAATTACCAAAGAGAAAAATAAAACGACAAAAGGTAGGGAAAAAGTCCGAATAGAAGTGGGGAACATGACGAGAATATAAGAGAATAGAGTGACAGTGACATCACCGTTGAACATTTACTTTTTGTTGGCGGCTACTTCCTTCAGATCAGCCCTCAAGTAGTTCAGGGTTTGTAATAAACTTAGCAACACATAGCAAATATGCATTCACCAATATCTATATTCATCACCTTACTTCGCTTTGTGTCTAAGGAAGGTCAAAATGTTAACAGAGGCAATCATATATCTAAATGGATATGGTATGCATATTTGACTACTGTTTTGTTCTGGTTTATATGTTACTTGACACGTGGAAAAGCAGAAAGAGAGAAATGGTAGGGAAATAAAGATAAGGATGGAATATATCACAAACAGGAGCAGCCGTATAAGTTTGACACTGACTACAACAGGTTGCAGCCAGAATTGTCACCAGAGCATATCATTATATTCTGCTCATTCATCATTACCATTCATTATACAAAATGTGAAAGACACTTTCTACACCAACTTCTCCGCAGCTGATATGTCACAGAGGCAAATCTCCATAGCGCAAGATTCCCAAAAAGATGTTACCTCTACCGAACTAAGTTCCTCCATTTATCCTTTAAATCCACCTACCAAGTTACAACCTTTTATATCACACACACTTACATATCACTTATTCAGGTTAACTGTATGAATGTAGAAGAGGACGTGCTCACCTCAGTCCTCTCTGCGAATACTGCAGGGTTTGCATTCTTTATATCTTTCCATGACTTACCAAAACTGCACAACGACAACAACAAATGAAAATGCTATAAACATATAACGTGAGCCAAGTTCAGGCTTTTGAAACTTGATAACAGAGTGTTGCATACTCTTTGACTCCTTCTCTCAGAGCTTCCACTTCTTCAGGCGTCCAGAATTTCTTTGGCCTTCTGACAGGGGAAGTTGCCTTCTTCAACGGGGATACATAAAGAGGTAGTGGGCTTGGTAGACGAGGCCGGATCCTGCCAGACCATGTTCCCTGACTACCCGAAGCTTTCGCATTTACATTATCCTGTAATTAAACAACTACTTCATGAACCAAAGAACAAGTCTTTTAAAAACAATATTGAAAGGAAAATTCACTAACGCTCACCGGTTCTTCCTTATGGTCTTGACTGCGTGTTCCAATCCTATTAACCTGAGGAGTGACATCTACTGAATGATCGATTTCGATGCTAGGTTCTTGCTCCTCGTCTGCTGCATGTTCTTCAATCACCGTATCGTTGTTAGGTTCTTGCCCTTTCCTAGTGGAACCATCGATGTGTGCTTGAATCTCTAACAAATAATCCTTCAGCTCTCGAGCAGCCGTTTTGTCCCCCTCATCATCAAGACTTGGCTCATGCTCCTCTTCTTCTGAACTCATTGTCTGCTCCTCCTCTAATGCATGTTGTTCAATCACCTTATCAAGACTTGGCTCATCCTCCTCTTCTTGTGTACTCATTGTCTGCTCCTCCTCTGATGCATGTTGTTCAATCACCTTATCATTCTCCAAACTTCCCACTTCTTCAACATCTCTATCCTTCTCATTGCCGTCCTTCCCTTCACCGGTTCCACGCCGCTCGCTGACATCATCAATGGTGTCATCCTCCAAAAGCCTCGTGCTTTCATCAACATCACTTGGATCCTTTCTGTTGTCAACACAATCGCCCTCTAAGTGGTTCTCAGCCTTGCGCTTAAGAAACCTCCTTTGAGCTTCTGATTCAAGAGAGGAGCTTCCAAGTAGTGCCCACTGTTCTTTGAGAAACTGAGTGAGGAAGGAAACGGCAGTGTACCTGATGTTAGTCACGCGAATCCGATGATAGAACTCAGGATCCACAACGGCCGTCGTCAGATCAGTCTCCCACTTCAACAACTCATCAGTCACCAAACCGCTACCACTCTCCTTCAAAACCCCAATCCGATTCGTCCATATCCTCTCGATGGCGTCGGTGAAGACGCCTTCCCAAGCAGACAATGGCCACATGAATCTAAGCGTGCACTCAGCAGCCATCCAGCAATAAGCAGTCTTGTGAGACTCCATGAGTGACGAATGTTGCTGCAACAGAAGCTTCTCTAGAGTCTCGAGTAAGTCAAGCGTTCCCTCGCCGACCGTACCTCGGATCAAGGAACTGGAGATGTCCCGCAAAACTGAAGATATCTTGAGATTCAGGCACTCCGGGGAATCTCCAAATTTCAGCGCCGAAAGTAGGGTTATAGGTGGAACTTTAGGATTTTGTTGGCGACGGATGAAAAATTCGGCGACCCATTTGTCGATGACCTCCATTTTTAAACTTTCGCGACGAAAGCTGAACCCTTTTGTTTTGTTCCCGTCGATTCAATTTGGCCGGGGAAGAAGACGAAAAGCTCCGGTAAGCGCTTGATTGGGGAGAATTCTGTAATGGGCTTTTAGTTGGGCCTAAAGTCAAAGAAGACTATTCGGTGATGGATGGCAAAAGATTGACAAGTGTCGTGAGCTGAGCCTTATCCACAGATTCCCCAATCCTCTCTTTGGCTTGGCGCGCTCTCTCTCTTTCTCCATAGTTCCCATTTCTGAGCTCTCTCACTTTCACAGTCTGTGTGTCTCTGTGCGATAATGGCCATGGCAGAGCTTTCAACCCCCAAAACGACGTCGCCGTTTCTTCACTCTTCGTCTCGGCTTCGCCTCTCCTCCAAGTTGCATCTTTCAGACCATTTTCGCCATCATCTTCTTCCACCTCTAACCACAACTCCTACCTCCAAAATCTCTTGCTCTGTTTCTCAAAAGTAAGTCGCTTTAGGCCTTCTAATTCCTTTCTTCACTCTATAAAAATTTCAACTTTAACTGATCAGATGCTTTTTTTTTGGAATCTATGATCAAAGTAACCAAGCTCCTGTTGCGGTTCAAGAAAATGGGTTGGTGAAGACGACGAAGAAAGAGTGTTACGGAGTGTTCTGCCTCACCTATGACCTTAAAGCTGTATGTTTTCTCTCTCTCTCTCTGTTTCCGTTTTTTCTTCTTTGTGCCTTCAATTTCCTCTAATTAGCTTAAAAATAAGTTATAATCAAATCTTATCTTGAGAGTTAAGAGTGTAGATAATCATCCGCTTCACATGGAGAAAATAGTATTTTTAAAGTGTTTTAAATGTTGTTAACTAAATCTGAAATCTTCTTTGAGTTTGAGCTACCAAATGTGTGTGGTTTGCAGGAAGATGAGACAAAATCATGGAAGAAGATGATCAATATTGCAGTTTCAGGAGCTGCAGGCATGATTTCAAATCACCTTCTCTTCAAAGTAAGTTATTCTTTAAGAAAAAATGTGCTGTTTCATAGATAGGGTTACTTACAATTTCATTGGTCTTACTCTTATCTTATGTAAACTTTGTTTTCCGGGGTGTAGCTTGCTTCAGGTGCAGTGTTTGGACCAGACCAACCCATTGCCTTGAAACTGCTAGGATCAGAGAGATCAGTCCAAGCTCTGGAAGGTGTTGCAATGGAACTGGAAGATTCGTTGTTCCCCTTGTTGAGAGAAGTTGATATAGGAACAGATCCATATGAGATTTTCCAAGATGTGGAGTGGGCTCTTCTGATTGGTGCTAAACCTCGAGGCCCTGGAGTGGAACGTGCTGCCTTGTTGGACATCAATGGCCAGATATTTGCTGAGCAGGGCAAAGCTCTTAACGCAGTTGCCTCTCCTAACGTCAAGGTCCTTGTTGTGGGAAATCCTTGCAACACCAAGTAAGCTACTTTCCTTAGTTTTTCATCATCTCTTCATCAACGTCCAATTTCTGAAGTGTACTTTTTTTTTCTTCTCATTTTTCTCTTCTGTCCAGCGCCTTGATTTGTCTTAAAAATGCTCCCAACATTCCTGCAAAGAATTTCCATGCCCTCACGAGGTTGGACGAGAATAGGGCTAAATGCCAGGTACCACAATTCACACACGCACATATATGTATAATGCATACATGTTATTGACGATCCCCTTTTGCAGCTTGCACTTAAAGCTGGTGTCTTCTACGACAAAGTTTCTAATATGACTATATGGGGAAATCACTCCACGACTCAGGTTTGCCTTAACTTGCTCTTTGTGTCATCTGTTGTTTCTCTCTCTCTTGGGACGTTTCTCTTATTTTATAGAGGTGAATCAGGTGCCAGACTTCTTAAACGCCAGGATTAATGGCGTGCCTGTGAAGGAGGTTATTACAGATCACAAATGGTTAGAAGAGGGATTCACTGAGAGTGTTCAGAAGGTAGCATGGCGTTTCCTCTGATATTATGGTGAGCTTCTGCAATGAGATATAACATTTGGCTGAGTAATTGCGTTTGTTTCTACAGAGAGGTGGCTTACTAATTCAGAAATGGGGTCGATCTTCTGCTGCTTCTACCGCTGTTTCCATTGTTGATGCTATAAAGTCTCTTGTAACTCCTACTCCTGAGGGTGATTGGTTTTCCACTGGGGTACATCTTCTTCTACACTTATTTTGGTAACAACAGGATTGATTGGTTCAAAATTTGATAGGGTTGTGTTAATGTAATTTTAGGTGTACACAAATGGAAATCCTTATGGTATCGCAGAGGACCTTGTCTTCAGCATGCCATGCCGGTCAAAGGTATGTTCTGTCCTTGATACTGTAAAAGCTTCTCTCTAGTGGTAGAAAATTTCTCTCAAAATTGAGTTTGTTTCCAGGGAGATGGAGATTATGAACTTGTCAAGGATGTAGAAATTGATGACTACCTTCGCAACCGAATCGCCAAGGTATAGACCTTCGTAAAGATTAGTCTTTTGTGGGTGTTGTTTCTAAATGCGAGAAGTTAAACTGAGGCATGAAAAATATTGCAGTCGGAAGCGGAGCTGTTGGCTGAGAAGAAATGTGTTGCACACCTCACTGGAGATGTATGTATCAGTCTTGTCTATTCAAACAAAACAAAACCATTTTGATACAAAGCTAACCTTAGTTGCTTCATGGATGTATGTTTCAGGGCATCGCCTACTGTGATCTTGGTCCGGTAGATACTATGCTTCCTGGTGAAGTTTGATTTTTGAAAGGGCGTTGAACATCTAAAGTAAGCATTCTCTTCCGGGTTGTTCGCTGTACAGAGCACACCCACATTACTCATGTTGATTCTTCAGAATAAGTGAATCAAACTCTTTACATTTTTTCTTCATATTTATGTGTGTGATTTCTTGATCCTATGCTTTATTTCAAAAGCATAGGATCAAGTCATATACAGTAGTGTTTGTAAACACTGAAAACGCTCCTATGCTTTATTCCAGTTCCAGAACTCAAAAATAGATAAATGCCATATCTAATGTCATAACACAAACTGTTCACAAATCTTATGAGCCTTTTTTTTTGTTTCTTTTTCGAAAACCAATCTCAAAACAGCTCTCCCTATATGTGTAAAAAAATAACACCAAAAATAAAGTTACAAAAGAGTATGTATGTGTGCTATACATAAGAATCAAGAAGCAAGAATGGAGGAAGGTCTCTTTGGTCGATGATGTCCTGAAAAGGCCTCGCGTAGTCTCTTGCACTCGTCTTTGCAGTAGTCCAACGAAAAACAGAGCTGTCTTATCACTTCCCTCTTCTCTTCTGCTACTTCTTCTAGCTCCTTCCTCTGCTTCTCTACCTCCTTCTCCATCTCTACTGTCCTACCGTCTTTTGCTTTCATCTCATCTCCAAGCCGACTCATCTCTGCTTCTATCTCACTCACCCTTTTGCTTAACCTCTCTACGCATCTATCTTTCTCCGCCTTCTCCTCTGTCAGCACCTCGATTTCTCCCTTAAACCTCTCCTCCTCTTCCATTTTCTCACTACTCACCTTTCTTATCTCGTCTTCAAGATAACGCACTTGTGCTTCAAGCACCTTGAACAGCTCATCACGCTGCGTTTTCTCCTCCAACAGCTTGGTTATCTCTGCTTTGACCTGCGCCTTCTCCGGGAATATCTTCTCCTCAGCGTCAGAAACTGCCGTCTTCAGATCCCTGATCTCATGATCTCTACCTGCTAAACTCGACTTCATCATAGACACTCTATCAAGCAGCTTCACCACCTCTCTCCTATCAGCACTAGACTTGTTTTTCCATGCAGCTGTCTCTTTCTGCGCCGACTCAAGCATGTGTTGCAGGCTCTTGACCTTCGCGTCATCAGACCTGCATTTCTCAACTTCTTTTCTCATGATACCGTTTTCTTTCTCTGCCTCCCTTAGCCTCAGGATTGTAACTCTCAGCTCTTCAGAAATGTCCATGTCTTCTTGAGTAGAAGCTTCCTCTTCACCATGTTCGTCATCCAGCTCTAACGGCAAGTATCTAGCGAGCTGACTCTTTAACATGTAAATCTGGTCTTCCGAGCTCTGTATCTTCTCGTTCGCATCTCTCAGTTCTTGCTCACAAGCAGCAAGCTTCGCTGGGAAGTCAATGAACTTAGTCTCGCTTTTGACCCTTGTCAAGATGCTCTCAGTGTTGACTTCAAGTTGCATTTGCATCCTGAGTCTCTCTTTGGCTTCACGGAGCTCAATCTCAAGATCAGCGACCCTCTTGCTCAGCGACTGAAAATCACTGCCGATGCTCACATAACCAGGGACAGTAACCACAGAGGAATCGTCAGATTCCAATTCGGAATCTGTAATCGAAGCAGAGTCATCTCCATGATCAGAAGGATGTCCTCCAGAGCCGAGGAAGTAGTCAAAGCCAGGAGCGCGACGGGAAGGAGGACGGCCTAACCGGTTAAGCTCGGTGGCGAGGTCAGAGGAGGAGACGTCAGAGAAGCCAGAGCCTTGTGACTGAAGCTCTAAAGGAGAGCCCTTTCTCAACTCTCCGGTGATGTTCTCGTACCGCTCTGCCAGGGAACGGTACATGCGGTGAAACTCGTCGACGAGGCTGATAAGCTCAGGTCTCTTCTGGTAATACATCTCCGCCTTCTTGGCAAACGAATCTGCATCCTCCTCTATCAGCTTCACCATCCGTTTCACGCTCCGGTCCATTTCTGATGATCATCAAACAAAAGTTACAAAACATACAATAAAGTCGGCATATTTATGAAAAGACGACCCACCTAATTTTTGGGAACCCTAGAGACATTTCATTTGCGAAATCGACATATGAGTTTACAGGAAAATGACATAATGACATGGACAACTCACCATCGAGATTATTCTCGAGCCACTTTGAATTTTTGAGGCCGATATGACTATCCCACCACCATGGATGTGATTTTGTGGACTCTGCTCGCTTGATACTCTTTTTCGAACGAACCTGGCAAAAAAAATACCCAGAATCAATTGTGGTTTTTGGTTGGAGTATTGAAAAAGACAAGGTTTTTTTTGTATGTACCAGTTCATGATCCATGGCTGCAAAATCGATGGACCCTATGAGAAGCTGGAAACATCACAAGAGACAATCATGAGACCAAATGTGAAAAGACGACTTCTTTCCGAAGACAAATAATACAGATTTTGTCTGTCAGACAAATAATACAAAACGTCGGTTGTTTTCTTTTTTCCCCCTCAAATCCCAAAAACAAAAAAAGTATGGTGCTGTTGAAAGAGAATCATGACAATCCGCAATACGCACAAAACGACAAAAACAAAAAGTAAAAAAAAAGTAGACCTGACAAGAAGAAGATGGAAGCTTTGCAAAGGATTGGGATGAAGAGGGAGAGTAGAGAGATACAGAGCTTTTTAGATTGTTGAAAGCGAAAATAAATTAAAGTCAAAAGAGAATTTATACACTTACCTTTATGACATATATTGCGGACAAGTCTAACTAGTGCTTAGCAAATCAACGTGGCCAAGTGATTGGTTGTCTCTTTGTAATCTTTTCTTCATTTAAATATGTAATTTGGGACTAATTCCACAGTGTCCATGTGGAGATGGTGAGAGAAGAGATTAAAGAGCTGTAATTTGACCTCTCCTTCCCCACTAATCAAACCGACTATTCATAAGAGTAATGGTCATCATCCTATTCCTGAGACTATTTCCTCTTGTTTCAAATTTGTTGCCATTCAAAATACTTGAAGGTTCACGCAGTCAATATATCAAATTTTGCAGGCATTGACTTGCCTTTTTAAAAAAAATTAGTCTGAAAATCAGGCATTTTTTTCCTTTTTTAAATGTAATTAAATGGGAAAGACTAATCGGGTTTTCTGTGTCTTAAGACCGGAAAAGGCCAACACACATTTGTTTGAAGTCTTTATTTTGTGGCGCTCCACTTCCTAATCCTAGCTTTTCATTACATTTCAAATTTAGTGCATTAGAAAATTACATGTTCTTTTTTTTAATATATTTTTCTGTCGTCATGTGTCAGCACCTGATTTATTGTTCCATCATCGTTGATTTGCACTACTCGTTTTCAGGAAAAATATTAAAAAAATTGCTATAAATGCCTTTTTATCATTTTTCAAATGCCTTTGTGTTTTTCAAAAGCCTTTGTGTTTTTGTTTTTGATTGCTACTATAAATTTGCTTACATTTAAGACTTACAATAACTTTAAAAAGTCAATACAAATAAAGAATTTTATCTTGCAAATTTTAATGTCTTTTCAAAGAAGAATCATATAACAGAAAATTGAAGCCTAATAGATTTATGACTATAAATATTAATTTCAACAAACTTCTTTGATAAATTATACAGCACGCAACATGTCAAGATCTTTAATAAATTTGGTTACGAACTATAACCTTTTAGCGTAAAGAAAAAAGATGTGTCAGTGATGATGACTCATTGAGTGCAAGGAGCTAACTCATGTTCAAAACAGCAAGTACATGTAGACAATTTCTACAAAATAAAAAAAGTTGTCGTATGAACAAAAAAATGCGACGATGAAAAAAAAACAACCAAAAAGTAAGCATAAATGTTGCATATCTTGATTTGGGGCCTCTTGTGCCTTGGTGTATGGGCCTGCAACGTTACTTAACTACACACCAAGAATTTAAAATGAGTTTGGTAAGGATAATCTTTTAGATGGTGGGGGAGGAGAATGTAATCTTCGTTGTGAGTTTGGACAAAGCTGCATTTCACAATCGTTCATTTCAAGAATAGAGACAAATGGGCATGAAGATGAACGCATCACAGCCATATACAGAAACATCACAGCCATAGCTACAAAAGACAAGCGTAAGGCAATGATGTATGAGAAGAAGCTTTGAGGATGAGTGAGCACTACCATTTTATGTTTGTGCACGGTGCAGGGCATGGAGGACGGTGTTGGTACAAGCTCGCTAATTCACTAAGGGAGAGTGGACATAAAGCCACCTGCATCGACCTCAAGGGCGCTGGGATTAACCCAACCGATCCAAACACTGTCTCAACTCTTGATGACTACGACCAGCCTCTCTATGACTTCCTCTCTCTCAGGCAAGGACCATTTGTTCCAACCAAAACTTCAAGACTTAAATGGTCTCCCTGTGGCCTCCTGCTCATAACTTCCTTCTTCCAGACAGTGACCACTCTGCATTTTTCTCCCAACCTCAAGATCTAATAAAATTCCTCCTTCAAGCAGCCTCATCTCTCTCTCCCTAGCTCCTTCTTATATATATCTCACTGGAACTCCTCTAAATCCATCTTTTGGATAGTTTACTTGCATAAAGTTGGATCATATTCATATTATATATCATTAGACATAGAGAAAATAGCCTACAATAACTGCTATATATATGCCACTCACGCCACTACTACTCAAGCCAGTGATCTCCAAACAATCAACAGAAACGACTTACAAACTCAAAAGCATAGATAAAAAGAGGGAAAGAGAAAATCAAGGAGTGACTTGAACGTTGGAGTCCTTAGGTTTGCTGTTGTCATCCGAAGATGGCCGGGTCTCAGAAGAGTCTGAAACTCTTATCTCTTCAATCATCCTAACCACATCATCCATGGTTGGTCGTACCTCAGGCATTTGAGCCACACACGCCATAGCAATCTGCAGCATCTGCACCATTTCTTCTTCAATGTTCTGGAACCTCATCAGCTCAACATCAAACACTTCACTCGTCCACTCCTCCCTCACCACTGACTGCACCCACCTCGGGAGATCAACCATGTCCTCCCGGCTTGGCGACTGCACCGGAGACTTCCCAGTCAACATCTCAAGTATAAGTACACCGAAACTGTAGATATCTGATTTATGTGTGTGTTTCCTCGTCTCAATCACTTCTGGTGCTCGGTAGCCTGCACCTCTCATTGGAGCAATGGGCACAGCCATCAGAGGTGTCAGGCCAAAATCAGAAATGCACACATCGTTCTCTTGCTTCATAATCACATTTGAGGACTTTATGTTCCCATGACTGAACTTTGGACCTCCAGCTGCGTGGAGATGAGCTACACCTTTCGCTGCTGCGAGTGTGATTTTCACTCTTGAGTCCCAGTCAAGAGGCATTCTCTCACTTCCACGGTCACCTGTCATGACATCAAGATACTCTTAAGTAACACAACAACATCAATAAATTTCATTAAACAGAGATGGGAAGAAAAGAAGACTAACCATGGAGGAGTGATGATAAGTTACCAGCAGGGTAATAGTCATACACCAAGAGCTTCTCATCCTTTGAGTAATAATACGCACGGAGAGGAACAACGCTAGGGTGTTGTCCTACCCGACCGATGATCTCCATCTGCTGTTCAAACTCCTTCTTTCCAGCTGCCACTTCCTTCAACCTTTTCACCACAACAGTTGTGGATTCCTCTAAGACAGCCTTGTATGCTGTCCCATAACTCCCCTTTCCTAGTACTTCCGCCGATGCTCTCAGTAAATCCTCTAGATCAAAGTTATATGAGCAACCTTCAAAGAACACCAGCTTATTCTTCTCATGTTCTTGCACACCACTCCCAAATTCTTGCTTTGCTTTCTCAGTCAGAGTCTTTGTTTTTGCGATGCTGTCTTCCCTCTTGTTATTTTTCTTGATACAGCAACATAAGATAATTGCAGTGGCTAATAGCAGCAGGGCAGCTCCGCCAGCTGCAATGAGAACGATAGTGCTTACATGTAGTTTCCTTCTTGGAGCTTCTTTGTGAGGAAACGGCGGCAATGGAGGTGAAGAGATGGGTGGGGTAAGAGGAGAAGGACGAGAGGGAGTGGCACAGGGTTGCAGAGGAAGTCCACATAACAATGAGTTTCCGGAAAACGATGAACTTGGAAAGCCACCAAGTGCAGAGGGTATTGAACCATCAAGATGATTGTTGCTCAAGTTTAAACGTCTCAGGCTTGCAGTATCAAGATTAGGTATTGGTCCAGAGAGTTGGTTATTTTGGAGGCTCAACACTGTCAGTTGCTTCTGGTTTTGTAAAGTTGTTGGTATCTTCCCGGTGAAAGAGTTAAATGAGAGATCAAGGATATTGAGCTGTGGGGACAGAAACGAAGGAACCTCACCGGAGAAGTTGTTATGTTGGAGAAAGAGGTAACGTAATGAAGGGAGAGATGGGATATCAGGAGGAAGGTCACCACTGAGGAGGTTTGATCTCAAACTGAGAATCCTGAGTGATTCTAGTTTACCAAGTGTCTCTGGAGGGATTGGTCCAACGAGGCCAATTCCAGGAAGGCGGAGAGCAAGAACATGAGTGCCATCGGAAGCGCAGGTGACACCAACCCATGATTTGCAGATATGGTTAGTGGAGTTCCAGTTGAGCCTTCTTTGATGAGGAACAGAATCAGAAAAGGCAAGAAGAGCTTGCCTATCCGAGTTCAGGTCCGCAACAGCGGAAGAGCAGAAAGTAGTTGTGATAAATAAGAAAGAGACAAGACAAGCAGACAAGACTTGACCAACATCAAACTGGAAACGAAGCTGCATCATCAAAATGACTTCCTGTCCCTCCTGCAATCAAAAGAAAAGGAAAAGATAATGAGCAGTGACTTTCACCACAAAAGCCAATATTGCAACACCAAGTTCTGGAAAAAGGAGGCTTACTTGACCAGTTCCTTAGATTAAATCAGAGCATTGAAAGTTGATAACTAATATATATGGTTTTGAAAGCATATCAGCTAAAAACAAATAAAGATTCTGGTTAGATCTTCAAGAAAAAAAAGTATGCCATTGTCTATCTTTATCTTTATCATTGGGAGATTAAACAATCCAAGAGGCTAAGAGAAGAGATTGAAGCATCCAGCAAAGGAAAAGCTAAAGGAATAAAGCTAAAGAACCAAACTTTAACACAAAACTTTGATGAGCATAAGAAAAAAGCAACTCCTTTTTTGTCAAAGATATAGAGAAAGAAGAAGAGGTATGTCCACCATGTGGACAATGTCACTAAGTAAATAAAGATATATGCTTGAGTGTCTAATTTTATGAGAGTTGTTGAACGAACTAGATGAGCAAAACCATGGGACTAATAGACCACGTCAGTCTCAAAAACTTTCCTACCCACCCAGCCGGAGAAAATGGCGATTTTTAAGTATAATTCCACAAGTAGACAATTACAGTAAGTTAAAAAAACAAAACCAAAATAATAAGAAGAGAGAAAGAGAAACCTGAGAGTAGATTGGCAAGCTAACGAAGTAAGAGAATTGTGGGCATTGAAGAACTCAAGAAACCGGAAAAGGAGGAAGAAATGGTGCCTGTTTTGAGCGGAGCAAAGCTCAATCTTTGAAATGGTGAAAGAGAAGAAAGAAGAAGAGTGCAATGCGTGTGAGGACTAGTAGTGGGAGAGACGGAGAGAAGAAGAAGAAGAAAAGGAAGGCGAAAGAGATTGAAAGGAAAAAAAGTGTGTGGTGAAGTTAAACAAAAAGGAGGCGTATTAGTTAAGGGTAAGACAGACTTCAAAAGGAGTCGTTAGATTAAATCATGTTGTTGTGTTGAGACCGCAACAAACGCTAGAGTAGAGAGAGACCCAGAGATTGACCAAGCTTTAGATTCTTAGTGATAGCAAAATGACAAAGTACACTCAGCCAAATGCAAATTTCTGTATCAAAAATAAGCAACCTAATTTTAATATATATTTTTTTTTTGTAAGAAAGTAATCATTTGGATAAAATGTAATAATAGTCATGACCTTTTTTTTGGTCGTGATAATAGTCATGACCTGTCCAACCACTCTTGTTACTATTTTCTCTCGATTTGCATCATTCTTGATATCGGATACTATGTGAAAGTGAAACTAGTCATGTCATTATCTACCAAATCCCAAAAACCAGATCCAGCCTCGTTAGACGTTTTTGTTTTAGGATGTTGTCTAAGAAAATAAAGCCCATTTCTGAATTCTGTTACCAAAAACAAACACAAAATTTTGAAGTAACAAAAGAAATATATATATGGCTTGTAAAATCCATCCATGGAAACACACCACAGAGATAAGTTATTTTCCTCAATGTTATCAAAATCTAACAAAAAAATACAGATAAAACAAGTTTCACTAGAAGTTGAACTTGTAGGACTTTGAAACCCTTAAACCACTTGGAGGAGTCGTACTCAAGGATAATGCTTTAGTCCCTCAATAACGAATATCACAATACTCGTGACAAATGCAAACCCCGAAGCGATCTCCCATGCACTTGCTTGATCAAAGACAGCCGATGGACTCCCATTCCAAATCATCTATTGTCGTCTATCACAACTTCACCAAAAACCACTAGAGCTAAACCCACCTTAAGAGTACACTTAATGGATTTACTCCAGTAATTCTCCAGCTCTTTCACGAATCCTAACTCTCTAAGGAAAGAAGTTGCGCGGACCTATGTTATTGAAGGCTATCAAGTCAAAACCATTTGCGTTTTGAATTAACTTTACATACACCATATCAGTGTCATCAACCAGATACCAACAAACCTCTTCATGGATTGGTTTCAGCTCTATTACTGAGCTAAACTAATCCCATAAACACACATGAAATAGTGTTAGTGTCAGGTTGTAACTGAACTAGTGTGGTAACTATAGGTGACTTGCTCTCTACATATGAGTCAAGATTAGTAAGACGACAATATATGAGCGCATCACAACAAACTTTTCTAAAATAATTTAAACAAATAAGAGTACACAACCGATCTACCCCATAGGTTAAGTAATCCTTAATTGCCTCTCAGAATGGAGCAGGAGATCGACAGAGAGACGGACGGAGATGTCTATTCATTCTAAGGATTATAAACAATGTTAAGTTTTTGCATGTGCACTAGCCATGCACCTTTGGTGACTTCAACTGTGCTTATTTACCACAACTCCTCACATCAGCATCACTAAAGCTTCCCAAGTTCATTTTTCAGAGAGTTGAAGACTCAGATTTGGGTGGATCTAAGCTCAATGGCCTTTTTTACTTTGCGCTTGACAAGGTGTTCAATTCACCTCCTGAAAAGCTTGGTCCCGTTGAAGACAATATTGCACAGGCCATCCAACATCTTCACACTAGTTGAGAAAATATGCAGACAGTTGGCATTACGATTCAATGTGATAAAACATGCAAATGATCCTCTCGGGTACTTGCTCAATGACTTACTCATTGTCATGGAGAATGATGATTGAGGTAATAAAATATTATGTTACTTATCTTATTAGAATAATACATTGTTATCTTTTTTCTTTGTCTTTTTGCCTTGCAAAATATGGATGCATTGAAGTTCTCTCTTTTTTTCACTCAATTATCACTCACAGAATAATGATTTTAGTAGTCTTCTCTTTTTTCACTCACTTATCACTCTGTAAATGAGACATGAGAGTTTATCATTCTTGGATGGTCACTATGTTCACATCGACCTTGTTTTAACCTTGGGATGGTCACTCTGTTAACATCAGAATAACTCCACCATTTAGGTGTGCTTTTTTGGAATCTCTAAGGAATAGACGTTTTAGCTTACTTGACAATTTTCTTTCAGGTGTTTAGTTCATCATCCACCTTTTTCAATAAATGAAACTTGCCTAACACAAACCCATGTGAACTTGAGTTCCACAATATTAGACACAACTTCACTGATATACTGCCATTTTTTTCTTATAATTGAATTGAAAAGCTGAGAGACTAAACACAAACACAAGTGAACTAAACTCCATAAATTAGAAATGCAACTTAGTTCATACATTAAACTGCAAATCCATGTCCAGAAAAAAAGAAACACTGGAATTTTAACAACAGCCATAATCTGATTCCCACTTTCGCTCTCTCCTCATTTGTAAAACTCAAAGTCCGTGTCTGGCTTCTTCACATTTGAGCGGTAACCCTTCTCGAAATCTTTAGGCAGTATCACATATCTGTTCTTACGCACCGCATGCATTCCAGCTTCCTGGCAGATTGCTGCTATCTGCATTGTTCACATACAAAATTGAAACAGTCTGTTATTTAATATCTATATCATCTTTGGCTGCACAATAATCAAACATAAGCACATTAAGTAAATCAAAACATCTCGCTGCCAAGGTTGGATTCTCAATCATTTAGTTCAGGACAATGATGAAAAAAGACAGGAAGACTAAGCTAAGACCCATAGATAATGCTTAAAACAAACGTATGCTCAAGTGCACATTTGGCAGAGCATCATTAGGTGGTGACACAGAAACAATGGAGGCTATATCATGGCAAAAGCAAATTCTAGCCGGAAGCATAGAATAAGCAAAGTAAACTAACCTCAGCAGCGCTAATTTTATCAGGCCGTGAAACATAGTCTTCAAGGTCAACCTCATCGCTGAGATTCATTTTGGCGGTGCATACCTACACAAGGAAAAACCAGTCACTTAAACCTTATGAGCTGTATTACAAGAGAGAGCAGTACACACTTTCTTTCAAAGAAAACATTCAAGTGCTCGTAGTAATTAACGTACCTGGAAAACAAGCCTCTTTTGACGTCTATCAGGAAGGGGGAACTCAATCTTACGGTCAAGTCTACCAGGACGTAAGAGAGCAGGATCAAGAGTGTCTGCTCTGTTGGTTGCCATTATAACCTTCACATTCACGGTCTGGTCAAATCCATCCATCTACATTGAATATCCAACATAACAAGTTAGAACACAGCTCAATCTAAAAGTCAGGTATCAGCAAGACCAGCCAATTTAGTCTACAGCACAATATCTGAATTACATTCCAACTCCCAAGAGAACATATAGATATGCTCATTTGTTACAATTCTGTTCTCACCTGATTAAGTAGCTCCATGAGAATACGCTGAACTTCTCTATCAGCTCCTGTTTGAGCATCAAACCTAGCTGTAGCGATGGCATCAACTTCATCAATGAAGATGATAGCTGGAGCATTTTCCTTGGCAAGACGGAAGACATCACGAACCATACGAGGTCCCTGCAATTGAAAGGAAAGGGCCAGTTAGTCACTAAACATAAAAAAAAAAAACCCAATTGGAGCTTAACCATTTAAGAAAGTTATGATTTTTTCGTACCTCGCCGAGATACTTTTGCACAAACTCGGAGCCAACAACCCTAATGAAGGCAGCGGTTGTGTGGTTGGCAACAGCCTTAGCCAGCATAGTCTTTCCGGTACCAGGAGGTCCGTAGAGCAACACACCTCGTGGTGGGTCAATACCAATCTGCTTGTAAAGCTCGTGGTGGGTAAGTGGCAATTCAACCGCCTCGCGAATTTCCTGTTTCTGGATATCGCATCCTCCAATATCCTACAAAAAAAAAGCCAAGATCTTTCAATACCCAAAACCCTAAGCTACACAAAAGGTTTAAAATTGAGAAAATTTAAGAAAAAAGGAGGAAGCTTTACATTGTATGAGACGTCTGGCTTTTCAGATTGGCTGAGAAGGGAGATACTAGAATCGGCCTCAGGGGGCAATACATCAACAAGGGCGTTGGAGTGACGGTGAAGAGCGACGGAAGCAGAAGGCTTGAGGTCCTCTCTGTTGATGGTGCTGAGAATCCGGACATAGTAATTGGAGCCAGTGGTGGATCCGACGATGCCGTTGTTCTGATCCACCATCTCCATGAACTGACCAATCACCAGGGGCACGGATTGAATACGCTTGACCTCCTCTTGAGCCCGTAAGTGCTCCCGTTTGAGATTCTTTTGCTCGTCCTTCACGTATTCCTCTTGGATGTCGGTGAACTCTAGCTGCCGTTGAAGCGATTTGAGACGGCCGTAGAGATCTTCCTCGTCTGCCGTCGACAGATCCATCAGCGCCGGAGCTGCTTTAGGGTCGAGAACCATCGCCGATGCCATTATTCTCTGAGAAAGGATCGATCTTTGAGGGGATGAGAGATTTGGACTTTGGAGTAGAGAGAAAGAAAAGATCGATTGCGAATAAAATAATAGAGGTGACCTCTTTAAGAAGAAGGCCGGAAGATTTGAGAGTTCTGGAGTAGACAGAAAGAAAAGTCCGATTGTGAACCAAACTATTTAGAGATGGGCCTTTATATTTGTATTTTTCCTTTTTTTTTTTGTCGGCCTTTGCAATTTCCTTTTTTCTTTTTCTTTTATCTGCCGAACTATTAATCAAAAGGTTATGGTACATGTCAGTTCATGTTATCAAGTGTAGGGGCTTCAATAACCTATTTGGTGGAGGAAAAGGAAAGAGATTGTTTTTCTTTCCTGAGTCTAAAACCTGAAACCATCCGCTTCAGTGGAGTTTCGTTTGTATTTGGACATCCGTTCAGTGGAATCTACATTTGTACTATGTAATGTCAGACCATTTGTCATCCTTTTGTCTATTTTTCGCCAAGAAACCAAAACTGAGGGAAGTAACATTTCAATTTCCGAAACCAAAGCCGGTTATCACAAATTGAAAAAAAAAACAAACCTTTGTTTAGGTTGATAAAGTTAAAAATATGCCACAAATACTTGCACATCCACAACCAAAAAGGCACAATAAGGCCAATATAGGGGCGTTTAGACAAAAAAAAAGGACGAAGAAGAGGCTCTCTTATGCTCTCCTCTTCCTTGTTAATCTGGCGGAGGATCTCTTTGTGGATCCTGAGCTGCCTTCCTCATAAACTGATTCTTCAACATCTTCTCCCCTTGGCCTCGCTCTGCCTTTCTTACCTGCGGTTGTAAGATTTGCGTGCTCAGCTCCTCGAAACACATAGATCTGCACGAAGTAAACTTTTATATACAATCAAGTTGTGAGAATGTCAATTTGTGAACCATTGCCTTTATGTTCAGATGCATTTACCTTGAACCTCAATGGTTCAATCAACAGGAAGAGAAGAGCATCACCATCATCCAATTTATGATCAAGCGCAAACCTTTTCCATCCACCACTGAGCCCACTTCTTGCCCCAATGTAAACTGCTTCATACTCTTCTCCCTTCTCATCCTCTAGCACTATTTCCACAGTCTGCTCAGGAAGATGGGCCACGCAGAATCTTGAAGGAAGCCCCTTAGAAAATTGAAAAATCCCGCCTTTTAAGTCAAAATGTAACCAACGAAATCCTAAAAGAAGAAGAAGAAACAACACAAGTGGATCCTGTGAACGTTACCAGCCAAAAGCAACTGTAAACGTGGGAGCGAACCATAGATTTGACAAAGGAAGGGTGTGGGGATCCGAGTCGGATCTGGAACTCCTCTGCAGCGTTGTGTGCTCCAACTTTTTCTTCGTAAGAAGCAAACTTGCACTCATCTAGAGGCCGGGCGATGTAGCTGAGTACAATGTGTTAGCTAGCTAGCTTAAAGGACAGATTTTTATGAAAATTTTGAGCAGCAGCGATTACCTGGCCCATGAAGAGTTATGGCGCGACTTCCTCAGGCTCAAAGCACGGCCAATCTCTACAGTAACATCATCGCGGTAGGAAGGAATGTTGGTGCGAACACGGGAAGAGCGCCTTGGTTCAGTAGCAGAGAGGGTTGTTTCGATGGCTCTGTGAATACGCTTCTGAGGAGTCTTCGTGGAAATCTGAGTCAGAGACTTAGAAATCTGTGTGATTCCTAGTTCCTGAGAATTTAACAGTCGAAAAGAAATTACGAATCAGAGAATGAGAAGAGGAAGGAACGTGGTGGTGACGAGAAAGGGGAAAACCTGAAATCTCTTTTGATTCTCTTCAAGACGGATCTTGCGAGCCCCTTCATATGCCATGGCGATTGCAAGATTATTCCAGAAGGAGAAATGAGAAATGGCGCTTCGTTTGAAAAGCACTTTACTCTTTCACTAGTTTGAAATTCGAAATCATGGATTTATTGATATTTCCCCTTTTATTAATAAAAAAAAAAAAAATCATCTCCTGACTTTTTGTGTCTTTAAGACTCTTAACTTGCTTCCTTTCACAGTTCTCATATCATTTGATCTTTTAACTCCACAAAAATTGTGTTAAACATATCATTCACCATTATTGTTCCCTTTGTTTTGTGTTCTTTGTGGGAACCTATTCACTACATATGCTCCATACATTCAAAAAGGCAAGAATCAATGACAAATAACAATTTTACACCTTTTGCCTATGGGAGTCACTCTTCCAATTTGATAGCTGCATCAATCATATCAACAGTGCTGTTTTGTTGTGTCCATAGCTGTGCGTATCTTCCTGCTTTCCCCAACAGCACATCGTGAGGGCCTTGTTCCACCACCTTCCCGTTTTCCAGTACTACTATCTGCATACACACACACACCCACAAGTTTCATCATCAACATTTGTTTCTCTGCCTTTTTAAGCTTTAAGTTAAGCAACACTGTTTTACTACAAACCTCATCACATTGCATCGCAGTGGTCAGCCTGTGGGCGATGAAGATGGATGTTCTGTTAGTCGCCAGTGCCTTGAGTGCGTTCAGTATTTCTGCCTCTGTTGTGCTGTCCAACGCACTCGTTGCCTCATCACACAACCTGTGCCATTTCACACCAACCAGTTTCAAACCTCACCTCAAATTTCTTTCATGTATGTTAGGACTCTACACCTACTTAAAACACATACGCAAAGTTAACGCTGCTTCGGTGCAAATTTACTTACAGAATCGCAGGGGATTTCAGGAATGCTCGAGCAAGTGCCACTCTTTGTTTCTCTCCACCACTCAACTGTATACAATATTCACAACTCCATGGTTATCACGACCACAAAACCCCTTCCGTATATCTATCACTCACTACTCAAATGACGGATGGTCACTCGCCATTGCTACTCATCGCAATTATATAGAAAACTCTCTGTGCTAATCTTTCTTTCTCATGCTTGTTACAGTTCCACGAAAATAATTTACCGAATCATTTTTTTTCCCTCCGATTTTCAACAAGTGAATTTTGACTTGGAATCCTGATTGACTTAGCTTGTTTTACAAGGGCTAACTCAATTATGCAAGCTGCGACTTAAGGCAGTACTGATCTATATAAAACATTCCAATTATAACATCAAAATACTGACCTTGAGTCCCCTTTCCCCAACAATGGTGGAATATTTCTCAGGGAAATTACTGATCGTTTCATGAATCGCAGCACGCCGAGCAGCATCATACACCTGGATAGAAATTTTTGTGTTAGATAAGGGTTATTGATATTTGACCTTGACGTCTGCACCGAGTATAAGTTGGCTGGTACCTCTTCTTCTGTTGCTGAAAGACGTCCATAATGTATATTGTGAAATATTGTATCATTGAAGAGCACCTGCAGTGCAGTAGAGGTTACCCTTGAGAACAACAAAAGTTGGAAAAGCTAACAATGATAAATACGGGAAAAAGAGAAGGAAATTGAACAAAAATAATTAAGTGTTCTGTATGAAGAATGAACAGAAAGGTTAGAATGAGAAGAAAGGCGAGAAAGCAATGAATGCAGGTTTTGTATAAACGAATGCTTACTACGAGAAGTAGAAAAAATAAGAGAAAATTTAGTAATGGCAACTTACAGTATCTTGGGGCACAACTCCTATGGCGCTTCGGAGGCTATCTAGTTTCACTTCCTTTATATCTTGCCCATCAATCCTTACCTGTTAACCAGCGAGAAAAAAAAAATGTTATCTACAAAGCAAGCTTTTTCTTCAGTGACTTTCTCTGCCGCAGGGTTTACTTTAGTTGCAAAAAGGCTTCCAAACGAGGCCTTATAGTTCACAAACAAATGAAAAAGTGCTTACGTTTCCGGAATCTGTGTCGAAGAATCTGAATAGCATTCTAAGAATTGTTGACTTGCCTGCCATAGAACAAAGCATATGATTTGCAAAGGTATAGCAGAATAACAAGTTTAAATTTAGATGCTGAAACAGAGCCTTAGGAATTACCACTCCCGCTGGTACCAACAATTGCCACACTTTTTCCTGCCGGTACGACAAAGGAAATTCCATCTAAAATTTTTCTCTCTGGAAGGTAACTGTAATTGTAGAAAAAAGGTATGATTGTGTAGCAATAGACATAAAAAGGGTCCTTGTATACACCAAAATAAACACCTACCTAAAGTGTACATTTTCAAACTCAATGTTTCCACCTTTAAGAACAAGAGGCTTTGCATCATCTATATTTCTGATGTCAGATTTCTCCTGAAGCAGCAAGAGAATACTACATAATCAATTCAACATGCCAAGAGTCCATACTAAAAAGCATGCATTTAAATATCACTTCTTGACTGAATCATTATCATGAAAATCAAGGTGTTTACTGAACTTAACCAAACGTAGAGTTTAAAGTAGCAATTATAACATCCTCAAATACCTCTAGCAACTGGAACATTGATTTCATGTCGATAAGGCTCTGAATGGTTTCACGGTAAACACTACCCAAAAAGTTGAGAGGAAGAGACAACTGAAAGAGAAGTCCATTCACCATAACCTGCAACGCCAAAACATGGATAATCTAATTAGAAAACAATTTGCATCGAAAAATGCAGAGAAACATAAATGCCAATGGAGAGGAAAAATCGAAGGAGGCACTGACCAAATCACCGACTGTCATTTGACCATTCATGATACCCTGAGCACACAACACCATTGCTGTTGATAGAGCTGTACTAAATATGATACTTTGTCCAAAATTCAAAAACGCAAGACTTCTTTGAGTTTGCAGGGCAGCATCCTCATATCCTAGTAAAAAAGCAGAGTCATTACAAGATAAATCAAGTTAAATGGATTGAGCAATGATATCATGTAAAAACCAATTTGTTTTCTTCATAGAGAAAAGAATATCTAAATAAAGATGTACAAGAGTCAGCAGCGCATTTCCTTGTCTAAATTTCTTTCTTGTAGCTAGTATTCTAGCAAAAAGTAAAAACTGAAGGCTTTTGTGGAAATTTAGACAAATCTGTTTTCCATGTATAACAGCTAGTAAGGTGACTTACTTTTCAGGAACTGGTCATACTTTTCAGCCTCATAACCTTCATTGTTAAAATATTTAACAGTCTGTAAAGAAAGAAAATTCTGTCAAAACTGCAACTTAAGCTAATTAAAAAATTTATGAAAATTTTACCTCATAATTTATCAGAGAATCAATAGCCCTTGTGCTAGCATCATTATCAGCTTTGTTCATAGCCTTTCTAAACTTGGTTCGCCACTGGATAAAATCAATGAAACGTGAGCATAGCAGCTGGTACCATAAAGATTTTGAACAAGATAATAAAGGATGAAGAGAATGTATAAAGACAATCATCCTTCTACAATGACTTCAGATCTATCACAACTAAAATGATTTTTTCAAAGAGTTGATACAATTACGATCAGAGAAGCTTAGTAACTAGTTCAAGAACACTGTGTGGTGTCATAGGCAGATTTTGACACTATGTGCTGGATTATCGTGATAAAAGAATTGCATCATACTTGGCATTGAAAAGTGTATACTGTAAGAATGCACAGTACCTGTGTCACACCTAATGTAAAAGCGATATATGCTCCAACAGAAAGAGAAGTAATCCAGGCAAAAGGAGCTCCGAACTTGTATGCTAGTATACCTGATACCATAGATATCTGGAAGATACATATTAATTACGTCGACTGTTTTTAGAGACGAGGGAGTAGTAAACCCAAACTGGAAATAATCGGTCACGAAATCCAAAGATGGATGAGCAATTAACAATTAGTCAAAATGAGCAAACTCCATCATGATGCATGATAGAGAACCAAGCGGTCAGACAAGATTTACCTCCAAAATGGTAGGGAAAACATTGAAAACCATAGCTGAGAGGATAAAATTGATTGCACGGCTACCACGGTCAATGATTCTGTTCAAACCACCTGTTTCTCGACTGGACATGAGCAACCAAGTAAGAAATTTATGATGAGATGAAACTAAGATGGAATGAGCGAGAGATGAGAGAGGAGACAGATACCTCAGGTGGTAACGAAGGTCAAGATCGTGCAAATGTGAGAACACCTGCAAAGGCATCACGTGAAAAACGATTCATACAACAGAGAATGCAGCCTAAATCTCCATCGACAAGATAGTTTAGAGCAGCAGCATACCTTTCGAGAAACAGATCGTATTGTGCGGAGAGCGACCTTTGAGAACACAGCAGTACGAAGTTCTGCGAAGATGAAAGTAGCAAAACCAAGAGTGAAAAAAATGCAAACTTTTTCATTTCTGATTTTAAGAAAATGAGCTATTGAGAGTTACCATTGAAAGCAGAAGAGCCTGTCCTAGCAATGCCGTATCCAATAAGGACTGCAGCAGGAGTAGCGAAAGCCGCAACAAGAGAAGGGTTCGCAGCGACGAAAGTAGACATAGACGCACCGGTGCCGGTGGCTGAAGCCAGCCAATCAACAGCTAATTTGAAGAGGAAAGGGACCTGGACATTCAAGACCTTAGCGCCGACGAGAAAGCCCAAGGCAGTGATGACCCTGAATCGGAATTCCGGGTTGTCTCTCATCCACAAGTAGCCGGCAAGCGTGCGGAGGATCTTCATGTCAGCCATAGCCGAATCTGACTGCAAAGAGGTCTTCTTAATTTGCTTAGACTTATTGGCGCCTTGATCGGGATTAGGAGTAGAAGTCGAGAACTGAACACTCCCGTTAACCATGGAGCTACGTTGGACGGAACGAATTGGGAATGGGTAAGGGTCGGAGAGTAAGGCATTGATAGCTGGGGATGTTCGAATTGAGCTACGTCTGATGAAGCTGGAGAAGCCATGATGGTGAAGAAGGTAATCAGAGCGAAGACGGTAGGAGAAAGACGGTGTTTTGGGTTGATTCCGCAGATAAACGTGACGGAGTAGGAGCCCAGGAGCCCTAAGAAGCCGAGATCCCCTCGACATCTCCCCTTCTTCTCCGAAAGTATCACAGACCGGTTGGTTGCTCCGACGAGTCAATTTCGGGTTTCGACTTTAATTTCGGTCGGATTCTCTCACTCCCCCCGAGCTAGCTGACCAGTCCATGAATCACGATGTTCCACGTCTTTAATGGACCTATGAAAAAAGCCCACTAACTTTGAAGCCCATTCGAGTCTATCCCCTTCTCGGTGAGTGATCATTTCTCCACCATTCTTTCATCATCATCGTCGTGTCGTCAAGCAATGGTTATTATGCGTTACTCAGACAGAACATTATTAGTAAGGAGATGGGAAGTCGTGCAGTATGCATTCAACGTGTAGTGCCGCCGTGTTTTGAAGCCTCGCAACTGAAGAAGAGCAAAACAGTGAGTCCCTCTTTTGTGAATACGAGGAGGAAGAGAAGAAGCAATGGAGTGAGATGTAGCAGCATAACCGACTTCATCGGAGGAGACCTGGTGAAGCCGGACATTGGTCGTTGGCTTGCGGACGTGGAAGAGCACAAGGCAATGGCCATCTACACTCCTCACGAGGGTGGCTACGAAGGTCGCTACCTGATTGGACTTAAGAACCAAGGCTACTACTTTCTCGACATCTCTGCTCGAGGGCTTGGTGACCCCGAGACAACTCTCCTCAACGCCTACCCTGTTTGCCCTGTATGACATCTCTTTCTGTCTTTCTTCTACATTAATCTTGTTACTTAGTATTTGAACCATGATGTCTCTTGTGTTCTTCTAGGCTCACCTTGGGAAACAACCTATAGCAAGATGGTATTATCCACCAGAAGTTGACTACAGACTCTCTGCTCTTCCACCTAATGCCAAGGGTCTTGTTGTCTGGATCATCGAAGCAAAGGTTTTGAGTTTTTTTTCTCATTTAATTTGTCTCCCAAATGCAGGCTCTATCTCATCTTCAATATATTTCTTATCAACAACTCAGGTCCTCTCAAAGTCTGAACTCCAGTTTCTTGCTTTGCTTCCTTCTCTCCGTCCTAATGTCAGGGTTATTGCTGAATGTGGCAACTGGTGAGAATACCATCTCTTTCCTATATAAACAATCATCCACGTTTGCACTTTTGCATGACCACCACACTTTACTTTTCCCCTGCAGGAGGAAGTTCATGTGGAAGCCGCTTGCGGAAATTGCAAATCTAGCTGAACAAGAGTAACTTGATATACTCAGGCACAAGTGGAGCTTACCGTGTATAGTTTTGTACCAATATTCACCACATTGTACAATTTGAAACTTCTACTTGTTACTTGGTAGTTGGTAATCTATATAACCTTTCATTTCCATGAACTAGCCAAGTATAACTCCCACTGTGATTTGTCACAAATGAATAAGCAAAGATTGATGTCACAAATGTGCAACTTAGCAAAAGTAGAAATAGACAAATAAGGCCTTGATAATTCTGGTCACTAGACTCAACGAGTTGCAACATATTTGATGGAAATATAAGAAGCTCAGGTAATACAAACAAGAAAGCACTAAGACAAAAAGCTGGATTGAAAAAAAAAAGGCAGAGTTCTATACTACAGATTCTTCGATTTTCTTGGGCAAGAAAGTTTCCCACCATCCAGGTTCGTACTTTGGGTATGGCGCCACCCAATTTTTAGGCTTATCGAACTCTAGAGTGGTGGGATTGGATGCCAAAGCTTCATCGAGAGAGGTAGCTTCAAATGATTCAGCAAGAACTCGATCCAATCTTAACTTCATAAACCTGCCATCAAAGAAAGAAAAAAAGCAGATTTAAATGTGGAGAAAAAAGGGAAAATGTATAATTTGTAAAGAGAGAGGATTGAAGGATTAGTGTTCTAACGTGATCCATGAGCCATTGGTGGAAACAAGTGCAACGGCAGGACGACGGAGTCTCTGAGTGATTTTGGGGAACTTGTCAAGGAATTTGGGCTCAATGACAAGCCAGAAGTCTAGCTCCTTCTCACGCTCTCCGTAGTAACGAAGACGTTCAAACAGTTGCTCCTGGAAGTGTTCCTCTTCGTCGAGCATGAATTTGGCGTTCGCAACCAGGAAGTAGTACTTTGTGCTCTCTCCCTGTAAGTAACCATCGCATTTATCCAAAGAATCGTTTAAGCGCCAATGGTTTATTTGTCGAGAAGGAGAAGAGAGAGAGAGAAAAGAGAAACCTTATTATCCGACTGTTGTTGGACGGAAGTGGCAGCGGCTTTGAAAGACGATGAGAAATGAGACGTCAGAGTTAACTGCGGCGGAGAGAGATGGAGTTTCGTCGTCTGCTTGGGAAGAGAAGAGGAGATGAGAAATGGTTTCGGGCGGCAAGCGGCGGCGGTAGGCACCGCAACACCCAATGCTCCGGTGACGGTGACGCTCCACATTGCTGATTGGAGAGTTTGATCGAGGCGGAATCTGCAAAAATCTTATCTTTCTTCCATTATCATCATCTTCACTCTCTCTCTCTCAACTCTTTTTTTAATTGAATTTAATAGATTTTTTGGGCTCACGATTTCAAGCCCAATCAAGCGTTATGGGCCCAAAAGAAAGGGGAAAGCTGTAACAGTGACTCACATGGCGATGGAGGCGGAGCTGTGAGATGCTGAAGCTGCAAGTAAGCGGGAAGGTGATCTTGTCTACTATTCGTTGTCGAAGAGAGGCAAGTCATTTCACGATTCACCTTTTGATCGATTTACATGATAGAAGGGATTGATTTTTCAGTGTGTGATGATTGATGCAGATGTCGACTTCTTCCTCTTACGTTTTTGGGCCTTACAAGATCGATCCTCGTGAAGTGTTCTACGCAACTCCTTTTTCTTACGCCATGGTTAATCTCCGCCCGCTTCTTCCTGGTACTTCTTCTTCCTCTCGGATCATTCATTCTCTCTCTCTTATTCTTCTTCCTTCTTACATTGTTTTCCCCATTTTCTTTTGCAGGTCATATCCTTTTTTTTTCGTTTTCACTGTTTTGGATTTTGTTATCGAATTTTTGAGTTCCTTTGAGTGACTTTAACCACAGTAAGAACATGTTCTTGTCTGCCCAAGACGCCTTGTGCCGCGCTTTACTGATCTCACAGCTGATGAGACCAGCGATCTCTGGCTTACTGCTCAGAAGATTGGCTCTAAGATTGAGAAATTCCACAATGCATCTTCTCTCACATTAGCCATCCAAGTAAGTAAACATCTTTCTCTCCTTTTGTGTCTCAATGTGAAAGAATTGGAATTGGAATGCTTGCTCTAAAACCATCTAACTAACTTTGGTTAATAATAGGATGGGCCTCAGGCGGGACAGAGTGTTCCCCATGTACACATTCACGTCTTGCCTCGTAAAGGTGGTGACTTTGAGAAGAATGATGAAATCTATGATGCCGTAAGTTATTTTATTTTGAATTTTTGATGACATTGTTGTAGCTTGGAGTTAATAAAAAGCTTATGTGGTGGTAATCTTCTTGTAGATTGATGAGAAGGAGAAAGAACTAAAGCAGAAGCTTGATCTAGATAAAGAACGAGTTGACCGGAGCGTTGATGAGATGGCTGAGGAGGCTTCCCAATACAGGTCTCTGTTCGATCAGTAGTTATCAATAACAAAGCAAAGCTATCCAGTAGCTTTAAACTCCTTTAATAAGACAAGCGACCTCTTAGAGACTTCGATTGAAACTTGTATTCCCTTTTTTATGCCACAAAAATCTCTGCATTAACTAAGCGTTTCTTCTTCTTATGGATGGTATAACCACCTACCATTATCTTTTTCTCTACTGGTAAAACAACCAACATGCCTCAAGTAATTTGGTGAGTTGCAAAATAGTGAGAAATGAAAAAGATAAACCAAACCTCATCTCATGTCAAGTTTTACATAACTTACACTAATTACTTGAACAAATCAAACTCAGAGATGTGTAAAATGTTGTCCAAACTAAATAATAAAGCTAGGAACCTTTAGATGGTTCTTCTCCTGGAGCATCATCCTCGTCATGATAGATATTCTCAGCCATCTGCCAGATTTGGAGTATGTTGTCCTCAGCTACACTGGAAATAACCCAATCTTCACAAGGGTTCCATGAGAAATCCGAGATTTTGCTGGTGTGACCACCATGGATAAACAGCAGCTCAGGTGGGCCGTCCTCTGCATCCTCAGCTGTCTGTTCCTCATCGATCCTGTCATAAGACACACTCATAACATATCAATATTGCTCCTCCATGACTAAACATGAACATTTATAACTAAGCAAAGAAGTCTACTGCCCTAACCTGCTAAGATCCCAAACCATAAGCCTTCTACCAAGGCAACATGAGGCTAAGATAGTCTCGTTCTTAGGGTTCCAACCAACTTGGAAAACCTCCTCTCTGTGAATCAAAGCAAATAGTTTAAGGTTAGTAATGTTGCTTTTACTTGAGCTAAAGAGTTCTTAGTAACAGAGAATCTGTCTCAAAGCGAATTGTTCTCACTTATGGCTATCAAATGTGTGAAGAGCGCTGCTTAGCTTCCGTAGATCGAATAGTTTAACAGTCTTATCAGTTGAACCTGTTGCCACAACCCACTCATTAAATGGATTGAAGGCTAAGCAGTTAACCTGAGGCATTTCAAACAACCCAACAATTAGCAAATACAGAGGATGCAATATGATTCAAACTGTTTAGGGAACAAGCGTATAAACGAAAAGAGCAGGACACAAATGAAATAAGATGGACCAAGCAGTCTAGCCTTATGCTTCGGTCTTTAAGAACAAATTTAAGCAAACGCACCTCCATGGAGTGAGCAACCACAGACTGCACTGGTTTGGGTGAAGAACGCAAATCCCATATAAAAAGGTATTGGTCATCTCCAACGGATCCAAACAGGTATTCATGTCTCAGATGCCATGCAACATCTTCCACGACGCCCTCGTGAGCCTTAACATCAGCAGGGAACAAAGAGAAAACCATACTTAATATCTGTCTACATGCTTTCATGGGAATGACTGATTCAACGATAAAGATGACGCTAAGAGGGGACTAAAATCCAAGCATACCTTAAAGATCTGCTGAGCGTCAAGAACTTTGTTTTTAGGAGCGTTAATATCCCAAAGGCAGATCTGAGCGTCATCAGAGCCGCTGAGCAAATGACCTTCCTTGAACTTACTCCAAGAGAGGCCATATCCCTCAGAGCTGTGACCCCTCAGCCTTAATTCAGGATTGCAAGCCCCATCGAGTGGTGGCTTAGACGGGTGCTTGCTGTAATCGAACACATAGACCTCCGCATTCACCGTCTTGGTGGCAATCATGAAAGGGTTCTGGGGCATGTACCGAGCTCGGTTAACCTCGCCTTCGTGGTTTATTTGCTGGATAACTTGCACCTGCGCGAAGTAGTCAACATTTCGTCATTCAATTCATCGGAACCCTAAGTATCAACTTGAAAAATTGGAGATAGGGGAATTAAAAAAATTGCACCTTTCCGGTGGCGCAGCCGAAACCGCCGAATTCGGAGCGGTCGTCATCGTACTGACGGGCTTCGCTCTCGGTGTCGTCAAGAGGAAGCTGAACCTGAGCTATCATCAGGTAATTGGGCTCGTTCTCGGAGGTGTGTGTACCGAGAATCATCTTCTGGACGGAGCAGTCTCTGCCGGGAGGCTCCTGACGGTCGGGGAGCCATTCGACAGTGAGGGAAGGCCACTCGAGGGCGTGAGTGATGATGAGATCATAGAGGAAAGGAGTGTTCTTCTTCCAGATCTTGTACTCTTCGTTGATTAGTCTCTCCTCGATCTCCCCTCGCATTTCCTCCTCGTCTTTCACCATTCCGGCGACGCTGTATAGTTCCCGCCACAAGCACAAGGCAAAACCCTAAAACAGAGATCTCTTTTTTTGTGTGTAAAAATTGCTGGGAGCTACTATACTTCAGTTTCTGTAATTTACACATATAGCGGAGAGGGATGATGAAAAAGGAAAAAGGAAGAAGAAAGAGTAAGGCCCATTATTCTTAAAGGCCCATTTATAAAAGGCCCAGTTAACAGACTTTCATTTCGTCTTAATACACCCAGTCAAACAGATTCAACGAGGATCAGTGAAGAAAAACGAGAGAGAGTAAAAATGGCAATGGAGATCGGGGAAGATGAATGGATGGTTTGTTGCGGAAGCTCTGATTTCGCGAAGCTGATGGTGAAAGCTTCTCCGTTTAGCTCTTTAGAATCATCAATCGATGCTGCAAGAGAAATCTGGTTCAACCAAGTGAATGTTTCAGCTTGGCTTGAAGCCTTCGCTGCTCATCCTCAGATTGGGAAAGCTCCTTCCCCTTCTAGCAACTCCGATTTCGCTCATCGGAGCGTAGCAGAGCAGTCCACGGCCTTTGCCACTACTTCTAATTCTGCCTTACAGGTGATTTGATCTCCGATTTTCTTTTCGTCGTGTCTCGATCAGTATTTAGTTCTCTGATGATAATGATGAATTTTGCTTGGCTTTCTTAGGAGCTTTCCGAGTGGAATGTACTCTACAGAGAAAAGTTTGGTTTCATCTTCATTATTTTCGCCTCCGGCAGGACTCACACTGAGATGCTCGCCGAGTTAAAGGTCAACTCGGCAACTTGATAATCATTATCAATTTCTACTTCAATGAGTCTCCAGAGAGTGACATATTCTCCAAATTGCCTCTCTTTTTTCAGGGAAGGTATGCAAACAGACCAATAGTGGAGCTCGAGATTGCTGCTAAGGAACAGATGAAAATAACAGAGCTCCGGATCGCAAAGCTCTTCTCCGAGAAGGCTAAAGGTGTTTCACAAACCGAGTCAACAAAACCTCAAGGTATGACTGTGTGCTTGAATCTCTTGGGAGTCAGTTTTATATCAAAGGATGTGTCTTTTGGAATAGACTGTCATGGCTATCGTGTCTGCTTTCTTGCTTGGTTTTAGAAGATCGTCTGAGAATCATAGGAGGGCATTTGAATGTTGCAGCTGAAGCAAAAGCTCACAAGAGAAGTAGGCCACCCATCACGACTCATGTCTTGGACGTCTCACGTGGTGCTCCAGCTGTAGGTGTCGAAGTGCACTTGGAGGTGTGGAATGGTGCTGAAGGTCCTTCCTTTCGTCATGGAGAAGGTGGGGTCTGGTCCATTGTGGGCGCTTCAGCTACTGATAAAGATGGACGTAGCGGACCACTGATGGATTTGGTTGAGGCTTTGAGTCCAGGGACGTATAGGATAAGCTTCAACACCGGGAAGTATTGCCCAGGAGGTTTCTTCCCCTATGTTTCCATTGCGTTTGAGGTTACAGAATCTCAGAAATGGGAGCATTTCCACGTCCCTTTGTTGCTTTCACCATTTTCTTTCACCACATACCGTGGGAGCTAGAGCTGCTACTGTGCACCTAGTCTTTCAATACATTTGGTCTTGGTGGTAATGTTACTGTACAACTATCAAAATTGTAATAAAATAAAATCTTTATTTGTGCATCTCTTTGGTTTGTGAACTTGTGTAATTGACATTGAATTGGCAGATGAGCAAAAATGTTGTGATTTGATGTTAAACTTATTGCGAGCAAGACAGTAGTAATCGTTTAGATTATCAATTTACCATGTTAGACATCTACGGAGATTCCAAAATTTTGCACAAAATAGTCAACCACAAAACATAGCCTCTACAAAATGGTTGAACACAAAAGTGATTTCTTAAGCTTCCGCACCAAAAGGAGCTTTTGCACCTCTCTAGCTAAATCTATCCTTTTCTCCAAAAGTCAACAAATCCTTTGGCAAATGACATTATATTGCTCCAAGCGCCTGATTGTTCTCTTGTTTTCACCTCACCAGCACCTTCCTCTGAAACTTGTCTGCAAAATAACATGTATAAGAAAACAAACCGATGTTATACCAATATGATTGACTTGAATTGACTTTTTCTATTACTCAGTCAGCAACAAGAGATCCATCAATGAAACATAACATAAACTGTATATATAAGTATCCAACCAGCTAGGGAGCGACATACCTGTTCTCAGTAGGCAAATCATTTGCTGAAACAGCAGCTCCTTCAGGATGGTCTGCTTCCGACTTTTGACTACCTAAGAGCGTCAATTTTTCCTCTTCCTCAGTCTCTGGGTTTTTTAAACATTCCTCTGATACCACTGACGTTTGAATTTCAGGAAGATGAGTATTGGTAACGCTTTTACTGCCAACACCATCTTTAGGAGCGGTCTCTGTTGCTGTTTCATCATGTGTTGCAGTAATGTCAAGCTTGTTGCCCTGGAGATTACTTTCATTAGAGACAGGGTGAGAAGACTCTACTGTAGCCTGCTTGTGATCACTTCCTGCCTCGATTGTAACAGAACTGTCACGTGTTGGAGTAATGTCAAGATTGTTGCCCTGGAGATTACTTTCATCAGAGACAGGGTGAGAAGACTCAATTGTAGCCTGCTTCTGATCACTTCTTGTCTCGATTGTAACAGGACTGTCACGTGTTGGAGTAATGTCAAGATTGTTGCCCTGGAGATTACTTTCATCAGAGACAGGGTGAGAAGACTCTATCGTAGCCTGCTTGTGATCACTTCCTGTCTCGATTGTAACAAGACTGTCACGTGTTGCAGTAATGTCAACATTGTTTTCCTGGAGATAACTTTCATCAGAGCTAAAATGAGTAGAATCTGTTGCACGTGTTGGAGTGATGTCAAGATTGTTTCCCTGGAGAATAATTTCATCTGAGAAAGGTTGAGAAGACTCTATTGTAGCCTGCTTCTGATCACTTCCTATCTCAACTGTGTCAGGACTCTCAGCCTGTAACAGAGAAGCAAGAGTAACTGAGCAAAATGATAAGTTCAGTGTAAGTAAATTCAAACTGATGAGCAAGATGCTTACTTGAAACACAGCGTCATCAACCACAGGAGAGGAATGTTCTGCATTGCAAACAGAGCTATGCGACTGAGAGCCAGTATCTGCATCATCTAAAGTCTGTGAAGAAGCATCATTTGGCACAGATGCAGAGACTTCTGAGAGTGCTTTAGCTACGATTGGCAAAGATGCTTTGGGATTGAGTTTAAGCTCTTGAAAGATATCCCTGACAACATAATAACCGCCTCCCACTTCCTTGTGAATAACTCGCAGTGTAGGGTATTTGCCAGCATTAGCTGCTCTGTATCTGCATACAGACAGTACCTTATGTTAGGATCTTGATGCCTTAGCTGCACATATTGCTATGAGAGAAGCATAATAAACAAAAAAAAGCCATGGAGAGTGAATTACTCGGCGATGAAAGACTCAACCGCAGCTCGCCGATCATCTCTTGATAGTCTTTTGGGAGTTTTAGGAGTCGTTAAAGCTTGGCAAGCGGCAGGAGAGCTATAGAGCCTTGAACGCAATACAACACCAGCATTCCTACGTGTAGCAGACACTGCAAAAAAAAAGACAGCACTGTTTTAACAACGAGTTTCAGACAATTGGAACCAAAACACATGAGAAATGAAAAGGGTAAAGCTCTGTTACAGGTAAGTTGTTTCAGCTGTTTAAGCATCACTCCACAAGCCCTTTGTTTACGAAGATAGTAGTTAACGAGGATCGGTTCTAAGAGACTGCCACTTGTACATCATCAGCGCGATCGAATCCACGCAACAACTCCATTAACACTTCCTTCTGTTTCCTAAACAACACAATAAGTAAGCATCGATTCGGGTTCTCAAATTTCTTTTTACGACTATATAACGGGTGATCTCAGTAAAGTGTTTTAGCGAACATCAGCTTCTATTAATTAATTCATCTTATAAGGATATGAAGTTTGGAGGGAGAAGAAACTTCGAAAAGCGATAACGAGAAACTTACGTTTAGAAAGGAATCAATCGATTACCACAGTTGGAAAATTGAGAAGCTTGCTTGGAGGGTTTGAGAGAGACAAACCCTCAAAACAAACGGCGAAGAGCGAGGAAAAAAAAAAACAGTAGGGTTCGATTTCGCTTTTTTCCTTTCCTAATAATTTAGACAAATGCTCTGTAATAACAAAATAAAATATTTCATAAATAAATGCATCTACCTGAAAAATGGGCTAAAAATCATTGGAACAAAACAAATGGGCTAATTCTTGTGGCCCATTGAAATTGTCTATCTTTTGCGTGCTGTTGAAGATTCTTCTCTTTCCAGGAGATTATTCTGAGTGGTTCCAACTTCCAAAAACCCATATTTATAGCCGCCTTTCACTTGTTTTACTTTGTTTTTTTTTTTTTAATATATAAAGGGTTGTTTTAGTTATAAGTTGGAGTAACAGATATGCTCAAGAAAGTAATTTAAAATTTAACAATCATGGAATCAATGCCAACTCCTCCCTTCGACGTACTGCGTCATGATATGTTAGCGTTTGCATGCGTGCTTTATTGGTTGGTCTTTGTGTTTGCCATGATCTGTCAAATTACGTGTCTTATTTTGTTAGAATCGTTGACTGATGATAGTGTATCTATGGAAAGTAATCGCTTAATGGACATCGAACTCGGGAGGTTGCCGGCCGGTGAGACCATCCACTGCATATCAGATGGGGACGACGACTGATTTCCTAAGATCTCTTAGTTAATCTTAATTAGTTTCTCTCCCGTTTTTAGTTTTTAGTTAATTACAATTTACGGTGGAAGTTAGATCCAACCGGAGATCTCTATCAGAGTTTAAAGATTTAATCCTTTGTTAGTTCAATTGTTATGAGTCTGACATTAGTCATCGACTCATCGATATTTTAATTCAACTCCTTTACTTAATTAATTACTAGTATATATATAAATCCCATGCAATTGTTATGAATTCGATGCAATTGATTCCAATTGAACTTGGGGTGATGTTGAGCTCCTAGTTGAATAATTTTCTTCATGTTTTTGTTGACACAAAATACTAAACAATATCCATCAATATTGCAAGACTATACTCTAGTCTTGAAAGGGGATGAAAGCAGACTATACAACCAATTCTTCCTTCGAACATAAAACCTCATAAATCACATGACTCACAAGTATTTTACATAGCAATAACTTTTTTTTTTTTTTTGAACGGCTTACATAGCAATAACTATAAATTGACAATAAGGGAATCATTCCACTCCGCAAACGAATTTCCCATGGTAAACGAATTGAAGGTCGCACAATTGTTGTAACGTTTTCTTTTTGGTGGCGGAGCTTTCTGGTCCGTTTGGTTACGTTTTCTTTTCTTCGGATTATTCCAGTTATTGTAACCCAGTTCTGTTTTAGGTTTTCTTTTCAATTTCGAGCCCCTTGTAGATTTCTTATTTGTATAACCATTCCCTTAGCTTACTAATAAAAACCTTTATAAAAAAAAAAAAAAAATCCCAAAATTGTTGAGCTAATAAATAATTAATTATTATTTGGTTTGATTTATTTCGGCTTTGGATAGTTGTTCGAGACAATATCAAAACGAAAGTAAAGATAAACAAAATTCAAAGTTATTTTTTTATAATAATTAGAAATATATATTGTTGAGCAAAATCCTAAGGATATTATTATTAGGGATTGGAGAGAATGGATTTGGTTTTAGCTAGGTTGTCTAGATATATATGGACAGGCACTTATTCAATACTTTAAAGAATTTTCGTAATATATATATAACTCAAATTATAGATGTTGTTAACCAGGTTAGGAGTCAAACACGCCTTTCCCCAACAAACAAAAAAAAGTTAGGGGTCAAATACTCTTATACTGTTATAGGTCGTTTATATTTTTCTATATAGAGTCTCACGATTTCTCGTATTCATATATCTAGTAATCAGGATTCAACAAGGACTATAAGCTGAATTTCTGGAGTCGTCTCTCTAACACCATGGATGCATCACAATACGAAGAAATTGCAATAGTGTTGTTCCGGGTAATGGTGGTGATGTCCATGATTGCTTTCTTGTTCGGCTCTTTTCTCTGTGTTAAAGTTTGCGCACGGATATCTAGTCAGAAACAGGAAGAAATTGTACATGTTTCAACCCATCATGATTCAAATTCACGAGCTTGAATGATGTATGACTACAAAGACGATAGCACATAATTATTTACCCATATAATCTTTTTTTAGGGTTATATATTGGGTTTAGACATTTGCTTATTTATCTTTTGCTTAGATTTTATTGTGGGGCATAATTCTTTTTCGTTTCTTTCTTAATTAATTAAAGACAGATCAGATTCACAGCAAGGATCTTGTGGTCGGTGTATTTTTTTTCCGGAGATAATTATATTTGTTGACAAAAACAAAATATATATTTAGAAAGGATGATTCTATATGAATATATATTTAGTTTTTTTTATAAAGATAAACACAATATTCTTCTGATCGGATAACAACAAGACTTACGTCAGATATTAATTAGGCTAACAAGGAAGAAAGCGGAAAAAAAAATATATATATATGCAAGAGTTTCTTATATCTATTGCAGCAGAGATTGAAAGCCTCTATCTAAGTCTTATCACAAAAATAAACTTGTTAGTCGATAGCTTGACCATGCAGGATGATGACTATGACCTCTCCTCAGAAGATCTGTTACAATTAATCTACGTGATGATGGGATGCATATTCCTTTCCTTAGTCTCTTTTGGCACCTTTCTCTATTTTGATTTTCGCAAGTCGCGAGCTATTGATAAACCCACATATACTATTCTGAAACCCGACGAGAAGATCAGCGACCACGACGTCGACCGGGGATCCATAATCGCCAATCGAGTTTGAAGAAGTAATGGTTGTTTTGTTCATTATTATGGGATTAAGTTCAATTTGTTTTTTTAATTGTTTTAAAAAAAGAAAAACATCTACGAGTCATCGTCTTTTCAATGGGACTAATTCCTTAATTATGTTTGCTTTTATGTCTTACTACTACGGATACATCATACATGATACATCAATCACTTTCAATGGATATATTTTGTTGATCTCTCTCTCTCTCTCTCTCTGCACATGCAATCGATGATTGCAATAGAAAAGTAAGAAACTGAAGAAACCACGCAAAGCCCGAGGAAAAAGGTCCCGGACATCGTTACACCGTTTTAATAATCAGAAAATAAGTAAGATGAATGAGAACAATTGTTACACCGCAAAACGACAATAAGAGAGGGGGGGAGGGGAATGTCTTCTAGGACCTAGTAATCGTGTCGCTGAGCTTCGATGGTAAGCCGCGTAGAGTCCTGGCGTGTTGGAGGAGATAGAGGCAGCCAACGATTAGGATTCTTATTTCTTAATTATCCACACAAAAAAATAATGCGAAACTGTGTGTAAAAAGTTAAATTACCAATGACTATTTTAATAATGAATATCTCCTACATATTTATTTGAGAAAATAAAAACAAGACGATCACTTTTAATATAATAACTCTAAAAAGAGAAAAAGAAGGAAACAAAAACAAAAAATTAATCTGATTTCTTATGAAGATTCAGTAAAAAAGGTAATTTCAACCCAATATGAAACATGTCATAAAGTTAATTGGAAATCAAAGGGTATAATAAAAAAAACAAGATAATCAGAATATCTTATTATATAAAGCTGGATGCGCACAATGTGGTTGCGACACGTAGGATTTTTATAAAATATAGGATTACGACATGTGTCACTTTTAATGTTACATCCGTTAAGATCGTGACATATGTCTTAGGAAAAAGGAAAAAAAAATTTAAGGGAAAATTTTAATCTTTCATAACAAAAACGAAAATTTATATAATAAATTAAAAAAATGTAGTAAAAATACATATTAGTACATGGAATAGGTATGTAAACTAAATATCATAAAACTGTATGGAATAGGTTACATAAACCCCTATTTTAAAAAAATCTTATTAGTACAAGAAATAGGTATGTAAACTAAATATTCTAAAACTGTATGGAATTGGTTACATGAACCCCCTATAAAAAGAGAGCTAATGTAGTTTCTCTAAATTAACATAATAAAAAATAAATAAATAAACTAATGAAAAAGATGTTAAAAAGGGAAAAATATTTTTTTCATATTGTAATGGAAAAATGTTTCATATTCCAACGGAAAAAAGGAACTTTTTTTTTTGCATGCCTCATTTAAGAAGAGAAAAAAGTTTCATATTCTAACGAGAAAAAAGGAAAAGAATGTGAAAAAACATATTAAAAAGGTGTTTAAAAAGGAAAATATATTTTTCATATTCAAACGGAAAAAGGAAAAAATATTTTGAATGCCTAAAAAGGTTTATATTCTAACGGAAAAAGGAAAAATATTTTAGTTTTCATTCAGAAAAATATTAAACTAATGTATTGAAGAATAAGTAATCAAAACATAATTAGAAAAATGATAATCAAAACAAACAAATAATTACTAATATGATAGAAATTTTAACCTGTAAGAGTTTCCTTAATGACGTTTTCAATATGATTTTTTTTATTTTTTTTATGAGTGATTATATTTTTGAGGTTATTTTGTTTTTTATTATATATTATTTATTTATTTTTTAATGATTTTAAAATATTATGTTATCAGTTCCGTGTATACATGGGACCTAATCTAGTAAATTAATAAATGTGACTATTGGGTTTTAGATCGTATTTTAATTACAGTACTTCCATAGATGATCTGGTTTTATTTTAAATTATTTTTTTGGTAAGTGTTGTCCTAAGTTTTCCACGAGAATACTTTCTTGTCAAACAAGAAAGGAAAACTTTTGTGAATTTTAAACGATGATTTTCCGTTGAACATCGGTGAATTTTACTTGGTCAAGCATAATGTCAACCATAAATGCCACTGTCAATTTTATTGCTTTGTCCACTATCGTAAACAAACATTCGCCTGTGTCTACTTAATAAACAGTATCCAATCAAATTCAGACTTTAGACTTGATGACATGGCAAAAAGCTGATATTTCTTCTATTGGATTTGATGACGTGGCAGTTTGTAACTTCCAAAATTCTGGGACTTGCTATTTTTGGGGCAATCCGTAATAGACCCAAATTGGTAATTAGCGTGTTTCCGCGAAAAACGCAAGTTAACAGAGAGTCAGAGACTACGCTTAGTAGAGCTCAGCAAACCGGGAAAGCATGGCGGAATTCCGTTTCTCTCTGTGATCGGCGACATCAGCTTCACCCGTTTCTCTTTCTAATTTCTAGTGGAGCTATTCAAACGAAGAAACCATGGTGGGATTCGATTCACAGCAGCAGCATCGCTCTCTGATCGGCAACTCTGAAGAAAATCGACGTAAGATCGTCCTAATCTCTTTTTTTGTTATCCCTTCTTCTAGTCTTGTATAGAAAGCAACGATCGGACGAATACAGTAGTAGAAATTTGATAATCGGAATAGTAGTAATTCGAAAACAGAGAGGAATGCTAGATAAGATTATCTGAATAATCAAATCGGAATGTTGGCGAATATTAGGGGTTAAAGTTGATTGTACGCAATTCGATCTTCATAGATGCTTATAGTTCTGATTATTGGTGATTTTCTCTTAAAGCGCCGCAAAAAATGGATGGATTGGAGAAGAGGATACATGATCTAAAATGGGGAATCGTAGCAGTGAATACACAGCTCTTGAAAATGCACAGCGTTTTAACGAATTAGCAAAAGAGGCTTTAGAAAACCAGAAATTAGCGAAGGAGGCGCCCAATGCTACGATTCAGCCTGAGGATGAAACTTCTGTGAATGCTCTTAAGGTATGCATTTCCCTTTTCTGAAGTTGAAGTGGATGCTGGTTTCTTTTTGTTTTACTTGCTGTTGAAACATACGTTTTAAATGCTAATGGACTCTTGCATTTCTGGCTTTTCTTATGGATTTGATGGGTGACGAAACAAAGATAAAGAGGAAAGTAATCTCAGGTGATTTAGACTTTCCTCTTTATCGAATATGTTCTACTCCTTGACATGATCTTAGGTTGTGATGGGTAATCTGTTCTTCTCTTTGTGATGCAGAGAACGATTTATAGAGAAAATGCTTAGACTAGGAGTGCAAGCAAGTGAGTTCCTGGAAACAACCAAACAGAACATGCATCATGAACAAGAAGAGGTTAAGACTAGACGTGAATTTTAGTCTTTGTGTTTGCTTGTTCTGCAGGTTTGTTTTTGATTTTATTGATTATGCAGATAAACGCTCTCCGCCAAGAAATACATAAACTTATCCAAGAGAATGATGAAATGAAGAAAACTAATGAGAGTTTAGAGACAAAACTGGATGAGCTTCAGCAAGAGAAGGATGGCATCAATGGCGAACTTCTACAGGCACAGAATAACCTGGCTGCCACAGTTAAAGATTCTTGGAGACGTGTCTCAAATCTTTCCATAAAGAACGAGTCTCTTACCCTAGAGCGTGATAAGGTAAGTTAACTCTTTATTTTTCAAGCAGGAAATCTTTGTCACATTTACGTTTCTTTTTTTGTAACACTTACGTTTCTCTTTATTTGTTCAGCTGACACAAGAAAGAATTTCATGGAATGAAGAGAAGAGTGAGCTGAGGAAAGTCAATGATGAAGTTCAGAATCTCAGTGAGATGTTAAAGAGAGAATTGATGGAGCTGAGGCAACAAAAGGATAGCATCAATCGCGAACTTCTACATGCACAGACCCAAATTGAAGATTCTTGGAGACGTGCCTCAAATCTTTCCATAAAGAACGAGTCTCTTACCCTAGAGCGCGATAAGGTAAGTAAACTCTTTATCTTTCAAGCGAGGAAATCTTTGTAACATTTACGTTTCTTTTTTTGGTAACATTTACGTTTCTTTTTATTTGTTCAGCTGACAAACGAAAGAATTTCTTGGAATGAAGAGAAGAGTGAGCTGAGGAAAGTCAATGGTGAAATTAAGAAAACTAATGAGAGTTTAGAGACAAAACTGGCTGTGCTTCAGCAAGAGAATGATGTCATCAATAGCGAACTTCTACATGCAGAGAAAACCATTGCTTATGCAGAGAAAACAGTTGCTGCCCAAATTGAAGATTCCTCAAACCTTTCCAAGAAGAATGAGTCTCTCACCGTAGAGATTCAGAGTTTAACCGACAAGGTAATTAAGAAAATTATTTCCTTTTCTAATGGAGAATATCTTTTTCTTTTTGTAAAGTTTCCTCTCTTTTTGTTCCAGTTGACAAACGAATCTGCCGAAGTAATCATCCCCAATTCCCCACTGGAAAAGATTGTTAACTTGTTTCCTTGTCAATGGATGAAGAATATTGTTGCTCCTAAGGGTCATATAGGTGGAGATGAATTAGGGAGCTTCATGGGTGCTCTGGTATCTACAACTGCTCTTATTGTCACCTATTCAAACAAAGACAAAGCCACTGCTGGTCTTGCCTTTTTTTCTTTGCTGGGGACCATGATTGGTAAATCCTTCAACAACGTCGTGAGCTATATGTCGATGGTAAAAATCTCTGTTTTAAGAGTTTTTAATCTTGTAAGTATATCCATTGCTTCTAATTTTTTTTTTTTTTTTATAACTTTATAAGGAAAAGGACGCTAGGATTCTCTCATGTTTATCAAAAGCCCCCAATTCCCTCCCTTGGATCCTTATTGGAGGAGGAATACCGATATTGGCAGGAGGCTTCATACCAGACTGGAACATCAGATTGATCATTACCTCCTTAATTTCCATGGCTATGAAAGTGGGAACCAGCTGCATGTGGAGCATCTCTTATGGAATCAAGGCTGATAAGGTATCTCTCATAGTTGCCTTGCGTGTTATAGGAATTATCATTGCAGCAGGCATTCCTGCCTTGAGCAGTATTGGCCAGAAAAGTCATGTCCCCACTGGTCAGGCGCTGATCAATGATAGTTGATGAGAGAAGCTGTCAATGGAAGTCCTTAACTATGTTTTTGTCCATCTCATATGTTTGAAAACTCTATGTGTGAAACCCTTAATGTCTGTATTGTTTATGCTTAAAAACTTTATGTCTGTATTGTCATTGTTATGTTTGAAAACTTTATGTGTGAAGACCCTTTGAGGTCAGATGTCTATGGATTCTAGAATTGGAGCAGATCAAGTTTTTTTCATGATGATAAAGAAGTCAAAATTTTTAGGTAGGAGTTTATGATTGAGAAAGCAATGTGAAAGCAAAGAAACAAGAGACAACTTAGTACCTTGTGACTAATCAAGTAAACTTAATGTGAAAGCAACGTATTGGTATCATTCTCATTGCATTTTGTTTCACAAAACCCTTTCACTTCAAAGTAGCTCAATGTATTGGTACCATTCTCATTGACTTGTTTCACAAAACCTTTTCACTTCAAAGTAGTGCATCGTATTTAAAATTCTAGCATCACTGACAGACAAACATTTGAGAGACTTTATAACTATAAGAAGGGAATCAGGGATCCACGGTGGAACCCTGACCTTATCAGTATTTAGCCAGCAAACATTCAGTTAATCCTCCAAAATAGAAATATTCATTTATACAGGTTCCTTTCTGGATAATCTTCCTCCCTTTTAAAGGGAGATTGTAACTGCCATTCATTTATATAGACAACTTGATTAGGACAAAATAACAGAACAAATTACACTTATGCTAAATGAGAAGGGACTAATATAAAGCCAGCAGGTTAGAATTATTCCATGAACATGAGCCAAATAATTCAAAGGTTGACGTTCAAACTTAAAGGAGGTTATCATGGTTGCCCTGGTTTTAAGTGATAGAAGTATACATTTGGATATAGAAAAGCAAACTCCCTAATTTTTCCTTTCAATGGAAGTCCTTAACTATGTTTTGTTGATCTGTCTCTCTCTCTGCACATGATCGAATTTAAATTATATTGGATTAACCTACTTCATAAATACTCTCTCCGGATCTTGTAACCACGTGTACACTCTTCAAATCTAGTTGACACGATCGATCTTGATATTCAACCGATGATTGCAATAGAAAAGGAAGAAGCCACGCAAAGCCCCAGGAAAAAGGTCCCGGATAACGTTTTAGTCAGAAAATAAGTAAAGATGAACGGGAATAATATTGTTCTACCGCAAAAACAATTTATGATTGAAAATAAGCATAACTAAACTAATTTAAACACCTTAAGAAACAAGAAATCACGACAATAATAGGGAAAACAAAATATCTTCTAGGACCTAGTACTAATCGTCTCGCTGAGCTTCAATGGTAAGCCGCGTAGATTCCTGGCGAGTTGGAGGAGATATAGGCAGCCACAAAAAGATATAAAGAAAACTATAACGAAGAAGATCATCACCGAAAACACAAATATCAGTTGTATATCCATCCATTCTAGTGATTCCTTAGGTGGATACTCCATCTGATCACAAACTGTAAATTATATGACAAACACTATGATCACGATTGCTCCACCGATAATGTGTGTATATATAGTCTTGACTTTTGATTTGATTATGATCAGCTCTACAAAATTTCTTTTTCATTCCCGATTATGATTATTAATAATTATCCACTTGTTAAAAAATAAATCAATTTAATGCAAAAATTGTTTGTAAAAATTACCGATGACTGGTATTACTACAACACACATACTGGTGAGCAGTTAATGGGGGTAAGTAATATGCGGAGGGGATTAACACTCTTACAAACAGAACTGGAAGTGTTGGTATGAGCTATGCAGAGCATGCTGGTACAGACAGGGCCGTGCCTACCTTATTGTGAAAAATGCATTAGCCTCAGGCCCCCAATTATGATATAAAGTTTTGAGGCCCCCAATTGCTTAAAATCTGTTGTAGTCTAGTGGTCTATTGAAGAATTAATTGATCTTAGTGATAAATCCCAAGTTCGAATCCACCTAGGACCCTAGTTAAGAGTTATTTTTATTTAGTAACTTGACTAATTTTTTGAAACATGTCATAAATATTGTTATGAAAATATATATTTTTAATTTTGGCTTCGGGCCTCTACAAGCCTTCGCACGGCACTAGGTACAGACAAAAAAAATAATGAGATTTGAGACAGATTGTTCAGATTTGGTGAAGATGATGTCTAAACCTGAAGAGTGGCCGGCATTCTCAATTCTGCTGGAAGAAGTCACAAAGTGCAAGAAGATGTTTTCGTCATTCTCTATCGCTTACATTCCAAGGACCAAAAACAAGAAAGCATACAAGCTAACACGGAGTGCTGGAGATCTCCTTCATGATATATATACTATGTAAAATCTTCATTACCGGTTTGGCTCACCGAGCCTCTCTAGGTGTTGAGGCTCCTGGCCAAAAAAATAAAATAAAATAAAATAATAATAATAAGTGCTCTGTGGAGCAATAATTATTTCTAGAGTACCAGTGTTAAACCAATCATGCTTTGATTTCATTTTTTTAATTTCAGAGCTATAATTTTAAATATGAAAATATTTTGGGCCTGATTGGTTGTGGCTGTAGCTTTAATTTTTTTGCTGTAGAATTAATGATGTAGAAATTTTGGCTGTGATTCTAGATTTTAGTGCTGTAAGATTTTTTATTATAGATTGTGTCATTAAATATAACATTAAAACAAAAAAGTTAAGATATAGAAATAATAGATTAAAAAATAAATGTTGAAAGATTAATAAGGAAAGAGAAGAGAGAAAATTCTAAGAGCACTTAATTTGGTGCTCTAGAAAAATTGCTTTCCAAAGCCACGGAACTTCCATAAATAAATAAAATTGCTCTGTGTTTCAAAAATGGAAAGAGATAAAATGAGAGCTTGATTGGTAATATGGTATTACTGTAGAGAGATTTAGGGCTGTGCAGAGCAACCACAGCCCCTACCAATCATCCCTTTTGGCTCTGCAGAGCAGATTTTTCAGAGCACAAATTTAGGGCTATGAGAATTCTCTCTCTTCTCATTTTTTAATCTCACACTCTATATTCATTTTTTTTAATGTTTCTTTCCTATTTCTCTTTTATTATTTTTAATGCTACATTTATGATATTTTATAAGAAATTATTTATAATAAAAAATTCTACAACATCATAATCTACAGACACAACAAAAAAATATGCAGCGTAAATTCTACAGCAAAAAATCCAAAACTAAAGACACAATGATCAGACCTAATAATAATTACCGATGAATCAAAAAGAGAAATGTATAATAATATATTAGAGAATGTTGTAGATATTTCTTTCTTTCCCTTCTTTGCTCAACATACATTCGTTTCCTTCTCTCTTTTTTGTTTTTCACTGAATTGGTTGGGTATTATAAGCTCTTAGTAAGAGCAAAAGGCACACAATGGTACCAAAGTGTTATTACAATGGGAGAAGATAGAGACAAGCCAAGCTTGTTAAAACAAAGAAAACTGGAGAGCAACTACAGAGCTCACCCGACAAAACAGAGCCATCCTAAGAGGGTCATAAGATGACACTTCCTTACACGCCATGCAAGCTTGTTTACTTCTCTCTTTTTATAAGCAAAATAGCATTTTAAAGTTATTATAATTTTAATTTCAAATAAAACTTAAAAGAAACGAGTACCTAGTACATCTAAAAACACGTAATTTAGTCAAGTAAGGTCATCTTCTTCTAGTTAAAATGTTCAATTAATGGATCATTCCAATCCGCAACAAATTTCTCATGGTAAACAAACTGAAAGGTCGCAAAGTTGTTAAGCTAAACACAAGTGGCCCGGTTTAAATTAAGTTACATCCTCAAACAATGTCTTTTCATCCACAACCTTGGCCATACTTCCGATTACTTGTACCCAAGTTTCTACTACTTTCTTAATTTTTCCATCTAAAATCTCCACCACTGTGAAAGCTCTTATTGTGCCACCATTCTCAGACTCTGCTGCTGCTGCTTCTTCAACTGGCATTTCATTTTGCCCAATTCCTCTCCAACTAATTCCCTGACAGTTCTCATTTGCCTCTTTAACCCTCGGAACTATTGCACCATTCACATAAATAAGCTGGCTCTCACTATCTTGCACAACCATCTTCCGGTTTCCTTTCCCCGATTCCAGCTCCTTGTGCATGTGTCCAAACACAACTAAAGGAACAGACAATTCCGTTGTCTCCTTCAACTGACGCAATGCCTGCTCCAAATCTGTCACCAAACCAACCACAATCAGCACTATGGAATCTTAAGCATGGATAAATGCCAAATTGAAAAGATGGCAGCTAACTTCACCTGGATCACCATGGTCACCGCCTTCAGCCGCCCAGTCTTTCCCACATATATCATCTGCTTGAGAACCAAGACCTGCAAGACACAAGAAAGCAACTACTTAATCCTGGTAACTTCAACACATGACTGGCCTTTAACTAGACCAATAAGAGAGGTTCAAAAGTTGATGCACACCTGTTGGCCCGTTATGCGCAAGAATTATAACCACATGATCTTCCGGTGTTCCAAGTGCAGCTCGACAAATACTCTCAGCGCTGGCATCCATATCACGAACTCCATACCTAGAAAGAGATCAAATTGTCAAAAATCAAATCACTGGACTAGTTCGTTCACAGAGATCACTCCTACAAAACAAAAGATGTTTCAAGTGTAGAAAGGGCTGCAGTTTCACTAAACTATGAATTCATGTGTTTTCAGTTACCAAGACCTCTACATACAAAGATCCATAAATACTTCATATAGAAGATAAATGAAGATGCATTTCTGCCATGTAATGCAAAGGCTAACCTCTGGACAAGCAGCTTCTTCCGATGCAACTGATCTCCCCCATGTGAAAAGGGCCGTCCACCAACAATACTGAGCTTAAATGAGGCGCAATCCAAGCGTTTGTATCCTACGTGCTCGTCACCAAGGCTGTTTGGTTGCAGGGGAAACAAATAAAGCACAAGACAAAAGTTTCAGGATATGTGTCAAGTAAACCAGAACCAAAGAATAATGATAGAAAAACCAGAAGCTCTTAACATCAAATCCGACGAACAAATCAAGAACAGCAAAACAAAAAATTTCCTTGGTTCAACCAACAGACCGTCTCTACATAAGGAGTTCCTAACATCGATTTTAAGTATCCTAAATACCAGACTAGCTGAACATTAAAAGCAAATAGCAGCAGTGTGTTACATTACACGAAACATCCCCAAGAATACATGTAGAAAAACAGGAGGAGCAAGCAGAATCCATAAGTGACAAAAAGTGACGGATTCAAAAAACATAACATGAAAGAGTCAAAAGCACAAGAACTCACATATCAAGTTGCATCTGAACACCGTTTTGCTTCCTGAGAGAAACATAAACAAGAAACACAGAAAATTTTAGGATTAGAAATCAAGTCAAGTTGGAAAAAAAGACGGTAAACAAGAGAAGAGTTTGGTAGTGTGAAGAGACTTTGAAAATTTCTGGGTGTGCCAGGCATCATGATTGCCCAATATCACTGCTTTAGGGAAAGGAAGCGCGGCTACGCTTTGCACAATTGGCACGTCCTCCTCGCCAAAATCACCTGACATGGATTTTTTAGTTGGATTTGAAATTTTCTGAATTAAGAGCAAGTAGAGAAATTCGAAACGAAATAGCTACCTGTGAAGAGCACCAGATGAGGCTGCAAAATCAAGTTCAGAGTAGGATTTAGGGTTTATCAGCCACGGGGACGAGTGAATAGATTAGGGAGATGGAAAAAAGATGAAGAAAATCAAAAAGTACCTGCAGTAGCCGAAGAGCCTTTCGATCTTCATCTAGGTCCCAGGAGCCATGCTTCAACAGAAGAAGAAGTAGATGAACAACAATTCAGTAGGATAAAAAGGTGTGTGTGAGAGAGAGAGAGGGTGGAATTAAACTTACAATATCTCCGACAACAGCGATTCGGACAAGAGAAGAGGACGCCATTGGAGAAGAAGAACAACAGAAGCAGAAACCCTGTTGTTTTGTTATGAATTCCTGGCGCAATACTGAAGATTATGAATAAAAAAAGGAGTGGAAGCCAAGCACAACAGTGAGCACACAAGAATATCGAATTGTGGAGAATCCAATAACAAGAGAGAATCCGCCATTAATCAAGCACATATATAGAGATACCACTAACCGGAATGTCTCTGGTGTCGGCTGGGTCGAGTGATGGCGTCGAGGAGTATCTAAAAGAGGAACAGAGAAGAATAGGAACTAGCTTCTAGGCACCGAAAGAGGACTCACGGTGGTAGAGACGACGGATACGGCGACAGTGGATGCGAACGGCAAGACGAGCGGAGGTAAAGAGCGCACGACAGAGGGTAATTGAATTTCTAAGCCGTCGTCGTCGCCGCGACTCGCGATGGTTCAATCCCGGTTCTTTAGGTCTGTTGTACTTGTAATCAATTTGTTAAACCGGATCGGAAGACGGACAAAAAAGAATGTGAAGGGATCAATGAACTTCAGTTTTTTTAGATGAACTATTGATTTTTAACAACAGGAATTATTGGTTGAATCCGTTTTTGTAAGCTCATTAAAATACGTTGAGCTATGGGATTGGGAAATTTTACAAAAAAAGGAGTGGGAATTGGGAAATTTTACACAAAAAGGATTATTGTTGACAAAAAGGAAATTTTACACATTGATTCCTAATTCGATTAAAATTCCCATTTTACAAAAATGGATTCAACCAATACGGTGAACAATAATCGAATTGGGAAATTTTGTTTGGTTATGGGATTTTTTATTGTAATTGGTTCAAATTCGGTTTAATAGCAAATTCACGGATCCGGCGGCCCAGACCGGTTAAAGTAATTATAAATAGGCCGAAAAGAAAAGAAGTCATCAACGGCTGCAATGTCTTTATCGATATCATAATCGACGGCTACGGTCTCTCTCCTTTTGAGCGATTTGATCACAGATAAAAAAAATAATGCATAATGCTACAAAATAGTGATACAAAGGAATTGGATTTTGTTATCTTTTAGACATTTAGTTTACAATCCCAACCCAGAAACGAAACAGAGAATCCCCCTTGTTTACAAAAAAGAATGCTTCTTCTACATGCTATTTATTACTGTATCAATCAAGCTATTGCTAAGTCTTCTCTTTCCACCTCCTTTCCATCTTCTACTGTCACACCTTCAAGACGCTCTGATAACTGCTCCACAGAGGTCTCTGCTTCCTTGTCTTCTCTCTTCCCTCCATCTTCCCCCACCGTTTTTTGCCACTCTCTCTCATCATAGTAGCCAAAATCATCAAGGATCGATGTGTGTGCCTCGTAGTCTTTGAAAATTCTGAGCATCTCAATCCCCTGACGCAGCTTCACCTATTAATATAACACTTCCTCAATCAGTTAAAAGTCATTTCACCACACACTTTAATGCCAATGCAATATCCAGTTATTTAGTTTCCTAATTCCAACACCAACAGCTATAACATACGACACCTAGACAGCAGTTAACGAATGATAAGACAAAGACATAAGCAGTAAGACCCACCTCCTGAGAGTCCCGGCTGTGTGTCACCGGCTTGTTGTCATTGTTTTGCAAAAGAATATGACTAAATCGGTTATTCGGTACATCTTTCACAATATGCCATTTCACTGGGAACTGCCCACTCCATCTGTCCTGCTGCCAGTGCGCAGCATCCTTTTCAAAATCTACAGGTCCGACCATTTCTGACACCCCACAGAATTGTCCACTAGCATTTACCTGCAACATTCAAACTCTGGTTAAGCTTTACTATTCTCTTGTTGTCTTCTCGTTGCTATCAAAAGAAACTTATCGGTTACATTGATAGAAAAAGCCATACCGAAAAGAACAGAAAGATTGGACATTTGCCGCCCAACTTCTCAGCATCCCGATAAGCAGTATCTAACTTCTTGTTGCCATGTGGCGTGCTGGCCCAGACATTGTACTTGATACTTCTGTGGACATTGTCTTCACTAAATGACTTGACGATAAAGAACTTGGCATTCTTATAATCCGTCACGAATTCTGGAAGGTTGTACAAACTGGGAGGATTTGGTCCAGATGTGCTCGAATCGTTTGCTGAATCACCAGAAGAAGAACAAACTCCGGAGCTGTTCTTGCTCTTCACCCTGCTGGATGCCCTTGGTCCTCGGTTGCCATACAGATCAGTGGTTGTAGATACAGAACTGAACTCCCTCTCTCGCCGTTTACCTATGTCAGGTGTTAATCTGACTTGATTATTATCAGCTCCTCCATAGTATGAGGCCATAGAGTTTGGACTCTGGTAAGATCCTACATGATAATACCCTCCCAAGGAAGAGCTTGAAGCCACCCCACTCTCATGCAACGGTAACTGACACAAGGTAGCAAAAAAAAAAGTGATAAGCCTATCAAACTGTTCACAAAAATCTGAAATTAACTAGAAGAAGGAAACTAAAAATTGTAAAGCCAAAACAGAATATGAGCATAAGACACTGAAAGAGTTTAAAACCTGTGAAGCATTATGGTCGTATGGCCCAAGTATACCCATCGTTTGAGGATAAGGTACAGGGGAAGTCAGAGAGTTGCCCACTTGATTCCCGGAAAAGTTGCCATATCCCCCAAAAGGAATCATATAAGCAGAAGTTGGGTCACCACCAATCTCCGAGGGAGTAAAATGCATAGGTGAAGGTGTACCAAACTGTGGGTAATAAGCTGTGGAGACTGGAATTTGGCCCTCCAACATCATAGATTGATAAGGGTTGTAGCTATAACCAGGGTGGTACATAAAAGATGAATTTTCATTGTAGACAACCTGAGAACCAAAAGCAAAATGTAAGGTAACGAAGTGGCAAGAGCAAATAAACAACATGTAAGAGCAAGTCGTCCTAAACCTGTGGCACATGCAGGCCTTCAGGGGTAGTAGCATATCCTGAATATCCATCCCAGCCAGTGATGCTTTGTGCATAACCTAAGAAAAACAGTAATGCAGTGAGCACTTACAGTCGCTTTTCTCAGAAAGGGGGTTATAAGAAGAGAGAGAGAGAGGAGAAACAAATTTACCAGGATGTGCAACATCCCAATCGTAAGGATAGAGATTCGTAGGGGTTTGAAGAACGTTGTAATACGGGGTTGGATTAGGAGAAGGACCAACGGAAGAAGAAACATTTCTTTCGTCATCGAGAGAAAGCTGCTGGTGAAATTGAGAATGTGTGAATCAAAATCAAAATTGAAATTGAAATTGAAATAGGGGAAACCAAGAGAATGAATAAAATACCTGCTGGACGCCATTATCGGCCATCACGGGTCTCTCCCCTGCGCGAAGTCAACATATCTCATCAGAAGTAGAAACAGACATTGGAGGGCGATTAACGGCTCTATAATGGCCTAGGGTTTGGATCCGATTGGGGATTTGATCATCGAAATCGGAGATATACGAAAGAGAAAAGAGAATGAGGGAAGAAGAGTGTACCAGAAGAGACGATTCGGTTGCGCTGGTTTCTGGAAGAAGCGGGATCCATGGAGGAAGAGAGATCTGAGAGATCGGGAGGTTTTGTGAAATGGAGAGAATTTTGAAAGACTTGTGTTGTGGGCCCGTATTTAATACGAAAAAATTAAGGATTCGGTTTTTTAAGGCGGTTTCAGCCTTTTTCTGTCTTGCCATATGTGTTTCAAGTTTTCAACGACCCCAATAACTACACATGCGAACCACTTGCGTCGTTTCATCGCTAATCGGGTATGTGCAATTATGCATTGTGCAGGGTTTTAATTTTTTTGATTATCCTCCCGAAAACACTGACTCAAAAGTCAATACCTCTCATTTGCAACAATTGTGTGTGTTGACTAATTTTTAATTGCACCAATAGTTACCATAGAGATAATCGAAATTTGAAGAACTAGCCAAGCCAACCACAGAATCTGTGATTATAATACAAAATGAATTATGGTTAATGCTTTTAGGACCATAATTTGGTTTTTTGGTAAACCGTTCCGCCAAAATTCGTTAAGTTTTTAAACGTACTATAGGATTTGTTAAATACGGCGTGGTTGGCCCCAGTTGGGTGAAGTGAGGTCTTTGTAGTAATCCGATTAAAATGACCATTTGGTGAGGGGTGAGGACTGAAGGACTTTTGAGTTTTAACCCAAGTCGTATTTAACCTCATTGACACCAAATTGGACATAGTGCTTCAAATCTATCTTTCTATGATTACTAGCATTGTGTGTGTCTTCTCCTGTATTCCATATAATGCAACTGAAAACGTATATCTTAAAACAGACATGGAACTGCTTTTTCCTTGTCATATAGACAGTTACATAAATGCACATAGTCATATGTTGAAATCTAAAACAATGTGAGGGATAGAGAGGTAAATGTTTTTTTTTGGGGGTTAATATCTTTCTTTCTTTTTACGCCACCGAGGTAGTAAATAACAGAAGTCATATATAAAGGTATCTCATTAACATGTTTATCATGGGTGAACTAGAGGAATGAAACATACAAAGACAGAAAGCAAGAAAAGAGGGGATGAAGAGATAAAAATAGGTGTCAATCGGTGTTTGAGCCATAAATGGCTTTACCCTTAATAATTAACTTCATTCCAATTTTAAAACCCCTTCTTTGAGTCTTTCTTTTGCCCCAAGCTTCCGTTTTTTTTTTTTCATTTTTCTTTTCAATCTTCTCTTTTACAATCTCAAAACCCAAACGGGAAAAAGAAGCACAAGGAGGCAGAAGAAGAAGGGGCATATGTTCTTGATTTCTCGTTGTACGTAAAATCTCGTCCTTCATCTCTTTCACATTTTCTTATACGTAAAATCTCGTAATAGCTTTTCCATTGGGGTTAAACACATGCAGGATCAATCATGCTGCGGTTTTTCATCCTTTTTTCCCTTATCGTACACACATGTGTTGCGGCCCCCAAGACTCCTGCTGCTCCCGCAGCTAACCCTGCCAAGAAATGGCTCACCCTTAACGGTATCATTTTCCATTACCTGTCTATATTTTATGCTGATTACAAAACCTGTTTGTTTGTTTGTTTGTTAAAAGAACCCATACCTGTCTTTTCTTCATCTATGTTTCAGGACAAGAGCCTGCGGTAGTGGCCAGAGGCGGCTTCTCGGGTCTTTTCCCCGAGTCAAGCGCTCCTGCAAACGACATGGCTATAGGCACCAGCTCACCTGGTGTCACAATATTGTGCAACCTTCAGTTGACAAAGGATGGTGTGGGCATTTGTTTGTCTGATATCAGGCTTGACAATGCAACAACCATCGCCACGCTATTCCCCAAAGCCCAGAAGACCTACAAGGTCAATGGTCAGGACCTCAAGGGCTGGTTTGCCCTTGACTACTCTGCCGACACCATCTTCTCCAATGTCTCCCGTTAAGTCTTCTTCTCTTTTTCTCCCTTAATGCTTTCCACCACCACTACACCCTTTCATGTTTTGTATTATTTGAGCAGTGGTCCAGAACATCTACTCTCGGCCCAGCATCTTCGACGGCCAAATGCAAATTTCCGCCGTGGAGGACGTCCAAGCAACCAAGCCTCCTAAGTTCTGGTTGAGCGTTCAGGTTTCTTTTCTTCACCTCTTTGAGAATATGATTGATCAACCTATGGAGGGTTAAAAAAAAACAATACAAATGTGCAGTACGACGCCTTTTACATGGAACACAAGCTGAGCACAGCAGAGTACCTAAGAAGCTTGACATTCCGTGGCATTAATGTCATCTCATCTCCAGAGATTGGTTTCTTGAAGAGCATTGGGATGGACGCAGGAAAGGCCAAGACAAAGCTCGTATTCGTATTCAAAGACCCCGAAGCAATTGAGCCCACCACCAACAAGAAGTACAGTGAGATTCAGAAGAACCTTGCAGCCATCAAGGCCTTTGCTTCAGGCGTTCTTGTACCTAAAGACTACATTTATCCCCTTGACACGGCTAAGTACCTTAAGCCCGCCTCCACCTTTGTGGCTGATGCCCACAAAGCCGGTCTAGAGGTCTATGCTTCTGGATTTGCCAATGACATGCGCACAAGCTTTAACTACAGCTATGATCCTTCGGCTGAGTACCTCCAGTTTGTGGACAATGGCCAGTTCTCTGTTGATGGAGTCATCACCGATTTCCCGCCAACAGCATCACAAGCCATCTGTGAGATAACTTGCTATCCAATCCACCCTCCTTACATGTATCTTTAAAATCCTGATAAAAAAAGATGAAGCTAACGCATCACTCGTCTGTGTTCTTGCAGCTTGCTTTGCTCATCAAAAGAAAAATCTTCCCAAAGTAGGTAAGGCGTTGGTTATAACTCACAATGGAGCAAGTGGGGATTATCCAGGCTGCACTGATCTTGCTTATCAGAAAGCTGTTGATGATGGAGCAGACATAATCGACTGTTCTGTCCAGATGTCCAAAGACGGAATGGCTTTCTGCCATGATTCTCCAGACCTCACCGCAACCACCACCGCCATGACCACTTTCATGTCCAGAGCCACCAGCGTTCCTGAGATCCAGCCTACCAATGGAATATTCTCTTTTGATCTCACATGGGCCGAGATTCAGTCACTCAAGCGTAAGACACTGATATCTTTTAGCTTTCTGAAACCATCTCATTCATTCTCAGGTAAAGTTACTGAGATTTATAATGTCTTTATATCTCCAGCTCAAATCCAGAGCCCCTTCTCGGCTTCCACTGGCTTGCTAAGAAACCCTGCAAACAAGAATGCCGGAAAACTCACGACTCTCGTTGACTTCCTCGAGTTCAGTAAAGCAAAGGCGGTCGCCGGAGTTCTGATCAACGTCAAGGCAAGCCTTGTTTGTAAAGTCATCTGAATGATCCTTAACTTAATAAAGTCATCTCCGCTAACGCCTTGTTTGTTGACAGAATGCTGCTTATTTAGCCTCAAAGAAAGGACTCGGAATTGTAGACGCGGTCAAGTCTGATCTGACCAAATCCACACTCGACAAGCAATCAACCCAAAAGGTTTTGATTCAGTCAGATGACAGTTCTGTTCTGTCCAGTTTTGAGGCTGTCCCTCCCTTCACCAGAGTCTTGAGCATCGACAAGGAAATCGGAGATGCTCCCAAGCCATCCATTGAAGAAATCAAGAAGCACGCAGAAGCTGTCAATCTCAAGAGAAGTTCCCTCGTCACCATCTCCCAAAGCTTTGCCACAGGGAACACTACCGTGGTGGCGGAAATGCACAAAGGGAATATCTCTGTTTACGTCTCTGTGCTAAGGAACGAGTACGTCTCCATCGCATTTGACTACTTCTCTGATCCTACGATAGAGCTCGCCACATTCATTGCAGGGAGTGGCGTTGATGGAGTCATCACTGAGTTCCCTGCCACCGCTACCAGATACTTAAGTAAGTCTTAAACCTCTAACAACATACACATAGTCAAGACAAAGATTGATACATATATATTTGATGCAAATGCAGGGAGTCAATGCGCAGATTTGAACAAAGACCAGCCCTACGCCATCTTACCTGCAGAGGCCGGCGCATTACTCACCGTGGCAGCCAAGGAAGCACAGCCACCGTCTAGTGCCCCAAACCCGCCTCTTGATGCCAAAGACGTGATTGATCCGCCTCTGCCTCCTGTTGCAAACTTGGCCTCCACTAATGCAAGTGGAGGAGCTCCACCAAATGCCACTCGTTCAGGCACAGTTGCCACCGCTGCTAATATCGGCCTGTCTATACTAGCAGTCTTGTCCTTGGGTCTTCTCCTTGCTGCCTAATAAAGATTAATGCACACTTTGTAATATTTTCCTCTTCTGCATTGTCGTTCACGGCCCTCTTGTTGAAGCACTTACCCCATATGGTTTCATCATATATTACGACGATACACAAACACACGTATTTATCTATACACACACACATGCACATGCACACTCCGTTCATAGCTCTAAATAAGTATTCTTTGTTGTCTAGAAATATTGATTAGAACAGAGATTGGAATACCAATTTGAATTTTCTCTCTTTCTCTTAATACTTGCCTAACCTTATCCACCATGGTTTCTGTGCATCTGATGCTTTTTTTTTTCTCAAAATAGTAAAGCTGCAAAAGACAAACATCAATAATCAAATCACATTAGGATTAAAAAAAAAGTGTTCTTGAGTAATCATATCACCATAAGAAAATTAACTTACTTTCTCCTGGCATACTGTACAATATGCTCTACCTGATATCTTATGTTGCATAGACATGTAATCTACTTTGCATTGTGGTCTCTGTTTCTCATTTGTGAAATTGAAAGATACTCCTCTGCGTAGTCTTTAAGTTGTTGAAATAAGGATATATATACGTGAATTACGAGTACCATTTACCTTTCCAGCTAGTTTTTAAGAACACACATGGTCCACATACCACACATGAGGTAGATCAAATGACATTTGCTTATTGCAGCCATCTAAACTCCCAAGAAGAGACCGAACCCGAACATGTATGATGTATTTATGTCTTATTGCTTTCAAATTACAATTTCTATACCCCTCCCTATTTTACAAGTTAGTTTTTCCGGTAGATGACAAGTTAAAGAAGACAAAACATTGCTGTCTTTAACATCGCACTTCTCTTGTTGTCTGGAAACACCATGGTCTAAGCCAGTTTTCAGCACAGCCGTCTAGTAAGGAAACACCGGTCCAATCCATAGTCCTAGACCGTTTCCTTACAGCAGCGGTTTTTCAAGCAGCGGTTCGTTCCTCCAGTGGCTCCTTGGTTTCTTTAGCTAATCTCACATTGTTTCCGTTTTCTCCTTTTCAGCGTTCTTCTTAGCTTCCGCCTCGACTTGTTTTCTGTTTTCTTCATGCGCACGATTGAACAGTCTTACAAAACTTAAAAGAGTCGACACCACTGCAATTCACAACCACTAGCTAGATTCAAACAACATGGTAACACATTGTTTCACACTAGGCTCAATCCATATATGTATGTATATGCATACCTTTTTCAAAATGGCACTTAGCAGGGTCTTCACCAAAGTAGCGAATTAAGCCGTCCACGTTTCTTCCCTGCAAATACGTAACTTATTTATTCTGATCAAGTTCACGACCAACGATAGAGAAGAGCAGGTTGGATCTTTGGGTACATACCACTTCCGCAAAGAAAGAAGCCAAGGACCTTACTTCTGCCTCTGCATGATGAAGAAATTCCTTCACTATCTGAGAAGAAGAAAGAATAAACATTGATATGTCATCAAACAACAGTGAAATGAATCGATCGTCAACTCCCTCACTGTTTGTAAAGACATTTGTGAGTTCTTTTGAAGAGGTTTGATTTTTCTCTCTACATATTCTTCTGTTTTTTTGGAGAAAGCCTTGAAGAAGAAGCAAGTAGTAATCAATGACAGAGATACCTTGTTAAAGTTGCTTGAGATTGGGCCATCTTCCTCGGACGAGGAGAGTTCCTCTACAACATTCCCCAGTCCCTTGTTTATAGCTTGCATCTCATCAGCCAAAAACTTGAGTTGAATCTGTATCAAACTTCTGAAAATTTAACACAGTTTCAAGATTTTTTTTGTATGAAATGTGAAAGCCAAGTACCTTTGTTGCGGGCTCCAGTGAGAATAGATCTTCTGAGAAATCTAAAACTTCTGGAATTTCCTCGGAAAGAATCTGCAGAGAGAGTCCATCAGACTCTGTCTCTATCTAGTAAATCCAAAAAGCTACACAAGGCTAGACTAAAACAGCTTACCCAGCATAGGTAATGCATCAGATTCTTATGGAAATTACTCGACCGTGTTTCACTGAGTTTTGGCAGACTGTCCAGTTTAAACCCAACAGCATTACCTACACAGAGAGACATTTGAGAGCAGGATAAAAGAAGAAGATCCAGAGTTGATAGGTTCCATTTCCAAACTCACCTCTATTCGTCCCCTGGTTTAGAGCGTTCCCAATGGCCAAAACTGTCTGCATTATTCTTTTGAGTTTTTCAGAATTCTTTATCTGATGGAAACAGGGACAAAAGTGCATTGGTAAGTTGTGTTTTAATCATGTTGGACACAGTTGAATCTGACTTACCTGTTCTGCTGTGGAGTGCACAACATTTAGACTATCCCTGAGTTGAGAAATCTAAAAAAGTTGTTCAAAGTAACCATGAGTACCAAAATCAAAGTACCAGATAATCTTAATTAGCAGGGTATTGGTTTTTCAGACCTGAGAAGAAAACTGAATTTTGAATGAGAATGCTCTCAGCTTTTTGTCTACACGTGGGACTTTCATCATCTCTAAGAAGAACTGTTCAAACAATTTCAAGAAGCATACTCGGTGTTACTGTGTAATCTACTAATCACTAATGGCTACTCCAATGAATTTAAAAGTTTTTCCATGTACCAGTTCGCATTTTCCAAGCATGTTCTTGTCACCATCGTAAGCCTGCAAACCAAGGATAAAATGAAGATAAGTCAATGGAACACATAAAATCTGGATCACAGAACTTTGTGCTCTTGTTATACCTTTAGTTTTGACATTTCATCTGTTGTTGGGCAAAACTTATTTAGGTTCTCAACCTTATCAGCATCAAGAGCCGATTCATCAAGGTTAAGCACTGAGTTCTGCCAATATTTTGAAAGAAATTTGACTTTTTAATTATCATGTGCACTTAAAGTACTATAATAACAACACATCCAAAACCCGTAGAACTTGATATTACCATCAAATCCTGCAAAGGTACTTTCACATTTGAAAGCATGATTTCACAATTTTGTGCTCGCTTGCCATCTATCTGCAAAACATAGTTTCCCATAGCAATTCGGTTGGATCAACCATAGAGAAAGCAATGCTATAATGGAAAATAATTCGTGTCAGATATAATTTACCAGTCGGATTATCTTCTTGACTTCAACTGGCTTCTTAATTACTGGCCGCACTGGATCAACTGCGGTGAAACAGATTTGAAGCTGTGCCCTGTTAATGTCAGGAGCCCTAAACCAACAAGAAATAATTAGTGTCTCGGAAGTTATACAAGAAGCCGGAGAAATCAGAGAAATAAATGAGGAACAATGCGTACTTAAAGGCACCACCAGACATTGGTGTTTCATCCCATATGCTCCCACTCCCAGTGACAGCTTTTGTCAGTTTCAACCAGTAGAATGGCTTCAACTTAACGGTTGCCACCACAGGTTTCGGAGTGGGGCGTACTGGCAGTTTCCTATCCAGTCCTACTGGTGGTGGAGGTGGTCCGGTTGGAGGGCGAGGAGAGGCAGAAGAGGTAGGAAGCCGTGGAGGTGTTGGAGGTGAAATTTTAGTGGCAGAGTTTCCATGAGATTGTGGTGTTGGAGGAGCTGGGGGAGGAGGAGGGGTTGGAGATGCATGGATAGCTGGTGCTGGGGGTGGTGGTGGAATAAGAGGTGGTGGTCTAGCGACTGTGTTCTGGTTTGAAAGCTGCATTGGAGGAGGAGGAGGGGGAGGTGGTGGTGGTCTAGCGACTGTGTTCTGGTTTGAATGCTGCACTGGAGGAGGAGGAGGGGGAGGTGGTGGTGGTCTAGTGACTGTGTTCTGGTTTGAATGCTGCACTGGAGGAGGAGTAGGGGGAGGAGGTGGAGGAGGTGGTGGTCGAGGAACCGCATCTGTTCTGTGTGAGTTAGACACTGGAGGTGTAGGGGGAGGAGGAGGAGGAGGAGGTGGTGGTCTAGTGACTGTGTTCTGGTTTGAATGCTGCACTGGAGGAGGTGGTGGTCGAGGAACCGCATCTGTTCTGTGTGAGTTAGACACTGGAGGTGTAGGGGGAGGAGGAGGAGGAGGAGGTGGTGGTCTAGTGACTGTGTTCTGGTTTGAATGCTGCACTGGAGGAGGTGGTGGTCGAGGAACCGCATCTGTTCTGTGTGAGTTAGACACTGGAGGTGTAGGGGGAGGAGGAGGAGGAGGAGGTGGTGGTCTAGTGACTGTGTTCTGGTTTGAATGCTGCACTGGAGGAGGTGGTGGTGGAGGCAACGCATCTGTTCTGTGTGAGTTAGACACTGAAGGAGGTGATCTCACCGGATTTCCAAGAGCTCCTGTCAGAGGTGGAGTAAGAGGAGAAAAGGAACCTAATGTCTCAGTTTGGGATGGTTTGGCAAGAGTTATTGATAATGCAGGTGATGGCAGAACAGACGATGAATTTGTTGTTTTAGAAAACTCCTGAAGAGATTCATGGGATGCAGGAAGAAGAGGGGGAGATGTTGTAGGTAGTGTCATGGGAAGTTTTTCGTTTGGAGTTGTTCGATATAATGTAGAGCCAGCTAATGACACCCATGAATTTCCCTGCGAAAGAGTCTCTACCGGCTGGACTACAAAATGCTGTAGTTTCTCTGAAGTTTGAGAAGCAACAATTGGAAGCGGAGAAGGTGAGGGAGGCAACAATATTCTTACTGGATGAGGTGGTGGCGACAACAATGAAACACTTTTCCCATTGCTTTCTTGAGAAGGACTCTTCAGAATATTCTCCTGATCATAATTTTCAACAAGAGGTTTAACTGTTGCAGAAGGGGACTCTTGGCCTAACAACTCTGGTGCATCCTGAGTGGTGGTGTTTGCAATAGCTAAATCCATCAACTCAGCAGCAACCATATCCGAGAAAAGAAGCTTCAGACAGAAAGTAATATTTGTGAGTAATAAAAAAGTTACAAAGGAGTAGCAGCTACGTACAATGTGAAGAGAATATGAGTTCCCATGAGTACATACCTCAACTTTAAACCCTTTTGGGAATTGTTCTTTTAGATGCCATAATGTGTCAACCTCGTCATGATTAAGTATCAGATTGTTTGATCTGACGAAAGCTGTGTTGAAAGCCACTCGAAACAGCATCGCCTCTCTTTCCATGTCATCGTTCAAACTGAGGCACTCAATCACGATATCCCCTTGCACATGACAATTGATGTCAATCTTTACTAGTTCACATTCTGCCTGCCAAAACACACAAGGGTCAAGAAAACAGACAGAGAAAAAGCCATTGAATCAGATTCAATCAGAGGTAATGAATTATAAGGAACGCTATGAATCTGCAATGAAAGATACCTGGTTGTAGATCCTCAAGTGTTTCCCTTTCTTGGGGGTCAAGTACAAAAGCTTAGACTTTCTATCATCTACAAAATTCGGATCCTGACCATATACTCGGAAGATTGGGCGGCAGCCTCCTTGTCCACCAACATCAGGAATAAATCTCAAAATAACACAATCCATGGTGAGAGCTCTATCCAGTGGAGGCCATTCAGAGAACAAATGCCTTCCCGACACGTACTTGAGATACCGTAGCTGAGAAGGAATCGGATTCAACGGTGAGAACAAATGCAGAAGCTCCCGGGGAGCCTGCTTGTACATCATGTCCAAGGTCTTGTACTCACCAGTGTACTGCTTCTGGTAAATAAGGAGAGCAGCTAGCGTGAACGCTAAAACTGGCCACGCCCCGCGTTCACAGTGCATTAGCAAGAGGTTGCTTGGGCCGAGGGAGAGCCAGCTTTCACTTGACCGGAGGAAATGGTGCATCATTTCCACAGGCAACAGTGAGCAGCCTTCGTGGTGGCGAGGATAATCCATGATGGTCAAATCATGTTCGGACAAGACATCATCGATCACACTTGGAGTACCAACTTCACGGAAATTAAACACGAGAGAGGATGCGTCAGGGAAGTGCTCCCGTAGCTGACTGACTACTCCCGCGATATAGACTTTGTAGTCTTCCTTTTCCAAAGAATTGGAGGAGAAGCAGCAGTCAAACACTGCAAACGCACAGAGAACATATAGCTTTAGATTCACAAAATAGACACAAGTGAAGCAGAGAATTGAGAGAAACATACCGTAAACTCTGTCGCATATCTCGAGCAAACCAACTGGAGGCTTGCGGTAGAACAATTTGCGAAACAAGGCCATTTTGTCTAACCACTTGTTTGCGTTCGAAGTCGAAAGTTGCTTTTTTGAATCTGTCAGATGTAAAATGGAAGAAGAAAAGGAAAATGTCAACTGGCACATTTAATGACGTGAATACCACCATCTGTCATGCGTCCTCTAAACCGCCATTAATTCTCTATAAAATATTACACACGAGGCTTTTAGACAAATAAACAACTCTCAGGTTTCTCTACCGACTTGGTGTGAATGTGATTAAGTCAACTAATTGTGGAATTACATGATCCAACAGAAACACGGCCATTAGATAAGTCGTTGAAGGAAGCAACAAACAAAGATCTACCTTAACGAAAACAGAGCAGAGGTACGACAGAAGCTCATCTTTTGTGTAGGTGGCTTCACGTAACAGACAAACTTTCCTTGTCTCCTTGTCTGCTCTACATCTGAAACATTAAACTGATGCCAGCTTACAGCTTACTTAACCTGGATCACCACCATGGTCACCGCCTTTGTCTGCTCTTTCTACATATATCCTTGGTATGAGAACCAAAGACCTGCAAGACACAAAACAACTATTTAATCCTTATAAGTTCGACCCTCACTGGCCTGAGACTATACCAATAAGAGAGCTTCAAAGGTTTATGCACCTGCTGGCCCGTGGGAGTTATGATAATCCCATGATCTTCCATGTGCATCTCCACAAATACTCCCAGCACTGGCATTCATATCTAGAGAGTGATGTAAGTGTCAATAAATGTTTAAACATGGGAAGGGAACAGAAACAAATATTTAAACATGGGAAAGGGTGCTGCAATTTCAAATTTGTTTCATTACCGAAACCCTATACATAGAAAGACCTAGGCAGCACATTTTCTCCTGAATCTAGATTCTTCCCTATGTTTCTGAATTCCAACAAGTAAAAGCTACTTCGACCAACATACACTTGACAAGGAAAGCAGAGAAATTTGAAAAGAAATCAATTCATAGAGAGTCAGAACAGAGAAGCTGCCTGTGAAGAGCACCAAATGCGGGTGAAAATCCGATTCAGAGCAGGATTTAGGATCATAAGCCACGGAGACGTTTGAATGGAAAATGCAAAAGGAAACAACTTTGACCGAAGAGCCTGTTTCCATCTTCATCGAGATCCCAGAAGCCATGCTTTAACAGAAGAAGACATTGATAAATGAACCAACAAGATAAATGAAGGTGTGACTGTGAGAGAGAGAAAGAAGCAGAGGGAGGAAATGAACATGTATGATGTTGTTTTTGTTTATTGCTTTTTAATTACAATATTTTTTTATACCCTTCCCTATTTTACAGGCTAGTTTCTCCATTAGGCGACCAGTTAAAAAGTTTTACAAAACATCGCTCTCTGTAGAAACTCTATTAGTGTCTAAAGGCCAGTTTTTTGGCACAGCCTCACACTTTCACCGGTCCGGTCTAGTCTATAGTCCACTCCTGAGCCGTTTCCTTCCATCCAATCTAAAAGAATAGAGGAACAACCTGTTTCTCAAGCAACGCTTCCTTCCTTCTGTGGCTCCCTCGTTTCTTTATCTAACTCACTTGATTTTGTTTTCTCCTTCTTAATTTCTTCCTCAAAGGACTTTCTGCTTTCTTTATCTACTCCACCTGTTTTTGATTTCTCTTTTTCCGCACTCTTCTTAGCTTCCGCCTCAAGCTGTTTTCCATTTTCTTCGTGCGCACGATTGAACAGTCTCACAAAGCTCAGAAGAGTCGACACCACTGCATTTTACAACGATTCAAACAACTTGTTTCACACGAAGACTACACATATATATTATATATTTTATACAGACAACGATGGATATATGCACACCTTGTTCAAAAGGGCACTTAGCAGGGTCTTCACCAAAGTAAAGAATTAAGCCATCCACGTTTCTTCCCTGCAGATACGTAATTTATAAATTCTGACCATGTTCTCGACCAACTATAGAGCTGAGCATGTAATATATATCTATTGCACATTGGATTTTTGTGTACATACCACTCCAGAATAGAGTGAAGCCAGGGACCTTACTTCTGCTTCCGCATAGAGAAGGAACTCTTTCAATATCTGAAATATATAAAAGATATGATCAAACAACAAGCAGCAAAATCAATTATCAACTCCCTAACTATCCATGGAGCCACATTTTCAACACATGTGTTGCCAGGTTCGTTAGTTAATACCCATCTAGCTTCTCTGCTAGTCGTTACAGAGCACATTCCATTCATAATTCAGTAGCCACATGATTCTGTGATCACATCACGTACTGTTTACACTCCCTGGCCTGCTTTCCTTTCTTATGAGACTTGATTGTTCTCCTCCCAGTGAACGGTCTGCGTCTCTTTAAGTAGATTTATTTTTGTGCATACTTTCTGTTCCCTTTAGGGAAACTAGTGATGGGTGACAAGGAGAGTTATATACCTTGTTGAAGTTATGTGAGATTGGGCCGTCATTTTCAGACAAAGAGAGTTCCTGTACGACTTTCTCCAGTCCCTTGTTTATAGCTTGCATCTCCTCAGCCAAATACTTCAGTTGAATCTGTATCAAAGTTCAGGAAACCAACAGAGTGTCAAGTTCTCTTATCTATGCAGGCAGAAACTGCACATGAAATATGAAAGCTAAGTACCTTTGTTGCAGGCTCCAGTGAGGATAAATCTTTTGTGAAATCTAAAACTTCTGGCATTTTCTCAGCAAGAATCTGCAGAGAATCCATCAGACTATATAAATCTTCCTATCCATCCAGTACATCCACAAAGCTACAGAAGTGCATACTAAGTAGCTTACCTTGCATAGATAATGCATCAGAGTCATACGGTTATTACGTGCCCGTGTTTCGCTGAGTTTTGGCAGACTGTCCAGTTTAAACCCAACCGCAGCACCTAGAGAGAAACTAATTTCAGAGCAGGATAAAAGATAAAACCAAGAATTTATGCGTTCTAATTTCAAACTTACCCCTAGCCGTCCCCTGGTTTAGTGCGTTTCCAAGGGACAAAATTGTCTGCATTATTCTTTTGAATTTTTCAGAATTCTTTATCTGATGAAAAAGAGGAACAAAACAGTATTGGTGATGTACGTTTTAATCATGTTGGGAAGCCACCTAAACGACCAGTTGAGCATGACATACCTGTTCTGCTGCGGAGTTCACAACACTTAGACTATTCTTGAGTTCAGAAATCTAAAAAAAGTGATCAATAGTGACCATAAGTACCAAAATCAAAGCTCCACATAATTGTAATAAGCAGGGTATCATTTTGCAGACCTGAGAACGAAACTGAATTTTGAATGAGAATACCCTTAGCTTTGTTTCCACTCGTGGGACTTTCATCAACTCTAAGAAGAACTGTTCAAAAAGATTCAAGAAGCATATATGATGTTATTGCTCTAATGGCTACTCCATAAAAAACTAAAACTTTCTCCTAGTTTCGTACCAGTTCGCATTTTCCAAGCTTGTCCTTATCACCAGTGTAACCCTGCAAACCGACCATAAAATAAAGATATATCAAAGGGACATATAAAAGGTGGATCATAGAACATAAATTTATTTTTGAGAATCAAAGCAGCAGAAGATTAGCCAGGGGTGCACTTATTATACCTTTAGCATTTCCATTTCTTCTCTTGTCGGGCAAAACTTAATTAGGTTCTCAACCTGATCAGCATCAAGAGCCGATTCCTCCAGGTTAAGCACTGAGTGCTGCCAATATTTCAAGAGACAATTTAGCTTTCTAATTCTATCTCATTGACATTTTACCAGATTAAACTGCTATGATTACAATACATCGTAAACCTGTAAAGCTTGATATTACCATCAAATCCTGCAAAGGTACTTTCACTTTTGAAAGCATAATTTCACAATTATATGCTCGTCTGTGTTCAATCTGCAAGAGATAGATTTCATATTATTCAGTAAGTTCAAGCATCGAGAAAAAAACAACCCTTTCAATGACATATTAACTATATCACACATAATTTACCAGTTGGACTTTCTCGGGTTTAGGTCCACGAGAGGTATTTAGTCTTGAATTTCCTGCCTGGTCTGGAGCAGATGCAGAGAAAAGACTTTCAAGCTCTGTCATGTCAATCTCAGGAGCCCTAAAGCAACATGTAAAGAATTAATGGCCTAAAAATCATACAAGAAACGAGAATCAGAGAAACAATAGAGGACAAGATGAAAGATGCTTACTTAGAAGCTTCACTAGACATTTGTGTTTCAGCCCATAAGCTCCCATTGACAGCTCTTGTCAGTTTCAACCAGTGGTATGGCTTTAACTTTTTGGTTGGACTATTCTTTAGATTAACACGTAACATTCGCCCTTTTCCTGATGAAAGAGACCCAGTTGGTAAAGCAGGTGTCGGAGGCACACTACCAGAAGATGAGTTGGTTCCTAACTTTGGAGGAGGAGGAGGTGGTATTGATGATGATCTCATCTGACCACCTAATGGTGGTGGAGGTGGTGCTGATGGTGCCTTCATCTGACCCGGTGGTGGTGGTGGTGGTGGGGGAGATGCAGAAGAGTTAGGAAGCGGTGGAGGTGGAGGTGCAGGAGGTGATATTTTAATGGCAGAGTTTCCACTAGATTGTGGTGTTGGAGGAGCGGGGGGAGGGGGAGGAGAGGCAGCGATAGCTGGTGCTGAGGTTGGTGGTGGGGGTGGGGGTGGGGGTGGGGGTGGAGGGGAAACTTTAGGGACCGTATTCTGGTCTGAATGCTGCATTTGAGAAGGAGGAGGAGGGGGAGGAGGAGGTGGCCGATGCAACGCAGGTGTTTTGTTTGAATTAGACACTGGAGGAGGCGACCTGGCCGGTTGACCAAGAGGTGTAGCCACATCACTGGGAGCTCCTATTGGAGGTGGAGTAGGAGGAACTTTTTCGTTTGGACTTGTTAGATGAAGTGTCGAGCCAGCTAATGACACCCATGCATTTCCTTGTGAAAGAGTCTCTGAATGCTGCAACTGTTCTGAAGGTTGAGAGGCAACAGATGGAGGCGCTGAAGGTGGAGGAGGTGGGGCAGGTGCTCCTGTTGGAGCCAAAGATGTTCTTGCAGGAGAAGGTTGTGATGGTGTAGATGGAGAAAATGAGACCGCTGTCCCATTATTTTCTGGAGAAGGACTCTTCGGAATATTCTCCTCAGAAAGTTCAACAAGAGGTTTAACGGTTGCAGAATGATGCACAAGCTTGAGAGAAGGGGACTCTTGACGTGACAACTCTGTTGCATCCTGACTGGTGTTGTTTGCCGGGCTGCTCATCTGAAGGACAGAATGCAGATCTTCTGCTATGAGCTTCTTGACTGAACCGGTAGGACACTGTTCTGGGGTGTCGACCGTTTCAACCTCGGACACTGAGGACAATTTGAACTTTGCACTATTATCAATTGCTGACTGTTTCATTATATCATGGATACTTTTGGGGCTTAACCCTTGTAGTCTTGGGCTTGAATTCCCATCTGGTCTTTCCTGAGCATTTGCAATAGCTAAATGCTGAAGCATATTGCGTGTGGCATCCGTCTGATCAACCCAGTCAACTTGATTGAAAAACTCATGAACTTTGGAAAAAACTTCTATTGGAAGACCATCCTTCTCCTCCAAGCACGAAAAATCCATCAAGTCAACAGACGAGGCAGCATCCATATCCGAAAAGAGAAGCTTCACACAGAAATTACTCTTTGTGAGTACTAAGTTACAAAGGAGTAGCTATATACCTATATAAAGATAACATTAAGCCACGTGAGTAACATACCTCAACCCTGAACCCCTTTGGGAATTGTTCTTTTGTATGCCATAGTGTGTCAACTTCATCACGGTTAAGCATCAAAATGTTTGATCTAATAAAAGCTGTGTTGAAGACCAGTCGGAACAGCATGACCTCTCTTTCCATGTCATCATTCAAACTGAGGCACTCAATCACGATATCCCCTTGTACATGACAATTGATGTCAATCTTGACTAGTTCACGTTCTGCCTGCAAATTGCAAACACACAAGGGTCAAGAAAACAAACCGAGAAAAGCAACTGAATCATGTTGCAAACCAGGACAAAGAAAGCCAAAAAGCAACAGTAAGTGATCAAAACTATCTCTCTTGCTAAGACCTTAAGATAATGTGAAGAACGGGAAGGATCTTGCGTGACAAATACCTGCTTGTAGATCCTCAGGTGTTTCCCTTTCTTGGGAGTAGAGTACAAAAGCTTAGGCTTTTTGTCATCTACAAAAAACGGATCCTGACCATATACCCGGAAGAGTGGGCGAAAGCCTCCTTGTCCACTAACATCAGGAATGAATCTCAAAATAACACAATCCATGGTGAGAGCCCTATCCAGTGGAGGCCATTCAGAGACCAAATTCCTTCTCGACACATACTGTAAATACCGTAGCTGAGAAGGAATCGGGTTCAAGGGTGAGAACAAGTGCAGAAGCTCACGCGGAGCCTGCTTGTAGATCATGTCCAAGGTCTTGTACTCACCACTGTACTGCTTCCGGTAAATAAGGAGGGCAGCTAGCATGAAAGCTAAAACTGGCCAAGCCCCACGTTCACAGTGCATTAGTAACAAATTGGTTGGGCCAAGGGAGAGCCAGCTTTCACTTGACCGGAGGAAATGATGCATCACTTCCACAGGTAAGAGTGAGCAGCCTTCGTAGTGGCGAGGATAATCCATTATGGTCAAGCCATGTTCTGACAAGACATCAGCCATCACACTCGGAGTACCAACTTCACGGAAATTAAACACGAGAGAGGATGCGTCGGGGAAGTGCTCTTGTAGCTGATTGACTACTCCCGCGATATAAACTTTGTAGTTAGGTTCTTCCCAAGCATCGGAAGAGAAGCAGCAGTCGAACACTGCAAACACACATAGAAACCTTTGCCTTCAGTTCAATGTGTATACACCAATCATGATAGTAACATGAAAAAAAATCTTACTTTACCAATATAAACAGCATTTCTTAGCTCTAGACAGACGCAAAAGGTGCGCAATTCCTCTAAAGCTATTAAATTTCTCAGAAAATTGTACTTAGATCGAAGGAAACACACCACAATGTCACACAAAACTAGCGTATAATTCTCCAGAGACCAATGCCGATTTTCCAGAAATTCAAAGGAAGTAGAAATCAACAAGGAAAAACAGAGAAGGAATGAAGAAGAGAAACAGACCGAAAACTCTGTCGCATATCTCGAGCAAGCCATCTGGAGGTTTGCGGTAGAACAATTTGCGAAACAAGGCCATTTTCTGAAAATCCTAAACCCCTTTCTCTTCGCTTTCACAAATCGACAAACTTTTTGTTTCCCGTTTGGATTCCAGAATGATGTGAAGCTAAAGCTGCTATTTTTTTTTTTTGTTAATCTGTTAAGAAGAAGGATGTTGATGTCAAATGGTAATTGTATCCAGGAAGAGGAAAAGGTCAGCTGGCGAGTTTTATGACGTGGACCCCATGATCAGCCGCCATCTCTCCACCCGACTTGACACGTGTCTTCTCATCTACGGACGAACCGGCATATATCTCTCGGCCCAAATATTTCCTGTTAACCGGTTTTTCAATTAGGCCCGTGAGTGAAGCCCACTTACGCAGAAGATGTCGTCCCTTTGCTCTGTTTTGTGGATGTTCAAGTTCGATTTACTAATTAGATCTTGCTCTGTTTCTTGTTTCAACTTCTGTAATAGCGTTGTAGTCAGAGTTTAAGTTTCGGACTTTGATACCTACGAAACATGACGGCTACGGACTATTGGATGCTCTGTTTCAGCATAATCTCTCTTAAAATAGTGAGTGGGCTATTTTTATCAAGAAAATAGTTAGTTTAACTACTTTGATGGGGATAACTGTTTTTTCTAAATTTGGCGCACATTTAGGCGTCACTTAGGGGCTAATCAGATGAATGATTCCTATTTTCCAAGGCGTGACAGAGTCAAAAAAGTGTGAAACCACTAAAAAGTTATTTTCTCACACTATAACCCAAATCTTGCTGAAATGAGAGAAACCACAACCACCCACTCCCACTCAACCAAATCCATTGACACTTTGGGATTTGGAATTCACAAAGTCTGAGACGGATTCCATTTTCATACTACATCACTAGCGGAAAAATAAAATATCCTCACGTCCCTTTTCTTGACTTTCAACGACTCTCTCTTTCCCTCTTCCACTTCCTCCAGAGTCCATAGGAATAGGATACAGCCAAACTCACTCTGAACTCCGCAAACTTTTCGACCCTTATCTTCTTCTCCTTCTGAACTCTCTGTCCTTCCTCTGTCTTCTTGATTAAACCTCTGATTTTGAAGGTGTGCACGTGAAAAGTGATCTCAATGTATTCCAAACCATCACATCTCTCCCCCGTGATTCCATTATGTCTTTTCTTCTTTTCACACAGTCTGTCTTCTTGTTGAGCTCGTCCATCCAGCTTTTCTCCTTCAGGTCCAGACTCCAAAACATGGGCTTGTGTCTATGGGGAACTCTCATGTTCCTCTCCCTCTTCGTCCACCATCTGACGAGCCAAGATCCCAACACCGACGCCTTTTACCTCTCTACCTTCTTGTCCAGAATGGGTTTACCCAACTCTTCCCAAGATCACACATTTTCTTCTTCTTCTTTATGTTCTTGGCCTGGAGTGGTCTGTGACTTACAGAGAGAGTACGTGCTCCACTTCTCGGCTTCTGAGTCTGACCTTTCCGGTTCCATCCCGGACAACACCATCGGAAAAATGAGAATGCTCCAATCTTTGGATCTCAGTGGCAACAAGATTACGTCTCTGCCCTCGGATTTGTGGAGTCTAGGCTCGCTCAAGCGTCTCAATCTCTCCTCCAACAGGATTTCTGAGAATCTTTCCAGCAACATAGGCAACTTCGAGTCGCTTGAGAGCCTTGATCTTTCTTTCAACAGCTTCTACGGCGAAATCCCTGCAGCTATAAGCTCCCTCGTCGGTCTAACAACAATAAAGCTCCACAACAATGGCTTTCAGTCTCGCGTCCCTCCAGGTCTTCTCAACTGCCGATCTCTAGTCTCCATCGACCTCTCATCGAACCGGCTCACCGGGCCTTTGCCTGTTGATTTTGGCTCAGCCTTCCCACGGCTAAAAAGCTTGAACCTTTCACAGAACCTGTTACAAGGTTCATTGATGGGAGTCTTGCATGAAAACGTCGAAACACTTGATCTCAGTGAAAACCGATTTGATGGGCACATATTGCAGTTAATAGCCGGCTACAACCACAACTTGTCAAGTCTAATTCATCTTGACTTGTCAGAGAATCGTTTCGTCGGCCATATACTGAAAGGCCTGAGCTCATCTCAGAAGCTGCAATACCTTAACCTCGCGTGCAATCGATTCAGGGCACAAGCATTCCCGCAAATCACCAAGCTTTCATCTCTACGCTATCTGAATCTATCCAGGACCAATCTGTCAAGTATCGTTCCTCGTGAAATCTCGCTGCTGAATCATCTCAAGGTTCTTGATCTCTCCTCCAATAATCTTACTGGCCATGTGCCTATGTTGAGCCTCAAGAACATTGAAACGCTTGACCTCTCGCTGAATAAGCTAGAGGGAGACATTCCAAGACCGGTTATGGAGAAACTCCCAAAGATGCAGAGGTTTAACTTCTCCTTCAACAATCTTACCTTCTGCAACCCAAACTTCTCTCAAGGAGTGATCCAGACATCCTTCATTGGCTCCACAAACAACTGCCCCTTCGCTGCAAAGCCAAATGTTCAAAAGGGAACGAAAGTCAGCAAGAAGAATACAGCGCTTAAGATTGGCTTGGCGTTAGCAATCTCCATGGCGTTCTTGCTTGTTGCGCTGTTGCTCATACTTGTGGCCTTGAGGGGTAGAAGAAAATCAAGAACATGGGCAACGAAGCAAGCCGCGGAACTCAACTTGTCAGACCAAAATGAATCAACCGATGTCTCAGTGGTGATGATCGACAAGCCGTTGATGAAGATGACGTTTGCAGACCTCAAGGCTGCGACTTTCAACTTCGACAGAGGCGCATTGCTGTGGGAAGGCAAGTCTGGTCCTACCTACGAAGCAGTCTTACCCGGTGGATTCAGAGCAGCTCTGAAAGTTATCCCAAGTGGAACCACAGTGACCGATCACGAAGCCACGATTGCGTTTGAGCGCCTCGCCCGTATCAATCACCCAAATCTTGTCCCGCTCTGTGGATACTGCATAGCCGCAGAGCAACGGATCGCGATTTACGAATACCTCGACAATGTTAATTTGCAGAGTTTGCTCCATACAGAAGACGATTCTGCACCGTGGAGACTCCGGCATAAGATAGCTTTGGGGACGGCGAGGGCGTTGGCTTTCCTCCATCATGGCTGCATTCCTCCGGTGGTCCACGGGGAAGTGAAGGCTAGAACAATCTGCTTAGACTCCAGCCAGGAACCGCAATTAGCAGAATTTGGTTTAGCGAAGCTCGTGGACGAGGGTTTTGCCGGAGGATTAGACGGATACGCACCGCCGGATCTGGAGGAACATGGCTCTCCGACATTAGAATCCGACGTTTACAGCTTTGGAGTTGTTCTGCTTGAGCTCGTGAGCGGGAAGAAGCCGGAGTGGGACTTGGTGAACTGGGTGAGAGGTCTGGTGAGGCAGGGAGAAGGATCGAGAGCCATCGATCCGACGATGCGAGAGACAGGTACGACGGAGCAGATTGCGGAGGCGGTGAAGATAGGGTACTTGTGCACCGCCGATCTGCCATGGAAGCGACCCACGATGCAGCAGGTGGTTGGGCTTCTCAAAGACATTTCGCCCAACAGTTGTTAATTGGGCCTGTTATTGGGCCTTATAACAGTATTAACATGGTGATTTATGTATGTTTGTTGTGAATGATTTTCGAGATTTAGAAGAAATGGAAAATTGTGTGATGCTCTCTCTCTCTAATAACATGAAAAGAGCCGTTTATGTTCTCATGATATCATTATACATATGATAAGCAACTACATACAATACAACACCTTTGCTTTATTGAAAAGGAAAGAGTTTTGAATGAGAGAAGCAAAGGCAGAAAGGAAGAGTGAGTTTAGAACTAGAAAACATCAAGGTCAATGTCCACAGAATTGACAAGCACACCATCATCTTCCCAGCTTATATCTTTGGCATTCGGATCTTTCTCTATTATGCGCAACGGTGCATCCAACGGTGGAGGGCTCTGCAATCACCTCTACATACATTAGCCAACAAACAAGAGAGTGTGACACAAGCTAAGATATAAAACAGGAGCTGACACAATTAGTCCTACCATGCAGCGTATGAGAGGCCAATTGATCCCGCGGAAGAAAGCGTGCTGCTTGATCTCATTAGCACCACCTTTGGATCCTAAACGGCTGCTCGGATCTCTATTTAACAAAGTGTTGATCAACTGTCTACCTACAAGACTTACCTGCACAAATACATGGTTGGTTATATATTAGTACTTTTTTGTTTGCTCTAGTTAAAGACAGAGGTGGTTACAAGATATATAGCTCACAGGGATACTGCTGGGGAAGGTGAGGTCTTTGTGCAAGATGTTGGCAAATGTCTTCTGCCTATTCTTACCCCTGAATGGTGTCCGACCATAAAGCATCTCATACAACAAGATACCTACAATAAAAACATAAATAATGACATCAGCGTATTAGCAACGGCTGTGGTTAAGTTATCAATATTAGGTAAGATGGTGACAGATTTATACCTAGTGCCCACCAATCAATAGCACTCGTATGACCAGCACCAGTGATTATCTCCTGAAATAACCAGGTGAATGATAAATAGAATACCAAAATCTGAAACATACTGAAGTTGAAGCAGTGTAGATTACAAGAGATAAACATCACTAAGCATTCAGAGTAGATCACCGTACAGGAGCAATGTATTCTTCAGTCCCTACGAACGAGTTTGACTGAGTACTTGGCTCTGCAACAAATGTGGGTAGTGGTTGACTCTTGGATTTCCTTCGTTTGTTAGGTGCAGGTGGAATAATAAGCTGCACACCATAAATTCTCCCAATTGTCACATTTCTTTATATTGTTGCCAATAAATGTAGTGGATTTTGAATAAGAAAAGTACCTGGGGTGTGCAGGACGTCATGAATGATAAATCAAAGTCGGCTAATACAATGTGTCCATCCTTCTTGAGCAGAATATTTTCAGGCTTCAAGTCTCGGTATACTATTCCTATTTATGGAACACATATATACAAATTTTAAACGAAACAATATTTGAGTAAGAGACTACTCGAGCCTTGTGGCTACGGGCTAAATGCAAGAACAGCAACTGTTTAGATTAACAGAGACAAGGATTCACTCCGCCATTTATTACCTAAGCAGTGAAGATACTCTAAGCCGATGACGACCTCTGCTGCGTAGAACCTGAAGACAAAGGGATTGATTAGAGTAACTCATAAAGGGCATAATTCCCCTACTTAGTTACTACATCACATTGGCATTTGCTTCTGACTAGTGGATCTTGTGTTACACATTATACATTTGGATTGGAGAATACCTTGCCGATTCCTCTGACAAAAATTTCATGGGTTGTTTATCAAGCAGTGCAAACAACTCTCCCCCCGGGCAGAAGTCTGTTATCAAACAAACATGCGTAGATGTCTGGGGGAAAAAAAAAACATTTTAGCAAAGAGAAGCAAGAACTGAATTGATACAAAGAAAAACATCTACCTGAAAGGAGGCGTAGAGAGTGGGAAGGAAAGGATGATCCAGAAGGGAAATGATTTCCCTTTCGATGCATGCTCTGTGAGCCTGTATAATGCTGCACGTTGTCAATGAGAGATATAATATAAATTTCATTTTTTTTACTTTCCCTCTGAAAAGGGAATTCATTTCTCCATCATATACCTTGTTACGATTCAACATCATTGTTTTCTCCATTGCCTTCATCGCATACAACTCCCCTGTGCCTTTCAGTTCAACCAAATGGACACTTTGTAGCCAACCAAAAAAAACAAAAGTAAATCATATAAGAATACTAAGTAAAGGACAGTTTTGACTTCAGGTTTACTGTTTTAAACATATACCTGCCAGTATCACCAGAGCCTAATGGTTTTATTGGCTTGAAATGATGAAGTCCCACTTTTTCTCCCCTCGCTTGGATCTACAAAGCCGACTATCACAATCAATACATGGTGACTGAGAAACAAAGTTAAAAGTAATGTGGTTTGATGCATACCTTTTGTATTGCTTTCCAGGAAGTACTCTCCTTTCTGTGAGGCAGAGGATAGACAGGCTTTGAGTGTGCAGCCCACAGATCTTCGGGACGCTAAAACACATTGCAAAACGATTGCATTAGTTCTTTTACATCTTTACTTAAGTAATCATGAATTTATATAACTTACCGTATTAGCATCTGGAAGTTCTCTGACAGCTTCATCTACATTTGTTGCTGTAGCTTTCACCTGAAGCATAGCCAATATGATGGTCACCTTTGATGGAGAAGACATTTTTAAAAAAGCGTGGTAGGAGTAGAACCACCTACCAGTTTAGAACTCTGCATCTCTGTTCTCTCAGACAAACGATTACGTAGCGGCTCCACATGATCACTTCCATCAAGCTGCACACCGATGAAGTACTGAAGCTCTCCCTGGTGATAAAAAAAAGTCATGTAGTCAGCAAAAATGCACCGTTTTCTTCAAGGATCTGACTCTAGATATAACAACAATCTCATGGCTACCTTCTGATCACGCATAGGTTGCAAGTGGAACAAATTCCAGAATTTCTTTCCTGCAATGATTTTGAGGTTCGATGATCATCCCGAATTGAAAACTTTGAAGATAATTTTTTTGAAAATGTTCATTATCAGATAACTACCGCTCTTAGTGTAGTTTATCAACTGCACAGTTATCTCCCTTTGATCTCTAATTGCATCTCTTATCTTCTGGACAGTTGATTGATCTGTCTCTGGCCCCTGAAGAAACCTGAGGCCAACCAGTTTGCACAAATTCACATCACAGAAATAAGAAAAGCACAGCCGAGAAGACTGCATAGTTAACAGGAATGATGAATTCCATCATTCTCATTTTCATAATTCACATACCGACAATTTCTTCCCAAAATTTCCTCGCGTGAATACTCTGTCAATTCAAGAAAGCTGTCTGATGCAAATATCTGCAAAGAAAACGGTTTGCATTTTCATTTCAAGGTTATATGCTATGCCTCCTGTCCAAACCAAACATAGTACCACACTTGACTAAGTATAATCAGTATAAGAACTATACTCTACAAGATTGAACATGCATCTCAAATTTTAGACTAAAATAAACATACAATGGGATTATCAGGAAGACGAGGATCACTGATGACGAAATTCTTCTCTATGCGCTCAAGAGTTGTAGCTAGATCAATCCCTTGGCGTATATCCCTTTCTCTTTCTAAACGGTCCCAACTGTCCCTCGGCTCTATTACTTCTGTGCTCAACATCAGTTCTTCAGGTTCCACACTAGGAACCTCTGAGTGCTTTTTATTTGAGCTAAGAGATTTGCTCTTTGACCTGCACATTGCATGAGGATTGATCACAAATCATTCAGGGTATATATGTATAGATTCAACATTAACTAACCGATCCTTGTCAGAGGATACAAAAGTATACAAGAATAAAATAAACAGAATACGAGTAGAACATTGCAGCAACTGTAACTTCCTATTGGAATTTTAGGATTGAGATTATGTCGTACAATCTAAACACTATTTGGCAATAAAAACAAACAAGTTGTTTTTCTGCAAACTTTGGCACTTCTATCACACTTTTGTGAGCAAGAGACATGCATTTAAGGATTTGGTGTTGAAAAGACTCACTTTGTTGGAGTAGAAACACGTCCAGGTGTTCTGGCTGACTTGGAAGCCTCGTCTGATTGTATAGTTTGTCTACCAGGTGTATCATTGCTCACAGAATCCCGTACTTGAGACTTGCGATGTCTTATTGTTTGCACGACCTCTGTCATGGAATCCAAAGCTTTCTCCTTCTGGCGAGCTGATACCAACATCAAGAGCATGACATGTAAGAATTTGTGGATCTTATCACACCAAAGAAAAGACAAAACTTGATAATTTTAATATTAAAGAGAGATGCAGGAAAGCAGAAACCATCATATCGAATCAGGGATTTGGAGAGTCCATTAGGCCTCAATGCTTTATCGTTTACCCCTTCTGTGTATTTGCTTACTTCAACCTGCATCCTACAGACAAACAATGCAAAAGCAGATGGAAGTGTGAAAAAAAAATGATAGAGGATACAGTTGATTAATCAGGAAAAAAACAGGGAGTTACCCAATGAACTTGATGGTGTTGCCTTGGTCGTCCTTGATAGGAGTGATTGTGAGAAGATTCCAGAATGGAGTTCCGTCCTTTTTGTAGTTTAAAAGCCTTCCACAGTAACTCTTTCCATTCTTGACACAATCTCTGATTTTAGCAACCTCTTTCTGGTCTGTCTCCGGCCCTTGCAGAAACCGGCTGGCGTTTTCCCCACAAATATTAACACACTATTATCCTAAGTAGCAATTGGAGATGAAACCATAAATAGATATGAGAGGAGACGTACCAGTTCCTTCCAACAATTTCCTTGGAAGAATAACCGGTCATGGTGAAGAATCCGCTGCTGGCATACACTATGGGACAGTGTGGCTGTGTGGCGTCAGAGACAACAAAGGTCTGCTGCAACGTCGCTAAAGCGGTTTTAAGCTCCTGGGAGACTCTAGGGAAGGCCCCTGATTCAGAAGATGTTGATTCTTCCGATGACCTCCTAGACATCTTGCTTCGGTCCACTTCACTGGACACCTTGAAACTAATGCCATCTTCTCCAGCGTCAGGCTTAACAGCTGATAATCCCCATTCAGCAGTTCTCTCCGCTATCTTTGCAGAATCTTGAAACTCCATCCACTTGCTGCTGCTGCCTTTGCCGTTGCCATCGTGAGGCTTTGACGAAGAAGAAGAAGAACCGCTCGAGGGGTTGAAGATCTCAAGGGACTTGCGTTCATTTAATGGCTCCAAGTCAGTGAAGGGAGAAGGAGGGGCTCTTGGCCTCTCCATGTTGTTTCTTTCTTTTGGCGAAACAGAGCAATGAATCGGCTGCAAATCAGAACCAGACACCACAGACAAATTTTTATGAGAGTTAGATAGATGGATGAGGCAGGTCACACCTGTAGTTCCAGGGAACAGCCAATAAATGACATTAAAGTGTTTGGAAGCAAGCAATCAACAAACACGTTAAAGAAGATGAAGTGAATAAAATTAAAATACACAAAAAAGAAAAATAAAAATACCAGACGTGTAGCTTTATGAGCTGCAGCTCATGGATATATAGTACATGGCTTTAAAAGGGGCAGAGACGATGAAAAAGCTTTAAAACTACAACTGTATTAATCTCAGTTATATTATTGCTTCTGTTTTCAAGAAAATCATGTTTCTGAGGCTGCAAATGAGCGATGCGGAAGCCTGGGAGGATAGACATCGCTATCTTTATTCAAAAACTCACATGGACCCTCTTCTTAAAGGACCACACACTATTGTTTCCCCTAAATACGTGCACTCTTGTTCATCATTCCCTCTTCCCTTCCAATTTTTCTTCATAATCAATAACTTTCTTTCACATCTACTACTTCCATTTACAATAATTCATCGACAACAAAATATAAAACGACACATTCTTCTCAGTTCGGTAACTGTAGAATCAAAAGTGAAAAAATTAGGACGCAGTGACTTACGTGTGAGGTAAAGCACGCGCCATTTGATTAGACGGAAGACGAACACGTTTGAGAAAACGACTGTTTCTTCTCTCCCACATGCTTTCGCAGACGACGAAACTCCAATTTTGTTTCGTCTATCACTCACTCGTCTGTTTCAAATAATTTCGAAGGGGACCGCAGAAACCTCATCAGGATGTTACTGGGCCTGATATTTTCCCGCTAAACGCCCATTAAGGCTTTCAGTAATGGGCCTTATTAGTTAATATGTAAAAGTTTGGTGGAAACGAGGGAAACGAAACTGAAGCAGAAACAGAGAAAAAAATGGAGGGAGGCGGAAGCGGCGGCGGGGTTAGGCTTCACGTCGGAGGATTGGGAGAGAGCGTCGGGAGAGACGATCTTCTCAAGATCTTCTCTCCCATGGGTTCCGTGGATGCTGTCGAATTCGTCAGGACCAAAGGTCGCTCTTTTGCTTACATCGACTTCTCTCCCTCATCTGAGAATTCACTCACTAAGCTCTTCTCCACGGTGAGCTGATTCGATCTCTCTTTCCCTCTTCTCTGCTCTCTTTCGTCTTAACTTGAATTCGATTTTGGCAGTATAATGGATGTGTCTGGAAAGGAGGGAAGCTGCGGCTGGAGAAAGCCAAAGAGCATTATTTGGCTCGCTTGAAACGGGAATGGGAAGCGTCTTCTTCTTCTCCCTCTGATGTCACCATTAAGGCTCCTGATGACTCTACACCAACCACTCACCTTAACATCTTCTTTCCCAGACTGAGAAAGGTACCAAAAGCTCCTTCGATATCTGTGACATTGCTATGATAGTAACTAGGAGATTAGGGTTGAGATAGATTTCGTTTTGGTGCAGGTGAAACCTATGCCACTCAGTGGAACTGGCAAACATAAGTATAGTTTCCAGCGTGTTTTAGTGCCGTCTCTTCTTCCCAAGACTTTTTGTGATTGTGAAGAGCACTCTACGTCTCTCACTCCTCGGGAAACCCATGTCCGTGATCTAGAAGCCCTTAATGTGGGAGTGGGAATTAACGACGAAGAAGTGAATATCATGAACTCGGTGATGAATAAGCTCCTTGGGAAAGATAATAAGCAGCACTTTGAGAAAGATAAGCAGCTCTCTGAGAATGATAGTGAGCTCTCTGAGGATGATAACGAGCTGCTTGAGGATGATAACGAGCTGCTTGAGGATGATAATGAGCTCCTTGAGAATGATAACATCATCATCAATGTGGCATCTAATGGGAAGGATATGATGGACTCAGAGCTGGATATCTTGTCAAGAAAACGGGTAATTAAAGCTAATGTTTTTTTTCTGTTTTCATTGAACCAAAAAATGTGTCATTATCCTATCTTATCCCTGATCTGGCTCTTTTCTTTGATCTGAACTCAGAAATCAATTCTCAATGAAACACCAGCAAGTGGAGCAGGATATACCGAGGAACGAGAGGGGAACAACATTCATCCAAGCAAGAAAAGGCAAACAATCATCCCTGAGGGAAATGGAAAACAAGAACCTTCACAGGCCATACGTGAAAAGAAGAAACCTTCTGAAGTCGTTCCAGATAAATCAATCAGAACAACAGGTGTCAAGCAGTCGAATGACAATATTTCCTGGTCCCAAAAGTCTTCCTGGAAAGCGCTTGTGGCCGGTGGGAACAGCAGTAGTTTCAGCGTATCGAGTTTCTTGCCAGGCTTTAGCTCCAGTGAAGCAGTACAACCTGCGTCAGGCAACACTGATCTTGAAGGGTTGGATGTGCCGACTGAGACAACTAAGATCAAGAAGATGAAAAGTAAGCGCCAAACTTCTACAATCATGGCAGGGAATCTACCTGTTGCTGATGATAGTGAGAGGAATGATGCTACAGATACTGACGCTGTCGATTCAGACCACTCGGAAGATAGTGATACTGACGAAAGTGTGGAAGCTGAAGCCATGGAACTTGTACCAGGCACCGAGGTCGATAGTGAGAATGATAGTGAGAGGAATGATGCTACCGAGACTGACGCTGAAGATTCAGACCACTCGGGAGATACTGACACTGACAAAAGTGTCGAAGCTGAACCCATGGAATTTGTACCAAGCACCGAGGTCGATAGTGAGGATGATAGTGAGAGGAATGAAGCTACAGAGACTGACGCTGTAGATTCAGACCACTCGGAAGATACTGACACTGAAAAAAGTGTGGAAGCTGAAGCCATGGAACTTGAACCAAGCACCGAGGTCGATAGTGAGAATGACAATTTGAATGTGGAAAAGGATGAGGATGTTGCTGAGGATTTGGACGCAGAAGAGGAAGGCTCGGTCTTGAAGGATGATGTGGACGAAGAAAAGAAGGGAGAAAAGACGGGGAAAGGACCATTGGAAGCTTGTAGCAAATCAACAGGAGGTTCTTCATGGCTTCAGAGAGGATCATGGACTCAGCTGGTTAGCGACAAGAGCGCTTCATTCAGTATAACTCAACTCTTCCCGGATTTAGCTTCTGACAAGAAGGAAGTAGGTAAAGTGGACAACAATGGAGATGGCCAGTTATCCATCTCTAACCAGAGTGAGAGCGGAATGAAGCAAAGGGATTACGCATGTAGTAGCACCAATGGTTTTGAGGCTGCGGGAGTCCATGTGGATAGTACTCCTGTGAGAAGTTTAGCAGAGAAGCGGCAGGGTGTTAAGGGTAAGAATGCGAGCGAAGGGTGTAGATTGGTTCCCAAAAAGCCGTTTTTTAGTGGGATTGGTTCAGGGGAGGCTTGCACTTTCAAGAGAAGCGAGACTTCTTTGAAAGAGTGGGCAAAGGCGAAGAGGGCATTGAGTGAGCCCAGAAGAACGAAGAAAACTGAAGAATGAGTTAGATTGTAACAGAGTAGAGGTCCTTAAACTTATGTATTCCTCTGCAGTTTTTTGTTGTGCTTGATACAATCCTTTTTTTTTTTAATTTAAGTTATTCATGTGCACTAGTACACTACTATGGAAGCATTTCCGATTAATAAACTGAACTTTGACATTCAACGGAGAGAGTAGTAAACAGATGTAGTATGAATACAGAAAACAATGTTTAACCAAGTTCTCGATACTAACTGAAAATGGCAGAAATAAAGGAAAAAGAAGAGCCAATCCCTCAATCTTATCTGTCTTTGAGTTCCTGCTCGAACTGGCCGAGTTTCAGGCGTATAGGCTCCAAGAACTGCTTCATATCCAATCTAATCAGCTGCTTCAGTTTGTGGGAAAGCTCCTTGTCTTCGCTCAGCTTCACATCCACCTGCTCATTGCACAAAGTGTCCGCGTTTATTACCAACCAGATATTCTAACATCCTTAGTCTCAAACTTCTAAGCTACAAGCAGGCAGAAGAAGCAGTTCATCTCAAGATTCTCTTCAGCAACATGAAGAAACGCGTACCTCAAGATCATCAAGCTCTCCGAACGAGAACTCAGGAATGTCGAGGCTTCCCTTCACCCTCTTTGCGTTGTCTTCCAATGACCACTCTCCTGAGGAAATCGGCAATTTTGCATGCAAATTAGTTGTATTTACACGAACAAAGAAAATGAGAGGATCATAACTGATCAACAATTAAACTCAAATGCCATACATCCGAATCTAACGTAAGGAGGAGAAAGATCTATTCTTTCATCAACACAGATAAAGTAAATCCTATTGGCATTAGATTCTATACGTAACAACATATCAGAATTCACAAGAGGAAACAAAGGTGAATCAGAGGAGAGTCTTACCCTCGACTTTGAGGGAAAGCTCGTATGTGTAGCCAACTCTTTTCTTGTTCCGAACTGTTACTAAGTAGGCCTAGCAAGAGTAAGAAAGGATCATCATCATCAATCAATTCCAGAACAAACATAGAGAGAGGATAACAAGGATGAAAAAGGAGAAAACTCACATCTCCAACACATCTGTTAACATCTATAATCTCAGCTTTTCCAGAAGAGAATTGCAGTGAACCCACTGATCCCAGCAGCTCCTGCCAGTATGAATTCAAGTAACCAAATATATTAAATTTTGCAAGATAAAGCAATCAACAAAGAGTGAGAGAGATAGAAAAGAAAGAAGAAACCTTTAATCGATCAGTTGCCCATTTGGTGAGACTCTTTTCCTCCCAAGTGCCAGCCTATGGAAACAATAGAAGAGATAAGAGAATGCAAAGAAGAATTGAATAAAAGAGATAAAAAAAACAAAATAGCAAAACCTGATTCCAGAGGGAGCCAAGGGCAGGAGGAGCATTGGGAGCGGCGTCGTTGTTATTGAGCTTCTGAGGCAGAGGAGGAGGAGCTGCCTCTGCGGTGGCTTCTCTCACCCAATACCTATACGAAGATACTCCTTCTTTCTTATTCTCCTCCTCTCGCTCCATGATTTTGTTGCTCTTTCTCTTTTTCTCTCTCTTTCTCCTCCTCAATCTCCCCTTCTCATTTAATTTAGGGTTCCTCCGATGTCTCGGGAACTTTCCAGTCTCAGATCCAAATTTTCTATTATTTTCTCACTGGTCTTTGTTTTTGTTATTCCGAGATTGGCTAGAGATGCTTTTCTCGTCGATTCCAATGGGCCCACTGGTGACCCAATACAAAAGTACACAAATTCAATCTCTTGTCTTAACCGAAACAGCTAAACCTTAATTTTGGTCGGGTTACATAGGAAAATTGCATAACAGACCCTTACATTTGTCTCTCAATAAAACAAAGTCCTCACCCTTACACATGTTTTGTTTATTCACCCTAAACATACCCTGGTTAACACGTAGTTCATCAAAAAACAACAAAACCACACGCTGTTAGTGAAGAGAACTAGAGAAGATCCCATTATTAAACTGGTCTTACCATAGTTTCTACATTTTACAGAGACAAGATTATCAAAACAACAAAGTTCCAAAGCTTTCGCCAATCGCCACACCAATTTTTCTCTCAAACATTCCACATTATTGTCGCAGTTTTTTATATTAAAAAAATGACAGGTTTTTTGCCGCTGATGGCATTCATGATGAATATTAACAATTAAGTATATGAATTGAATTTGATGTTTGGTTTTGTCTACTCGATCAATCAGTTCATCACCATAGTTGCTACTTGCTAGGATTTTAATATTTTCATAAACTAATAATCAAGTGTTTGACAACGAAAATAAGAGCTGCGTTTATCAGTCCACTACTGTTCCAAAATTAACATTTGACGTACATTTTCGTTAGAGGGTTTTCCACGAGTTCGCGTCTTTATCACGTATCTCTCTAACCTAGTAACCTCCTATATACCACCAAAAACATTTATCACCGCGATGAATCATATGAGAATTTAGACACGTACGTACATGCAGACTAGTAACATGAAAGTGACCGTTGACTAAAACAAAAACAATATCCCAATTAAGTCAGCTTTGATGCTAATAGTATTCTAAGAGCTCTGTTTATAAACGATAACAAAAAATATTCCAACGATGACGCTTCTTCCCTAATGTCAATATCATTATACCTTGATCAACAAACCAATAATTTCAAATAAAGACTTTTCTTTATTAAACCGGAACTTTCTATCTCCCTTCCTGAAAACACAAATCTCATCCATTTCCCCTTTATAATCTCGACCAAAAGAGAAGTTACCTACACTGCAAAACTAAGAAACAAAAAATACACGTGAAACATCCCATTGCTTCAAATCATGGAAGTCAACGGTAGGGAAGAATCATCTGAATGGTTTGTTGAGTACATAAAACGCCAAGGAGATTGGTTAGAGAAAACCAGAGGAAATTTGATGGTTGCAGCAACAGTTATAGCTAGTATGAGCTTTCAAGTTATGGTTAATCCTCCAGGTGGTGTCTGGCAAGGTGATCCTTGTCCTTCTCGAGATCAAGCCGGAAATGTACAAGTTTGTGCGGCGAAAGCCGGAACTTCGGTGCTGGAGGACGATCATTCAAAGCGTGGACTCTATATTGGGATGGTTATTAGCAGTATGGTGTCGTTCACTGCTTCCATGAGCCTTATTCTCCTCGTCATCAGCGGTTTACGACTTAGGTACTAATAAATTTGATCATATATGATAACCTTTTCGTTTATGATTTTTTTTTGTAACATAAACGAGGTTTGATAGATCTTAGATATTACTGAAAAATTAGAGAATTCAACTTACTTATTTTTTTAACACTCATGTAAAGTGATATTAAAGTGTCGGCTTTGGTTATAGAAGTATGGAACTAGGTCGGTTTTACAGTTGACTTAGATTAATTTAACACACCCGGTCTGATTGCAATTTGATTTGGAATAAAGGACTATGGCAATTGAATTCATATATCATAGCAATCGGTCCATATAATTAAGATAAATAAAAATTAACTATTGGACGTTAAATTATATGCAGGAGCCGGTTGATAATGGCGATCTTGGTAATGTTCATGTTGGTGGCGGTTCTTTGTATGGTTGCGGCGTTCGCATTTGCTGTTGCATTGGTTCAATCCGACGATCAAATAATTTTGGGGATACTAATGCTTTATGGGGTATTTTGGGTTGTGTTTCCTGTTTTAATAATCATAAGCCAACTAGTTCGGTTTGTATGGTGGCTTATTTGTATCATATGTTGTTGTCGTCCACGTCGACGACGGTCTCCTCGACGGTTGATGCCAACGACTCCATCTTCTGCCCATTAAAGAAGAACCTGTGGCACGAACGCACGTGTGAAATGAACTTCGGTGTTAGTAGTGTGATCACTAGAATAAAAGTCTCGCATTTTCATTATTATAAAGTTTTAAGGTTTGATTGTTTGACCAACAAGAAAGAAAGATTTTAAGGTTGATTGTATGGACACTACAAGAAAAAGTGACTATTGTTATCATTTTTTTGTCACAATATATCAATATTCAGTCACAAAAAGAATATTGTGACCAAAATGCTACAAATTATAGAACGTCACAATAAAATGGTCACAAGTCATTTTTTGTCACAAAAATGTCACAAAAGATTGTGACGAGTAACAACAGTAACACAGTTCGTCACAAACTGTGACGTATTGTGAACGTCACAAAAACGTGATAGTATTCTATGTGACAATAATATTCTATGTGAATCACCTTAAACTTGGCTAAAGATGTCATTGTCGTCGCCTCCAACGGGCCCAATGGTGACCCACACACGTACACAAAGAAGGTTCTTTCAATCTTGTCTAACATTATTGTTCATACTATCTTTTCAGGTACCAACATCGTCACGTTTTACTTTTGAAATTGCCGTAATGAATAAGATACATATTACAAAAATTCTTCTCCAAGTTACTGATGAACTACACTGTTCCAGAAAGGGACCAAAAAAAAGTTGTATGGAAAATGATTCTTCGTTAGATTTTAGACATCAGTTGATTTTTGGCTTAGGAGCTCTTGGCCTTAAGACAGCGTAAAGAAGAATCAGAACTATGAGAAAGGCAGGAACTGTTGTCATGTCCATTTCTACTTTCACCTTCCTCTCTTTTGTGCAGTGAATTGGGTGCAAAACCTCAACGGTTGCATTCACTTCTTTAACAAATCTGATACACAATGAAAAAGCCTGATTACTTAGCAAAACCATTTTCTTTCAAACTGTAGCAGCAAGCGCAAAATGTGTACAAACTAACCCGCTTGTGGCTTCCTCTAAGGTATATAGAAATCTCATGGCTTCCCCATAACGTGTTTCTCCCGCAATTGTCGAAAGCTGTTAACATATGATATAACACACGCATCATTTGAACCCTTCCAGCAACACAAAGGTTACATAACCAAAGAAAGCAAAATAAAGGATTAGATGTGTACTCACTCGTCTCCACAGGCTAATCACATACTTGTACTTGTTCATCAGCTCACGTTGCCTCGACTGGAAGAGCTTGAACGATTTTTCATCTTGTTTTCTAAGTCAAGGATATGAACAATAGCATATAAAGACGAGCAGTCAATAAAAGCTATTCATAGTTCTGCAGGCATAAACATATATATTAAAACACCCCAAGGATACTTGTTCGCTCCAGCCGCAGAAGATGAATCCCTGAATTGACAGCTTGTATTGATTCTTCAAGCGTCGTAATCATATAGCTCCGGGCAATTGTGTCAGATTGAAACTGTGAAAGTTGCCAACCTTGAGAAGTTATGGCAAAGGGATTGCAACCCACTGACCATGTCCAGTCCTGTGAAACACAATTTTTTTTAAGATGCCAAGACCCATCATCAGCTTCTTTTATCTGAAGATTATAAAATAGTGTTTGTGCTCGCTTCACAAGAACGCAGTTGTTACCAGCAACAGAAATATATATCCATGAAGCTACAAAGCAGTGCTATTTATTATAATCAGTAAGCATAACTCTGTACCTCAATCGCACTTTGATGAGCTACACTGTGGACAAGATGAAGAGGAAGCAATCCGGCCAGATGTTCAGCAACAGAAGCCATGGCCGCTTTAACCGGGTTCCTATGTTATAAAGACGACGGAATAAGATAACAAACATCTCTCTAGCTCACTCATGACGCGCAAATTTAACTAGGCGTATCACTCAAACTATGATAAAATTGCTGCAAACATGTGGTGTTACCTTAAGTCCCACAAAAGTGATCGCCCGTTGCATTGCAAATGGCTCTCCCATGAAGATGCCTCCGACTGAACAACGACGACCATATTGGACAGCGCCTTTGCTTGATAATGCTTGTCAATCAGCAGCGGATCCCCATTGATGAGCCAAAAGATAGGAATTTCAAGAGTAGACCTGCTGTGGGCATGACCTCCTGAGTTATGCACAAGGATGTCTCACAGTGTCAATGCGAATAACGATGTATCAACGTCAGCCAATGCATGATATAGTAGTAATTAACTTGACAACATTTGCATAGAACGCGAGTAAAGGGATCGAAGATAAAAGGGATAAATGATAACAATTTTAAAAATAGAATCACTTCTAAAAGAGAGAAAATTGCTGTTGTTGGCTGACCTTTAAGGGAAGTGTGATCGTTCAGCCTCTGTAATTGGTACTGGAGGATTGATGAATCAAGATATGAACGAACAGTCTTCCGGTAAGTTCCATTGACAAGTAACAGAGGGACAGCTGCTGCCCTTCGGGCTACTGAAAAAGCCATAGCCAAAGCAGGATCCTCCGAGAGTGTTAACCTGTCACAATTGTTAAAGACGCTTCAATATAGCTCGAAGTTGCATAGAGAAATCAAAGGAAATGATGAACAACCGAAAAATAAGTAATAATACTACTAGTTCTAAGTTCTAACCACAGTTTGAGGTACAGTTTATCAGAGAGGTTCAGAAAGATAAAGCATTATAGTAATAAGTTACACAGGTAGTTGTAAAGCTTATTTTCAGTGCATACATATGCTGGCTGAACATAGGTTTTTGAGAAGGTAATAAAAGAGAAGAAAGTCCATCCATGAGGGCCTTGAGATCCACTGGCAGCTGTTTGATTCGTCGAACTTTCTGCATCAATAAAATTACAAGGTACGACCTCTTTTCAGCATCTATAGAAACTAGATTGAGAAAAATCAAGTAATGTTACTGATAGGATGAAGTGAATATGCTTAGTAGCAACAGTATTACATCCTCAAGCATAAGTTACATAACCTTTCAGAAGAAAAGGATAAAATATATTCCACAATCTTACGTTTTTTATTCATCCGTACATGTTTTATCCTTGAGACTTTCGATTACAAGATTAATCAGAGTTCTCACCAAAACATGCTTGAGTTGTTGCGAAATCCTTTAAACGGTTTGACATGAACATACCTCTTCTGTGATGAAGACGAGCTGAAAAGATATCTTCTCGTAGTGATGAAATGCACCATCAGCAACTGAGGGTGATATTATATGTCTCATGGATCCCCAGAAAGTAGCACCTAAATGTGCAAGGAAAGTATCACGTGCAACTGTGTAATTTTGGAACTCCTGTGCAGTCAACATCACAATGCAATGTGTCACATTTTACTGAAGCATTGCGATTCCAACCTCCTTACGGAAAGAATCCTCAAACCAGAAGGGAGACATTAGCAAAAGATAAAAAGCCTGGCATGGAACCAAGAAAATACCTCATGTTCATCGCTAAACAAATTCCAGCTCTCCATTCGTGTTAGTGCATCCATGGCTTTTCTCTTATGAATCTCATCATGTTCATCTCCTTCAAATGACTGGAGCTCAGTTTTTAAATCCCGCATTCTCTCATCAAGTTCTTGGACACCGAAAATGAAGATAAAATGAGAAAAAAAAACACAAAATATCGAAAGAGTTACTCAAGAAGATGATGTGGGAGCTATACGGAATCCCACTTTAAAACCAAGAAATAGAAAACACGAAGAGGGTACATTAAAATTAAGCCTCATAAAGCAGCATTAGAGAATAGAAAGCACCTTCACAAAGAGCGAGCTTCTTTTTCCTTCCCTTGCAGTGCTTGAAAGCAAATAGTTCATATACATCAATCTCCGCTAGAAGAATGTCAACAGCCTGATGGTCTTTCTGAAAAACAAGAGCAATTCTGAGTAAACTTTACCGCCTCTTAAGGTACCAGAAATTCGATTGTTCTACTTTATTTTTAGTCCTATATTTGTTCGTACTGGAGTTTACAATAGGGTCCAAGATAACTCCGGTACTCCCAAGATTAAGGTCCTTTGATGAAATCCCGTGGTTTCTTGTTTCACCAATCAAAACGTACCTCTCCAAATACAGAAAATTTGTCCTGAATTGCATCTTGCAGTCTGTTTTCTGCTTCATCTTCAGATATTTCTGGAAGGAAATAAAATTGTGGACACAAAAGTAACGGAAACTCAGGAAAATTTTGTGCAGATGAGAGAAGGCCAAAGAAAAAAAGAGAGGTATCCACAGATTACTAGAATTCTACATTTAAAGTAAAGGTAAACAGTCAAGAGGTTTACAATCTAGGAGCCATAATTCAGAAGAATTTATTGCGAATAGTACCTGCAACTGCACCAATAGTCTTTCCCACGTTTGGCAAACTAAGCTCGGTTCGTACTCCTTCCCCACCGACAGAAGGTCCCCATGAAAAAGGGCCAGCACTTAAATCGATGAATGCCCACCTGAGAGAAAATGTTCACAAAATCATGAAACATACAGTTTTTCAATTTTGTTGGCATGCATAAGATGCGCTCTAAGACGGAATGACAAGGTAAATACAAGTACACACATGCACTGAAAGCTTCAGAAAAGCAACCTGCCCTTTCCGATCCAGATATCAGTCAGACATTCTGCGTTAAGATTGCTAATGTCTCCAGCTCTTAAACCCTTTTCTAGAGAGATCTTCATATCTTCACTTTTCCCTTGAAGCAACTTGAAATTTTCATTGAGAAAGATACAAAGTTCAGCACATGTAAGGAAACTCATTTACAATAATTATAGCTTTTGGGAGAGTATTGAGACAAAATGAAAGAAAATTGGTACCTGCAAAACCTTATTCTGAATGAGCTCGGCTGCATCTTTACCATGGGATAGCTGTTCCAACTTGTTAAGAGCATCCTGGCATGCATTGTACCACTCGGTCTGAAAGCAAGACAACAATTAACACTGTGAAACACAATAGCTAACACTGTAAGACATATAAAAACACTTGATACTCGCAGCACAAATGATCTAGTCATTGCAACAACCCGCAGGACTAAAACATGTTGTCAAAATAAATTTCTGCCATATGATACAAACATTAAGGCTAACCAATGGAATAGTAAAATTTGAGCATAGTAGCTAAAATAACTAACCGTATCAGTCTCCTCCGCATTTGTCCAGGAAAATTTGAGCATTGGATGTTTTACGTACAATGGCTTTCTCACCATATCAAATGCTACAACATACTCGCAGAAAGTATCAAATAAGAACCTGGAAGGTACATTACATCATCAATGGAAAAAAATACCATTGTTATTTTTCTTTCTGTACCTAAGAGATTTTCTGACGGCTTTCCAGACTGTAGAAGTTTTTTTATAACGTCCTTGTTCTGCAAAAAATAAAAATAAAAGCACTTTAAAGGACATTCTTCTCTTCTGGTGAGATTGTTTATAATGCAATTACTTTGGAAGCATAAACAGAACATAAAGAACAAGAATCACCTCTTTTAGATAAGATATCTCCGAGTCTGAAAAACCTCTCCTGCAAAATCCATTTGTAAGTCTGGTACTTTCCTCGTCCGTAATATATAATAAAATAACAGGATAAATAACAGGTGCTCACCGGTATCCATATCTGCCTTTTTTGATATCATGTTTGGGATTCAAAATAAATACGTTGTATGCATCCCCAATGTGAAAATAATCAGTAAGGCTAGTGAAAATGAATTCCATCATCTCAACATCAACTTGTCTTAGAGCATTTTCCTCATCTCTGCTACCATAAAAAGAGAGAGTACCACCACTTAGAAAAAAAGTTGCAAGCAGATATCACGAGTGACTTCCATAAGACATAAACTGAAAGAAGAAACCTTTGAAAAGAATTACCCATTGGTAGAAATGTCATCCTTGCGTGCTAAAACATTGATGGCTCGTTCGATTACTGATGTCACCTTGTCTCCCATTTGTATGGCATGAACAGAAAAGCTAACAAAAGGAAGAAAAAAGAAAAGCACAATTAGCGTCTAGGTAAAACTAACACCATCCACCAGGAAACAAGTTAAAGATGACTGTACTTGTAGTTCACACGACTGATGATAGGAAGATGGTGTTTCGACTCCTTTTCACTGTTAGTCTTGTAAAAGGGATTGAGAGCTTCATTGGTGTGTGGAACTCGCGTATGTTCAAACATGTGATCAAGTTTGTTGAACCAACGTTCGATTTCCTCAGGAAGGAGTTTAAACTCTACAATAACGTGTGGAGAAAATTATGGACAAAAGAGAAAATCAAGTGATGGCTCCAATTCAAAGAAAAGCAAGATAAAGGCAGAAATTTATTCACCTTGATTCCCTTTCCCATCAAACCCTATGAAAATAAAATTGACTGGCACGGGAAGATATACAGACTCGACTTCCATAAGCTCTAGGTAACTCGCAATGTTTCCTGATAATATGTAAGCAAGTCAGGAACCGAAACAAATAAGTGATCTAGACTGCTAAATGAGCAAACATGTTCTTTAGCATTCACAGGAGCTGGAAGGAAATGAAAAGCAATTACCTGCTTTAGTGTAATTCTCCACACCGGAGTGGACTGAAGACTCAAGATCATCAAAATCTGATAACAGCAAGAAGAAGACGTCATTGAAAGGAACGCAATTACAATCCAAAAGCAAGGAAGACCTGCAGAGAGAATATACCGCTACGAAGAACAGACTCGCTCCAATATTTGCTTTTTCCCTTGAGATTGAACAAGGAAAACACTGAAGACTTCAACGTATTGCGGTTTCCATGTGGAGCTCCATATGATAGAGATGGTAGGAACTAAATCACGAAATCAATCGAAACAAATCACGCAAACTCGATTGAGGAAGAGAAATGTAAGTTTGAAATCAAAGCATTAACGCATAACATCGCAGCTCATCATCGTTTCAAATTTGATATCAGGAAGAAGAAGAACACCAAAACTCGAGAGAAGGAAATCGAAAGTAAAAACAAATGGCTTTGATCAAATACTCCTCTAGCGACGGATCGAAGGAATGAATCGTACCAGGATAGCTACACAAATGGTGAGCGCGAGCTTGGAAACGGATCTGTTCCCAGCCCCGAATCTACGCATCGTCTTCGAATTCTTCTTCTCCTAGTAAACGGTGAATCGTAGTAGGGTTTTGATCTTTCCTCCCGCAAAAATTCCTACACTGGCCACTGTATTTTTGGTCGTCTTGCCCACAAATTGATTTCTCTTCTTCTATTAGCCAAAGGAAAAAAAAATCCGTCTCAGAAAAAAACTGTGTGTTAAGTCAAAATATCTGTACAAAAAAAGTCAAAATAATAAAATAATAAATCAACAATTTTAGTTAAAACAAGGCTACAACAAAACTCAAACAAATTTTTTAAAGTTTAATTAAACTTCAAAAATATTAACATAAAATATATAAATGTAAGTATGTAACTGTGTCAAAAACAAAATATCTGAAAAAAAAAACTAATTTTTATTCATTGAAAGTTAATATGCTCCTTAATCCATGGAAAAGGGCTAGCTAGAACAAAATGGTCAACTAGCTGATAGATTATGATTTATGGTGCACAAAATCATAATAACTAAACCATCTCTAACAGACGAACTTGATACTGTGTCATCTATGAGTACAAGTGCACGACTATGATCCTCAATCTCAAATAATGATGCATTAAAGTTATGTAGAAGTTTCATGTGCCATCCAAAATTAAACACTTCAAGTGGCGTATCTTACATTGCATTTGCTGCTTTGCAGAACATGTTGCAAAGGCCTTAGAAAAAAAGGGATATGAGAATTGAGGATAGCTATGCGGTGCATGCGATGAAGTAGTGCAAAGTATTAATCACAGTATCTTCCAATGCAGAGTTAGTAAAGAAGTTTTGGGGATCAAAATCTCTTACTATCGTTTCATTTTTTACTTCTCGAGAACAACACTTCAACCATAGTTCTAGATCAACATTATTTTCTTGGATGGTGATTGTAAGATTATAATTATTTTCGACCAACATGCAATAGACAATGAAAAGAATGGCAGATTAGTATACGTACATAAAATAATTTAAGAAGAAAAACACATAATAACATTATTAACTGATGTGCAATGAACACATAGCACTCCACTCCAGTCTTTCACAATTGGAGCTGGATATTAAAAAGCAGCCGAAGGATTGGATTCTCTCCAAGATATGGGCCTGTGTGATACAAAGAAGCCCACATATCCATTAAAGGCAAGGGACCACAAACCAAAGACATCGATGCTTACGTGTAATTTTGTCGTTGCTGGTTACTAAAAAAACAGCGGTCGGTCACTTCCCCGTGCGTGGTCGCTTTAAAACGCAGTGGACTGAATAAGATTGTACAGCTAAGCTCAAAGCTCAAAAAGCTCCTAGCTCAGTGTGTTGTACAGCTTTTTTTTCTAGTGGAAAAAGAGTCAGATCGGCGAGCCTAAGATGGGTTGGGGTTTCTTTGTGGTGTTACTAGCCGTGGCGGCGGTTTGTCCGAGGGCAAGTTCAATCGGAGCGAACTGGGGCACGCAGGCGTCGCACCCTCTTCCGCCGGACATAGTGGTCCGGATGCTGAGAGAGAACGGTATTCAGAAAGTAAAGCTCTTCGACGCCGAGTACGACACTCTCAGAGCTCTGGGCAAGTCAGGAATCGAAGTCATGGTCGGTATTCCAAATGAGATGCTTGCCACTCTCGCCGCCAGCCCCAAAGCTGCTGAGAAATGGGTTTCTAAAAATGTTTCTACTCACATCTCCACCGATAACGTCAACATCAGGTTTCTTTTTCTCCTTTTATCTATCTTTTTATCTACTTTCCTTTTTTAGGGTTCCACAATTAACACTGTTCAAGTTAGGAATTGAAAAATCAGGGAACTTGAGCTAGGATTCTCATAGACTAGGTGAATTGTCCTGAAATTACGGGTTATTCAGACAAATCTCATGTTGAATTTTGATCCTCTGGTTCGGTTTGTTGAAACAGATACGTGGCTGTTGGCAACGAACCATTCCTGTCGACCTATAACGGAAGCTATCTCAGCACAACTTTCCCTGCGCTGAGGAACATCCAGGCAGCGTTAAACAAAGCCGGTCTTCAGAACCAAGTCAAGGTGACGTGTCCCTTAAACGCCGACGTCTACGACAGCTCAACCACCTTCCCCTCCGGAGGCGACTTCAGAGCCAACATCCGTGACCTCATGATCACCATCGTCAAGTTCCTGAGCGACAACGGAGGACCCTTCACCGTCAACATATACCCTTTCATAAGTCTCTACAACGACGCCAACTTCCCGGTCGATTACGCCTTCTTCGACGGTAACTCGAAGCCGGTGAGCGACGGTGGGACTTTCTACTACAACATGTTCGACGCGAACTACGACACTCTGGTCCACGCTCTTGAGAAGAACGGGTTTACGAACATGCCTATCATTGTCGGTGAGATCGGTTGGCCTACTGATGGAGACAGGAATGCTAACTTGGAGTACGCTAGGAAGTTCAACCAAGGCTTCATGTCACACATCTCCGGCGGGAAAGGGACTCCGAGGAGGCCTGGCCCTATCGACGCGTACCTCTTCAGCTTGATAGACGAGGACGCTAAAAGTGTCCAGCCGGGATACTTTGAGAGGCACTGGGGGATATTCACGTTTGATGGCTATCCTAAATACTTATTGAACTTGGGGACAACGAACTCTGGAGCTTTGATCCAGGCCAAAGGTGTGCGTTATCTACAGAAGAAGTGGTGTGTGATGAAGCCAAACGTGAGGTTGGATGATCCTCAGGTGGCTCCGAGTGTGAGCTACGCGTGTAGTCTCGGGGACTGTACTAGTCTTGGGGTTGGGACGTCGTGTGGGAATCTTGATGGGAAGGAGAACATATCGTATGCGTTCAATAGTTACTATCAGATAAATGATCAGGTTGATACGGCGTGTAAGTTTCCGAATATATCAGAGGTGACTAGGACGGATCCTTCCACCGGAAGCTGTAGGTTTCCGATAATGATAGAGCCTTATTACGGTGGGGCTACAACACAAAGGCAAGTGTTCTTCTTGCCACTGCTGCTGTCCGCAGCCATCACTGTGATGTGCTTTATTTTTTGATGGTTTCTTTGTGAAATTTGTGTAACTCTTATGTGTGATGGGATTTTTTTTTTTTTTTGTTTCCTTGGATTCTAATTCCTCCTCCTGAGAACAAGTGAAAATAGTGATTGTTTCAGGGAACAAATCGACCACCCTAAGAAGACGCAAGGCCATCTTTATGTTGTTTTAAAATCTGTTAATTATGGTATTAACATCATGAAAGTGTGTTTAGCACATTTGATATCCATAACCCTCACAATAAATCAGCGGCCCAGATGAACATTTAAGTCCACTTAATCAATGGCTTTCTTCTTTCTTCAAAGCTTTTCAAGAGTTTCAAAATTCCATTTCTCTTCCCGATCTCTACATCTCTTCTATTCCATGGTACCAGACGCTTCCATTGATCAGAGCAACCTTATTTTCTTTACTGGGTAAATGTTCGTCTACTTAAATATTTCGGTAGTAGTAGTTCGTTGCGAAGGACAGAGATTGGATTCTTTATTTTCATCAAATTTTACATGTTTACAATTAGTCTATATGTTATCTAAATTTTATTGGCTTTTTTAACTCTTTTGGGATTTTGGTTTATTTTGGCTATATTATCTCTTATATCAGTTAGTTTAGATTTGATCTTATCACTAGAAGGCTTAAAAGTAGGATCGTATCCTGTTCCTGTGTTTTAAATAAAAGAAAAAGAGAATTTGCTTCTCAAACAGTTAAACTGAATCCCATGATCGTATCCTAGAAAAGACCTTGGGATTATTCATTTCATGACCTCTTTTCCCTTGGTAAGCAGCGTTTTCTTTTCTCTTTTTTTTTTTGCATTCATTTATACACCGACATAGAAATGTAAAAAAACTTGAGGCAACTTAGGCAAGTCATTTTACCCAAAAAAAAAAAACTTAGGCAAGTCAGGAAATAGTAAAAGGAAATATGTGATTCTGTGGAGATATATGGGAACAATCACTCTTGTTTTTCCCTTCAAAATTGCTTATAGGTCTCCAGTCTCCTTGTCCCAACCTGCAGGTTTTCAGAATAAGAAGATAAATCATATCAAACTCTCTGTTTTGGGACGAGAAGAGAAGAAAGAAAACTTGTTTTTGCATCAACAATGGAGTTTCCAGTTGGAATGAGGGTCCTTGCCGTGGATGAAAACCCAATCTGCCTTCGGAAACTCGAAAGCATGCTGCTTCTCTGCAAGTATCACGGTACTTATTGTTATTTTTACCTGTCTATTTCAGAACATGCATGAAAGCGTGAGATATGATGATAATCTTTTGATTGCATATGCCAGTGACAAAGACAACAGACTCTAAAGAAGCTCTGGAAATGCTGAGAGAGAAGAACAACATGTTTGATCTGGTGATAGCCGATGCAGACTTGCCAGACACTGATGGGTTTAGGTTGCTTGAAATTGGTATTGAAATGGGTCTTCCTGTCATCAGTACGTATCCCTTCCCTAGCGTTGCTTTCATATCCTCTATATCCTTTTGGTCTAACTTTTGTTTTTCATTCTTCTCAGTGTTGTCGCAGCCTAGCAGTAAGGAAATCCTAATGAAAGCTACTACACGTGGCGCGGTTGGTTATCTGGCCAAGCCTGTAGGCCTCAGTGAGCTTCAGAATATATTGCAACATGTGGTGAAGAAGAAGAACATTAACAAAGACGCTACAGCACAACAGCTCCCTCCTTGTGAATCCCATCCCGCCCCAAGCTACGTCAGGAAACGTTCACGTCGTGCGTTATGGACAATGGAACTCCACGAGAAGTTTGTCAATGCTGTTGAGCAATTGGGGCATAGTGAGTTTGCTCCCTTAAACCTATCTTCACCTTCCCTTGTGTGTTGTTGTTTCTCATAAAGATTCGTTTTGATGCTATGTCTTTTTTCATTTCATTTCTACTAATGCTTGTTTGTTTTCTGTGGGTCCTCTCCATTACAGGGGGTGTTCCAAAAAACATACAGGCACTCATGAATGTAGAAGGTCTCACTAGGGAAAACGTAGCTTCCCATTTGCAGGTTTTTTTATCCTCTCTCGGATTTTGCATCTCCCCTTGCTAATATAATCTTGTATAGAGAAATGGTTTGACTTTTTTTTGTGTGTGTTCTCTGGTTTTGGTTGCAGATATACAGATTGTGCATGAGAAAGGTAGAGCATCCGCAGAACCCAATAAACTCACCAGAAGTCAACAATGCTTAGTTACCAGGAGACGTGAACGTGAATCAGTTTCAACAACTACATCTCCACTAGAGCCCCTCTTGATTCCTAAATTGGTGGTAGCTTATCCAACAGTGACTATATCATATAAACAACAGGTTCTGTCCATCAAGAGTCAAGACAATAATTAAAGAAATGGATATTTTGTTTTGGACCGTTTTTAGCTTTTCTTTTTCTTCATAAGGTTTTAGCTTTAAATTAAGCTTTTTCTTCATAAGATTTTTAGCTTTAAATTCAAAGATACAATCGGTTTTGAAATCTCTGTTACCAGGTATGCAAAGATACACTCAGTTTTAATTTGACCGCCTCTTTCATTTATTGTTGTTCCTGTAAGGTTATGAATACACAATGTATATATAAAACTCTGAATATCCACCAGCACCACTAAATGATGACCAATAGTATCTCTAAGGTGCAAGAACAGCACCAAACTAAGCACTCTTCTCCCTGTGAATCTAGTTACTTCAACCAGCCAGATTATGTAACGGATTTTAAGGATGCCAAATTCTTTATCATCAAATCATTTAGTGTCCACACAAGTATGAAGTACAATGTCTTTGCCAGTAATCTGTCTGAATACTTCTTATTACGGTGGTAACAATATAGTTGGAGAATGCAAAAGCTTTCTCTTCCTTTTTTTGGTATACTTCTCTTTCTACACCTTCTGGCTTCATGAAGAGGTGTCAGTGAAATGTGGATTGCAGCAACAATCTGTGAGAAGAGATTTTAGATAGTACAGTTGAGTAAAATGGCTGAATAATGGAAAGTATGACTAAGAATGTGGAGAAAAAAAGAAGTCAAACTGTTACAAATCTGGCACTTCTTGTTCAAAGTCTGAATGAGATAAGGATCAGGACAGTCCATTGCCTTGTCAAATTCTCATTTTTGGAATTGAGGTCAAATTTTTTGGTGCATTTACTTTGATATTAAAAAAAAAAGAAAGAGAAAACGTGTCAATCATAATAGGAAAAGAGCTATATAAGGCAAACCAGGAAAGATGAAATGCTGGGTTTGAATTGAACGTTACAAGAGAATAGATATTTGAAAAAAAAATGGGGACTAATAAAATAAACTTTACGGAAAGTTGTCTTTTGTGTAACAAATAAGGGAAGATTCAACAAACAAAAAGGAAAGTAGAGACGGCATGTGACTGTCCACGTCCTTGCAAATGGAAAGGAGAGCAAAAACAGAAGGAAATATGTAAAATCATGTATAAAATTAAGGGCAAGATTAAAGGCACAATCACTCTCTCTCTCTTTTTATTTTGGCCTCTCTGTCTTTGTTTTTTCTTCCTTACACTGACTTCCGTATAACCGTGGATAGGAATAAGATTGTGGTCTCCTAGTCCAAAATTTGAAGGTTGTCAGAATATTACATACAAAATCAGATTAAAAGTCTTATGTGCTTCTTGTGGCTACGACAAGGGAAAAGACATCAACACTGGGACTAAAGAAGAGCATGGGGAATATGGACACTGAAGAGAGAAGGACTGATCAGTTTCCTGTCGGAATGAGAGTCCTTGCTGTCGATGACAATCCAACCTGCCTCCGGAAACTTGAAGAGTTACTGCTTCGCTGCAAGTATCATGGTACCACTTATCATCCTCATGCTTCTGTCTAGATTTGTTTTTATTTTACCTTGAGAAGGGAAATGTAGAAATTTTTAATTGATACTCCAATGACAGTTACAAAGACAATGGAGTCGAGGGAAGCTTTAGAAATGCTGAGAAATAAGAGCAATATGTTTGATCTTGTGATAAGTGATGTAGAGATGCCTGACACAGATGGGTTTAAGTTGCTTGAAATTGGTCTTGAAATGGACCTTCCTGTCATCAGTACGTGTCCCCTCTTGTTTTTCATAAATCATCAAACTCTATAGCCTTTGGTCTAACTTTTGTTTTCATTTTTCTTAGTGTTGTCTGCTCATAGCGACCACGAGAGTGTTATGAAAGGTATTATCCATGGAGCGTGTGATTATCTTGTCAAGCCTGTTGGTCTCAAGGAGCTTAAGAACATATGGCAACATGTTGTGAAGAAGAACATTCATTCCTACAAGAGAAACATTGGCTCTTCTCGCCAACTCCAACCTTCTTCTGAATCCAACCCCGCCACAAGCGTCAGCAGGAAACGGAAAGAGAAAGTTAATGACAGTGGTGATGATGAAAACGACAGTGACAGAGATGAGGACTATGGTGATGGGAGTGAACAAGATGGCGATGAATCATCCACAAGGAAGAAGCCTCGTGTTGTTTGGTCACAGGAGCTTCACCAGAAGTTTGTCACTGCTGTTCAGCAATTAGGCCTTGACAGTGAGTTTACTTACCCCTTTAATCCTCTGTTCACGTTTCCTTGTGTGTTTTTTCTCATAGAGATTTTGTTTTGATGCTTTCATTACAGAGGCTGTCCCAAAAAAGATTCTTGATTACATGAATATGGATGGTCTCACTAGGGAAAACGTAGCCAGCCATTTGCAGGTACTAAGTTTTCAAGTCTCTATTGCAAATTTGAAATCTGCCTTTGCTAAGATGTTGAGACAATGCTTCTTGTTTTGCTGTTTCTATGGTTTGTTCTGCAGAAGTATAGACTATACTTGAAAAAGATAGACGAGGGTCAGCAGCAGAACATGGGTCCAGATGCATTTGGAACAAAAGATTCATCTTACTTCCATATGGCTCATCTTGATCATGGCCTTAGAGACTTTCCTTCCACAAGACAAATCCCAAGCTCTTCACTCTTGTCTCGTTCCCATCTCAACAAGTTCCATCCCTCTGTGTATTCATCCATAAACCCTCAAGGAATCAACTCTTCAAGCTTCATCCAACAGGGTCATCATCACCAGAACTCAAACTCAAGCAGCTCAGCTAATCCATTTGGAACATATCACCACAATTCTCTGTTGCCAAGATCACAGAGCGTGAACCTGTCTCCACTAGAGCCCCTCCAGTTTCCCAGAAACAAATCCTCTGCATACATGGGAGATTTTAAAAGCATAGGAGACAGAGGACTCGGCGGTGGCTTTCTTGATTCTCGGATGTCTTTTGGTAGCTCTAGCACATCTTTGCCAAGTGCTCCAAGCAACAATATGATGTTCCAAGCAAACTATACACAACCTCTGCTTAGACCCACTGAAGGAAACCAGTCATGCCTCGATGGAGCTCTGTCAAACTCTGGCGTCCATGGGTTATCAAGATTTCCTAGTAATAACACATGGCAAGGGGGTTTGAAACCAGCAAGATTCCCATCAAACTCTTTACCGTTAAACCATGGTTTCAATCAGGATCAGTTGACGACATATGCGGTGAATAATGGTATGGAAGATTGTACTTCTTTGGTTTCTTCTACGGTGAATCCTGTTGGAGAGAATATGCATTGTGAGCCTCAGTTGCTAGGTGACTTCATTGGGAACATGAATACGTTAGAGGGACAGAAATGGGAGGAACAGAGCTGCAACTTGCTGAACAATCCATTCGGTAACTTGGAGTATCCGGTGGTGCCAGCAAGTAACATGGTTTTTAGGGACAACAACAATGCGAACAGAAGCAAAGAGCTGGTGGATGAGTCACTGATGAGCCCTCTGGAGGAGAGTGCAACGACACTCAACAATCATCAAGAGTATGTGGGAAAGCCAGAGAATGCTGGTCTTGTTGACAACCAGCATGATGTGTTCGATGACATAATGAATGAGATGATGAAACAGGTAAGTAATGTCTTGTTTTTTTTCTTCTTCTTTGGTGATTGGATTAAATAGCTTTTTGTAATGGTAGAAAAATGAAAGTGGATGTTGTGTTTGTTTTGCAGGATGAGAACAATGGAATGGTGTCAGTGGCTACTAGATTTGGGTTTGATTCGTTTCCTCCGGCTTAGTTCATGGCCCTCTTTCTCTTTCTTTCTACCGGTTGATTCCTTTTTTTCTACAGTTGAATACCATTCTTGTCATTTGTTTTCTTTTTTCTTCACACATTGTTTCCTCCGATTGATTGTCAATAGATCAACTGACACAGTGCACCCACCAGTTTCGTACTACTCTTTTATAATCTGGAATTTAAAGCGAGAGTGCTTAAAAATTACTACAAGTTACTATTTTCTTCCTATCAGACAACTTTTTGATGTAGATTCTAGATTGACTTTGTCTGGAAACTACTCGTATTGACTAGAAGATTTTGTGTGTTCTGCTAAAAGTAAAATAATTGACCATTTCTGTAGCCGACTACAGTCTGTTTTTCAGAAGATCTTTATAACGTCAACTGATATTTATTAGTAAAAAGAGAGATTTATACAACGAATTACAGCTTAGGATGCGTTACACCTAGTGCCCTCTAGAAATCCATGACAAGTTATTACATATTTTACATATTCGAATAAATCCCAATACAAAATTACGAAAAATGAGTCATTCCTATGTAAGCTTTGAGAAACTTCATACAAGTGTTGTAGGATACTTTTTCCAACAAAACTGATTAAACCGCTAAACTAGTTTTTTTCTTATAATCAGGCCGTGGTGGTCCAATAGCTGAAGACTTTGGTATTTAATAAATGTTATTTTTCTGGTAGAATTCATGTTTTTATACATATGGCGATTTTCAATCATGTTAAAGCTCATAACATTTGGTAAGTGTTGCAATTTTAGTTAATTGCGCTTTATTATGAAAAATGTTCCATTTTATAAAGTAAGATATTTACAATTCGACATGAACATCTGGTGGGGCCTAGAAAAGGGAAAAGGAAGTCAAATCAAAGTTGTGAATGTATGGCCCATTGTATTGTAATCTTCCTTGGCAAAACCTGGCTAACGAAGCAAAGGAAATAAAAGAGACATTTGTGTCCTCCTTTATTCACATTGTAACTCATAGACGCTACTAGAACCTCTGCCCGACGCGCTTCACACGTGTCAACCCCTCTTCCCACGGAAATCTCCTTTCTGTTTTTCCTATAAAGAACAGAATCTCTCTTGCTTATCCTTTTACCTCAACCAAAAAATATCTAAATCGAAGAAAAATGGCGCAGAAGAAAGCGATGGAAGTGGTGAAGGGGCTCGACTTGGAGAGGTACATGGGCCGTTGGTACGAGATTGCCTCTTTCCCGTCCAGGTTCCAGCCTAAGAACGGCGAGGACACTCGCGCCACCTACGCCCTGAACCCCGACGGCACGGTGCACGTCCTGAACGAGACATGGAACGGAGGGAAGAGAGGTTTCATCCAAGGCTCAGCCTACAAGGCCGATCCAAAGAGCGACGAGGCCAAGTTCAAAGTCAAGTTCTACGTCCCTCCTTTCCTCCCCATCATTCCCGTCACCGGCGACTACTGGGTCCTCTACATCGATCCCGATTACCAGCACGCCGTCATCGGCCAGCCCTCCAGGAGTTATCTCTGGGTCGGTAGCTTCTTACCTTTCTCTTTCTTTTTCATTTTGTGATGAATATTGACTATGATGAGGTTATGTTTATGTGGATGGGTGTGTAGATATTGAGCAGGACGGCTCAGCTGGATGAAGAGACATACAAGCGACTGGTGGAGAAGGCGGTGGAGCAAGGGTACGACGTCAGTAAGCTCCATAAGACACCTCAGAGTGACACCCCACCTGAGATCGACTCTGCTCCCGACGACACCAAGGGCGTTTGGTGGTTCCAATCCCTCTTCGGCAAATAAACACATCAACACTAAAACCTTTTCATTTCTGTGTAATATGCTACTGCCTCTTTTGTTTTTACTCTAGTAATCAAATCCTCCATCTACTTTAGTCTGTTTTCGACATCTGTATTTTACTTGCATGAGTAATGAAGTTATCTATTACCACCATTAGAAACCATTAACAAAAGCAATCAAATAATCTGGCAAAGTAGTGACATTATGAATTTGGATAACACACCACACGACACAAGTCTTATGGAAATCTGAAAACGCATGCAAACTAAATCATATGTAGGTATTATATAATGATAGAAAAACAGTCTCCCCCAGCAAAAGTTTGGTTGACTATATATACCCAGCAGCAGAGCACATCCAGAATTGCAGCCTCACAGAATGGTACAGCATGAATTCGTTTTCTTCGCTTGCTTGTAGAACAGCTGTTTCAACCAAAACACCAATATCAGTTTCTCATGTCATAATCCACGTACTTCCTCTAATCCCCAATATATTATCTACCAACACTTTTTCAAGTTTCAAGCTCGCTCATATCCTTTTCCCTTTCTACCGTGTAACCGGCTAACTACGCTAATATACCGAGAAAAAACGAAAGCTATATGAGCTGAGAAAAGCTTCTAAGCGACGGTAGAATGTTACCTGCGATGCCATGCTCAAGTCTGAGCTCTTCTCCACTAGGCTGTCCAGCTTCTCACCACGAGCTAAAACGCTGTCAATGGTTTTATGCTGTAATACAGAACAAAATATATTAACATTCCGGGAGAAGAGAACCATATTAAGCTAGAACGCTGTCAAGGGTCTACAAGGAAGGATAGGAGTTGCACTTACAAGGATAATCTTGGTCTCATCCAACTCCCTCTGGATTTTCAACAGCTTATCAGCCTCTGCTGGGTCCTGAAAGATTACAAATACAGGCAGCAACAACAACAACAAAATTGCACTTAGATCAAGTTCATTCAGAGTCGACAATCAACTTGATCAAAAAATATGAAAACAATAGAGCTATCAAATTAGTTCACGAGGAATCAGTCAGCTCAGAATTATATGTCCACACAATTGAGCACATACATTCAGTTCTTTAAGAAGAATCACAGGCAAAAGAGCGAATACAGTTGAACAAGTGAAGAACCTGAAATTTCTTTAAAGCTCCGTCTAAGTATGCCCAGGGCTCGCTGGAGTCTTCTTTTGCAGACCTCCACGCCTCACCAAAACCCTTCTGGTACTCATCTAGGACCTGAGAACAATCGAATGTCAAGCAAAACGAATCCTTTCCTCATGACGAGAACCATATTACAGTAAAACCACAACGAGTGGTTCCTAGCTGAGCATAACGATACCTGATTGAGAAGAGAAAAGGCACTTCGAACAGGATAATGATCGTCCATGAATCCCACCGCGCAAAGGCCATTCCTATTGTAAGCGTGAACCTTGTACTCTATATCATAAACAAAGACACGAACCCTAATTAGCCCCAAAATCGAGAGCAATCACAGAGAATTACATTCATGGCATAGCCCGGAAAGATCTGGAATCGGAACAGGTGAGAAAGCAATTGCACACATCCTAATCATATAAGTTGGAAAATCGAAAAGCCGATCCGATCCGATTCGATTCAGCAGAAATCGAATAAACGCAAAGAGGAAAAAGAGGAAGGCAATAGATCCGAGAGAATAAAGAATGAAACTAGCGATCTATGAGGAAGAAGAAGGAGAAGAACCTTCGTGCTGGACGGATTGGCGCTGGGAAGAAGGGGTTCGGCTGGCGACGGTGCGACCGACAAAGACGACAAACTCCTTGACGCTAGATCGCTGGAAATAGCCAAAGTGAGAGACGTCGGAGGCGTTGGCGAGGATAACGGGCTCGGAAGTTTCGGGAGCGCACTTGAGAACAAGCAAGGCGGTGATCTTCATAGCTGCGGTGGATTAAGATAGCGTGAGACGGAAGCGAGGAGGAGGAGGAGGAAGAGGAAGAGAAGAGGCGTTGTTGGACCTGGAAGCTAAAGTCCGGTGGTAAATTGCAAAAGTTTTTGAGGTGTCGAAATAGACGCCCATTAAATTACATTCGTTTATTTATATAGCCTCTTTTATTCGCTCTCTTACTCTTCCTTCGTAAGAATTGTATATTCTGTAAATCTGTAATTCTACTAGGTGTTTTACCTGCGCACGCGCGTATTCCGTTATAATATTTATAAATAAAATTTTATGTCCTCTTTATTTTAATTTTATTCAATAATATTAAGAAAATGTATGATTCAATTAAGAATATTTGTATATCAAGTTCGAGTCATCAATTTTTTTTTTGTTTCTTTGATAAGAGATGAAAATAATAATTTCATTTATTAAAAAAAAAAATTTTAAATGCTTCATTATTTTTCAATTTTTGTTTATAATTTTTTTTAATAAAATTTTTTTTGTAACATACTTTTAATTTTTTTTACCTAACCAATTTAATTATTTTTATAAGTAGTCATAATAAGTAAGATACATTTTAAAAATATTTTTTGTCATAAAAACATACAACAGCCCAATCCTCAAATTTCTTAGGGCCTCACTGGTTTAACCGCTGCGGTTGCGGTTGCGGGTGCGGGAGTTTGCAGAAGCGGGCGGTTGTGATTAGTAGCGTTATTAAGCGGTTTGTACGACTGGCATAACAATTGAAAATGGATGCGTTTGCGGGTTACTTATGACTGGTTCACTTGCGGATGCAATAGCGGTTAAACAATAAATTAATAATATAAACACATTATATAATTATAAAAATATCAAAAATATTTTATAATGAAAATTTTAAATTTATGGTTCAACATAATTAAAAATATTTTTTTATAAATAATAATATGTGTATAATACTTACGTCTATCTTTTAATTTCTATAATTTAAATAAAAATGTGATTTTATTTTCAAAATATATATTTAATGTGAAAATTAAATTTATTTTACAATTTTATTTATTAGATATATATGTATTAGTATGAAAAGAATATTTATGAAGAGAATTTTGATTTGTAGAACTTATAAATATATAAGTATTATATGATTTTAATGAATATTGACTAAAAGTACTAATTTTTTATTTATATTGTGATTTTATTATCCAAATCTTATTTTTTAATAAATATTATTATTTATTTTCGGATTTTATATAAGTTTTTTTTTTTTTAATTATCCACCGCAACCGCCCGCAACCGCAAACGCTTGCGGAAAGGAGCTTTTGATTTTCAGCGATATAGAGCGGTACAGAGTGGTATAGAGCGATTCAAAGCGGTTGTCGTGATTGTTATAAACCGCCGAAAACCGCTACGAACCGCAAACGCTGCGTTTGCGGGTGGTAGCGGGAGAACCAATCAGGCCCTTAAACTAATCCTTTAATTTTACAAGACAATTTTTTTTATATCCAATAAAGGTTATCTGGCAAACTTATCCAATATTAGTCTAATACATATTTTAGTTCTTAATTTATTTTTTAATTTTATTTATTGTTTAGCTTTTCCAGCTATGAATTTATGATTTATACTTAATTTTTTTTTGTAATTTTAATTATGTTGCATTTAATTCCATCAATAAATTCATCTCTTTATTTTTAAATCATTGTTTTTGTATTTAAAAGTCTTATATCTAGAAAATAAAATAAAATATAAATGTATTTTACAGATCATTAAGGACGGGAAGAAAGGAATCAGAAAGATCAGGAGTAAAAAATTTTTTTTTTTAATTGTTTCATATGATATAATCGTGTTAAATGTATTCCCACTTTTTCCATATCATATGGCTTCTTCTTCTTCCCGTGGTCATCATCTTTTAATTGTTTTTCCAATTCCCGGTTAAATTATTTTGGTTTGTTACGGTTCGATTTTCCTATCTTATAGAAATTAGAAATACTTCATTTCTTTTTCTTTCATTTACCGACCACAATCGAACAATATTTCTTCTTCCTTATTCCCACCGGAACCATCTCATCATTTAGATCCCTCTTCTTTGTTGCTAATCTTGTTATTACCAGGGGAGAGCTCACGCTTCTTCTTCTTTTCGATCTCCTTCGACTCTCGCTCTGAATTTCTCAATTAACTTAGGTACCAATCTCGAATTTTCCCTTTATCGCCGATTGATGGTTTGATTTTTTGGTCAAATGATTTTCGATAACGTCACCGAGTTAAATTTTGGGTTTTCTCGGTGTTTGCTAGTTTTGTTGATGTTTAATCAGTCTATGTTTGTTTCGGTTCGGTTTAGCTATCAATTTGATATTTGAAATATCTCGTTGGTTTTGTTTTCTGTTCATATGGAGCACAACTTTTCTTCAATGGCTTTAGTCAATGACTTCGTTTTAAAGTCAACGACTTCGTTTTAAAGTCATCAAAATCACTGTTCTTGGCATCTCATCATCCCCTTCCCTGAGTTTCGATGCTTCTTTCTTCTCCTGATTCTCAGCTAATGGCTTCGATGAAGGTTATGATTTTCCGTATTTTCAATCTTTTTTTGCTGATATCCAAATGGTGTATTTTGTTTGTAATCTAATTGTCCGGATGCGAATTGGTGATAAATGTATAACTCTAGGTGGTGGCAATTGCTTTGGCAAGTTCCTGAGACTTATAGCTGTCGAGTTTTAGAGCGTTTTCTCCTTTCACTGGTCGTTTTTAATAATATTTGAAATCTCTTCTCATTGACTTTACCCCTTTTTGTTTGGTTTTCTTGTTTTTACAGAGATCAAACGTCCTTAGCCTTCAGGTTCAATTTTTTTCTTTAAAATCCTTTGATTAAGTACCTTCTGATCCATGAGAAGGAGTTCTACACCCATGAGTAATCCGCCTTTTTTAACGTTTCGTGCCTCCCAAAAGTGGATGACTCTGACAAGCAAATCATTATTTTGAAACCTTTTTTTAGATCATCGAAAACCAAAGTATGGCTTAACTGATTAGAAACAGAAGAGCATGAATTTGCCATGGCTTATAAAAATCGATTGAGAGATGTGAATGTATATTATGAACTTGGTTTCATGTGGCAATAAGACCACGTATATATAGGATTTAAGATCATCTTATTCCTAATGGAAAAAGGAATCAATGTATATCAATGTCATTGTACAATAAGGAAATTAGAGAAGTGATAATTACAAAAATAGGAACTATCCAAATCCTAATCTTTATCAAACAATATCCAATTTGTTTTTCAAGAATCTTCTAGACTAAAACGAAATAATGAAACCAAGAAATAAATTTGGAAGAAGAAATAAGAAAAAAATGCCAAGAAGCAATCTTATATTCGCCAGAAATTAAAGCAGCCGAATTGTACAGTCAAATCACAAGACTTATCTTAGTAATAGATTCCGAATTTCTCCATTTTTGGTTTAATACTCCCTCAACTGAAGTTGTACTGAAGCTTCAAACTTGCAACAATGCGAAATAGGGAGTTTAGGGCAAAATAAATCCAATTCGATTTACGAAATCTGTGAAATGAAGAATGAATTTTTGTTGTTTGACGGTGGAGAGAGAGAGAGTTTTGTGAGATGCAGTTTTAGGGTTTGTAGAAAAAAGGGGAAGAAGATGTAGCAGATCCCGTTTTGGAGATGCCGATGTCTGATTTTTTTTTTTTTTTTTTGTGGTAACCTAATGGCAATGTCCATATAATTATTTTTGAAACGGTTTAAAAAAAAACAGGGGACTGCAATGTTGAGTTTAGGACAATTGTGATAACCGCTACACCATAGCATCTTTTTGGCTGAATAGGAAATTTATTTCTATAATTACTTACAACATGTGTAAATTTTCCACTAAAAAGAAACTAATACTAATAATATATGTAAATTTAGATAATCTATGAATATGAAACTTATAATTCAGTTCTCGAAAATTGTAAAATCAGAGAAATTATCTTTACTGAAAATTAATTAATAAATAATATGTAAAATAGAAAATTTACATAAATTAATTTAAAAGCAAAAAAAAAATAATGACATGGACCAATCAAATTCAACCTTTTAAATCCTAGGTGGACAGCCTCTAATGCATATAGGCTCAACTTAAAATAGAAAATTTACATAAATTAATTTAAAAGCAAAAAAAAAATAATGACATGGACCAATCAAATTCAACCTTTTAAATCCTAGGTGGACAGCCTCTAATGCATATAGGCTCAACTTTTATTAGTAATAGATTTTTTTTTATCAACATAAATATATGAGAAAGAATATGTGATCCAAAAGAAAATATATGAAAAAAAAAATTTAAATATATAAGAATATAGTCCAAAGTCCAAAAACATTTACATTTTCAAAATTGAGGGGGTGATACATCTAGAAGATTAAAAAGCTGAAGAAAAAAAACAAGAAAAGCGGTTAAGAAGGGAATGGAGGAGAAAAAGAGATAAAAATAGAGAGCAGTAAATGACCCATAAATGGGGGATATGAGAGAGTTACTTTTTTTACACATTGATAACCTTTGTTTGACCATATCTTTCTCTCCCCCTTCTCTTCTTTTCCCTTTCTCAAAAAACATAACGAGGAAAACAAGCAGAAGAGGGGGATTCATGTTCTTCTTTTTTCCCTGTGAGATCTCTTTTTCCCTTTTGTTTTTCTTTCTAAACTGTAAATAAATTATGTGTATTGTAAATGTAATCTGACTTTGCTTTTTTCAATTTGGGTACGTACCCAAAACATGCAGAATCAATAAAACAACACAAAGATGCTGAGGTTTTTAATCTTTTTTTCCCTTCTCATACACACATGTGTTGCGGCACCCAAGAAACCTGCTGCTGCCGCGGCTGCTCCTGCCAAGAAATGGCTCACCCTTAACGGTGTGTTTCCATTTACATGTTTTTGTTTCTTGTTGGTATAAGATATGAATCAGCAATCATAATAGTTACATCACATTTGTTTGTTTGTTTATTTCTAAGCACAAGAACCAATAATGTCTTTGAATTTCTGCATTTTGTCTTTCAGGACAAGAGCCTGCCGTTGTGGCAAGAGGGGGTTTCTCGGGTCTATTCCCCGAGTCAAGCGCCTCTGCCAACGACTTGGCTCTTAGCACCAGCTCCCCTGGCCTCACAATGTTGTGCAACCTTCAGTTGACAAAGGATGGTGTGGGCATTTGCTTGTCTGACATCAGGCTTGACAATGCAACCACCATCGCCACGCTCTTCCCCAAAGCTCAGAAGACCTACAAGGTCAATGGTCAGGACCTCAAGGGCTGGTTTTCCCTTGACTACTCTGCCGACACCATCTTCTCCAATGTCTCCCGTAAGTCTTTTTTTCTGTTTTCCTCCATTACATACTTCCCACTACCATTACAGCATTTCATGTTTTGTATTATTTGAGCAGTGGTCCAGAACATCTTCTCTCGGCCCAGCATCTTCGACGGTCAGATGCCGATTTCCGCCGTGGAAGACGTCCTCGGAACCAAGCCTCCCAAGTTCTGGTTGAGCGTTCAGGTTTCTCTCTTCTACCTCCCTTTGAGAATATGATTTGACCAACCTATGGAGGGCTTAATGTTCATTCATCAAACTAAACAATATGTGCAGTACGACGCCTTTTACATGGAGCACAAGCTGAGCGCAGCAGAGTACCTAAGAAGCTTGACATTCCGTGGCATTAGTGTCATCTCATCTCCAGAGATCGGTTTCTTGAAGAGCATTGGAATGGACGCAGGAAGGGCTAAGACAAAGCTCATATTCGAGTTCAAAGACCCTGAGGCAATTGAGCCAACCACGAACAAGAAGTACAGCGAGATTCAAAAGGACCTTGCAGCCATCAAGGCCTTTGCCGCAGGAGTTCTTGTCCCCAAAGACTACATTTGGCCCATTGACTCGGCTAAGTACCTTAAGCCTGCTATCACCTTTGTGGCTGATGCCCACAAAGCTGGTCTAGAGGTCTATGCTTCTGGATTTGCCAATGACTTGCGCACCAGCTACAACTACAGCTATGATCCTTCCGCTGAGTATCTCCAGTTTGTGGACAATGGCCAGTTCTCTGTTGATGGAGTCATCACTGATTTCCCACCAACAGCATCACAAGCCATCAGTGAGAAGACTTGCTATTTACCTTCCTCATATATATGTATAGGAGAAGCTAATGCCTCAACGTGTTTGTGTTCTTGCAGCTTGCTTTTCTCAGAAGGACAATATGGCCAAACCAGGGCATGCGTTGGTCATAACTCACAATGGAGCAAGTGGAGATTATCCAGGCTGCACCGATCTTGCTTATCAAAAGGCGATCGACGATGGAGCAGACGTAATCGACTGTTCTGTCCAGATGTCCAAAGATGGAACGGCTTTCTGCCATGATTCTGCAGACCTCACAGCAAGCACCAATGCCATGACAACTTTCATGTCCAGAGCCATCAGTATTCCTGAGATCCAGCCTACCAACGGCATTTTCTCTTTTGATCTCACGTGGGCAGAGATCCAGTCTCTGAAGCGTAAGTAGCTTAATTCTTCTCTTTAGTTGTATGCAACTATCTCATTCTCAGCTAAACGTTCTCTCTTTGTCTCCAGCTCAAATCCAGAGCCCCTTCTTGACTTCTGGGGGATTCCAGAGAAACCCTGCAAACAAGAATGCTGGAAAGTTCACGACTCTCGTTGACTTCCTTGAGATCAGCAAAGCAAAGGCAGTCAACGGAATTCTTATCAACATTGAGGTAAGCCTTTTTATTTACACTCTTAAATACTCCTTAAGTCATCTCCACTAACGTCTTGTTTGTTGACAGAATGCTGCTTATTTAGCATCAAAGAAAGGCTTAGGAATCGTAGACGTTGTCAAAACCTCTCTCACCAATTCCACGCTTGACAAGCAAGTAACACAAAAGGTTTTAATTCAGTCAAGTGACAGTTCTGTTCTGTCCAGTTTCGAGGCTGTCCCTCCGTTCACTAGAGTCTTGAGCATAGACAAAGAGATCGGAGATGCTCCCAAGCCATCCATCGAAGAAATAAAGAAGCACGCAGAGGCTGTCAATCTCAAGAGAAGCTCTCTGGTCACCATCTCCCAAAGCTTTGCCACAGGAAAGACAAACGTGGTGGAGGAAATGCACAAAGGGAATATCTCTGTTTACGTCTCTGTGCTAAGAAACGAATACATCTCCATAGCGTTTGACTACTTCTCTGATCCTACGGTAGAGCTCGCCACATTCATTGCAGGGAGTGGCGTTGATGGAGTCGTCACAGAGTTCCCTGCCACCGCTACCAGATACTTAAGTAAGTCTTAAATCTTGACAAGAACATGAAGGAACAATATACACATAATCAAGATAAGGCTGATCATTTATATTTGATGCAATGCAGGGAGTCCATGCTCAGATTTGAACAAAGACCAGCCCTATGCCATCTTACCTGCAGAGGCTGGCGCTCTTCTCTCTGTGGCAGCCAAGGAAGCACAGCCACCAACTGGTGCTCCAAACCCACCTCTTGACGCTAAAGACGTGATTGATCCGCCTCTGCCTCCGGTTGCAAACATAGCCGCCTCTAATGCAAGTGGAGGACCACCAAATTCCCCACCTGTTTCAGGAGCCGTTGCCACCGCTGGTAATCTCAGCCTTTCTTTGCTGGCAATGTTGGCCGTGGGACTCTTCTGTGCTGCCTAAGAAAGATGATCGCAACATATAACTTCATATGTTGTTTAACATGTTCACACCCTCGGCGTTCTCCAAACTGACACAAATTGAGCTAAATATGTTTTACTCGTGATGTCCAAAAATATGCAGCAAACTGTGATGTGTTGTTGTTATAGATCAAAGCTCTAAAAGAAACTTTGTTTGTTGTCATTGAAAAGTTCGATATCGGTAGAGATTTGGAATCTTGATTATCGCTCATATAACGAACCTTCTCCACCAAGCAGTCTTGAAACAATAAACATGCAATAAGGTAAACACCAACGATCAAGACTTTAAAAGGGGTCGTTTAGAAGAACAGTAACAAAATCAATACAGTATAATACACAGTGCCGTTAAGTATTTTTTTAAGTATTTATTGAGAACAAAACTAAAAAGACCAATAAATCTCTGACAAAAGTTACATCAACTACTACAAGAGTATTCTCTCAAGAGTCATCCTTATGCGTATTCTCTCCCTATTCTTACACAACATAACTCCTCCCACTCACACTCTCTAATCTTCCTAATGACTCTTCATTGAACTTGATCCTCCATCTCATTACCGCCACAACTGCTCTGTGGGATGAGAGAATCTCATGTCATCCGTAGGAAGCTACATGGAGCGTCAAAGAGAGAGCCAGTTTCTCGCTTTTTATTTCAACTCCTGTTTATGACTCTCAGTTACTTGTCCACCGTCTTTTTCTTGCTGGCCGCTCTGCTTTCACCTCTGAATCCACAGGGCCTTCAATTTTTGCAGAAGGCAGCGTCTGAGACTCCATTTTCTTTACTCCCGTGGTGTCTTTCTCCGTGGGCATTGGAAGCTTAAACCTTTCACTGCGTTTCTTGAGTTTCTCAACCGTGTCCAAGTGCCGGTCTCCTGGTCCTTTCTCGCTTCCATCTTTGGTCTCTGCAAGGTCATGGCCACTTTTCTCTTCAGTTACATCCCGGTTGTTGCCAATAGAAGCATGAACAGGTTCGCTCACTCGGCCGTTAGTGCCTTTCTCCTTCTCTTGAAGTTTTGAAGAAGTGGACGATGGCTTGGCAGTGACAGCATCATCTCTCTCTTTGTGGCTTGCCCATCGCTCCAATTTCGTACGTCCTCTCTTCGTATCTTGTAGCTCATCGCCGGAGGAAGCATTCTCTCTGGGTCTTTTGGTGGCGTTAGGCTGTTGTGGGATCTCACTCCTGGAATTTCTTACTTCGTTGGTTCCTTTTGATCCCTGAAAGGCATGACACAAACATCAACACTGACAGTGAGGCATATTAAAAATAACCAAACCATGAGATGTATATTAGGTAAGATTGGCAACGGAAAAAAAACTTCTTTTAAGGTATATTCCATTCACTATAATCATGATACGTTAAGTTTGCAAAACTTGGATGTATATAAATAAAATATATTCATAGGCTGATGGAGCATACTGTCACTTCGGAACTGCCATTTTGTTCTCCTTGCTTGTTCCTCAGTGAGTCTGTGCCCTCTCGTTGTTCTTTAGTCTTTCGTCTAGAATCTTTATGTTTTCTGTCTTGCAATCGATGGCCATCCAAAGAATCGGTAACCTTGTCACTTTTAGCACCTGCCCTCTCCTGCCTTGATTTTTTCTCGTTGTTAACATTATCATCTGTGCGTGCAGAGAAGTCTTCATGTCCTCTGTGATGGGAAGAACTTTCTTCACCAGGGTGTTCCTTTCTCTTCGTCTGTTTAGTATGCCTTGTTGCATCTTTGGTGAGATGCTCTTTCTCAGAACCTTTATTCTCTTCCATCATCCTCGATGATCGGTCTTCTGAACCTCTATGGCCCCTTGCAGCCACCTGCCTCTCTCTTCCTCGAGGTGGTAAACCATCCTCGTGAGTTGGTTTCAGTTTATCCAAATCCTCACGCTCTCTAAACCTCTCATTCCCATCTCTCTGCATGTAGAAATCATCTCTGTGCCTGAGAGACCCGTGGTCGTTAAAATCATCTCTGGTTTTATGTTGGACATCTCTCTTTTGATGGTCCAACCTATCACCCCGTTCTCGTTTCAGGCGGCTGACTGATTCTCTTTGGCCATATTGGATTTCATTCTTTTCAGAGCGGTTTCTTCTCAAGTACTCTTCATCCTTCCTCTTCTTGCTGAGATGATCTTCCAGTTCGTGAATATTTCTCAAACCACCATCATCCCAATGCTTTCTCGCAGGAACATGATCATCTTTGCTGCGTATTTCACTCTCTCGCATTTTACCCCTCTGCCTAGATCCCAGATCATCTTCACGATCCCTTTTTCGAGACCCTTCATCCTCACCTCTTCTACTGAATGGGTCATCCTCTTTCCTGCGCCAGACCCCACCATCAACATCTCGCTGTTTCCTTTTATCAAAACCCTCACCGCTTGCAGCTGAGTAAATATAGCAAGAATCGACCTCCATATGAGGATTAGAGTACAATCTAGCACCTTTGCTCGTGGCTCGAGTTCTTTCCATTTCCTTCCCTCTGTCTTGATTCTTTCTGCTTTGATGGGGTGCACTGTTATCGTGCTGTTTTCTATTGCTAACCGGTCGAGCAGAATGCTTATCTTGAATTACTTCCTCTTCTGCACCATCCTTTAATTGCTGATAATCTCTATGACTTCCAGATCTTGCTTTGCTGCTTTCACTACTTCTATCTGTCTTTAACTCTCCTCCATCATCTTCTTGAACTGTTAACTGAGGGACTGCAGAACTCTTTTTATGCTCCTCCTCCATCTCAGCATCTTTGCCAGCTTCACCTCCCACATCTTCACGATCAACACTTGATGACCTTGTGCCTCTGTCTCCAACAGGAGACGACGAACGAAAACTCTGGCCACTGTCCGTGCTTCTAGAGATCTCATCATCTTGCTTTTTGAGATTCCTTCTACTTGGCTCACCCTGGGCAGGACTCTGTTCAGCAGATTCCGTGTCTGGTCTCCTGCTGTCGGTCTCAACTGGAACGTTTTCTCCAGGAAGGCTACTTTCAGCTTGTTCTGTGCCATTTTCACCCGAGGGCTCATCCTCGTGCGAATCCTGACATACGATCTGGCAACAAAATCAATTCCAATAAGTAGCAGTCAGTACAGCATGGAACGATATCAGCAGTAAAAGCATAATCAAGAGAGATTTGAGACATGTTCAACCTCAATTATAGCATCTAGATCACGCATCCGAGGAGCACGTGAATCAGCGGATGGCATACGCTCACCAGAACCAGTCTCCACAGGTATTGGTCTTCCAGGGGGCTGAAATAAATAAATAGATCAACCAATATTCTCAAGCTTTAGTAGCTGCGATATACATATAGACAATGCTAGTTTAAATGAAACCAAAGGCAGGAGGAAACATACTAATGAAGGTCGACCCTGAGCTGGCACTTTAGCTGAATCACCTTGAGCAGTTTCTAGCTTGATTAAATTTGAAGAATCAACAGGAACACCCTGAGCCCCTGTTGCTGCAGCCAACTCTGGGGGAAGATCTGGATCATAACCCTATCATTGTACAAGAGAATGATTAGGAACGCAATGTCACCCTTTTGTATATGATGTTTACAGGCCTGCAAAGAATAGTCAGCTCTTAAGTGTGACAACATAAGCAAAGATCAACAATACCTGATCTGTTCGACCACTTTCATAAACACGTATTCTGCTTTGCATCGTAGTCTCTACTCGGTGTTGATCCTGTATGAAAAAGATGTTCCTCTTAATACACTTCATTAACTGAAATAAGGATATGAATCACAATTAATAATTACCAGCTGTTTGCAATAGTCTTTCCAGCTCTCCTCATTCAGTCCAAAGTTGAAGTAGTCTGTGATATCAGCTCCTTGATGTCTCCAGGGCTTATCCTCAAAAGTCTCTATGTCGACCTCAAATATAGACCTAAATATACGCAAGAGTAGACATCAAATAAAAGAAACACAGGTTAGTAATAATCAAAATTTGCTACCTACAATCAGATGTCAAGCGACAAATAAGTAATATAAAGATTGGTAAGCATATGTAATGACATGAGAGCATCGACTATTTAAATTACTTGTGAGAGGGAAGAGTAAAGTCCAGTCCTCGCCCTGCTCCATTACTACCCCAAGTCTGGTGGAAGCCTTTCTGTGCAGGAGCAGCATTCCTCATTCCCATTGGACGCCAATCTCCTCTGCCACGACCAGCCATAGGACCAAGGTTTGCGGGTGGACGAACTTGGCCTGCGGGAGTTGATGCAGCACCTCCAGGCATGGGGGCTGCCCCCGGTCTTACATACTGCAAGAGAAAGATAAATTCTGTATAAATGCTTCATACCAAAGTAGATCAACACCACCCTTATTTTGCCTCAGCGTGAATACTCATAAACTTGGTATTACTAATCCAAAAGAAAAATATGAAATCTTTGACGGGATGTTAGCTTCATAAAGTTAGTTACAGTCCCAAGAAAGAGAACTGTGATTCTTAGGTTTAGATTTTACAACCCTGGACAGCGTAATTGGTAGAGGCATATGATTGTGATAGACGTAAGAGAGGAAAGTGATTAGATTCTTATCTCCCTTCACATTCTTAACTGTTAGGAGCGAATTTGGTTTAGAAAAAAAAAAGAGAAGCAGCTAAGTAAGGAGATGGTGAGTCAGAATTTCTCTGGAAAACATACTCTGCATTTGCATTCAGGTTTAGGTACAAGTACAAAGGAGAGATATGCAGCTCAGAATTTATGAAAACTAAAACGGGGCTACAACAAGAGCCCCGGCCACTAAGTAATCTAACCAGTGCTGCATTGACACTGACCTTAAACTGAGAATGAAACGGATGATACCCATGACTGCTATACCCAGCTTTGGCCGGGCCACCTGGTCCACTCCCCTTCCCGGCTTCTCCTCCGTCTTTGCCGTCTCCGTCGACACCTTGCAGTCCATCTTCTCCCCACATCTGCTCCTCCATAGGCTGATTCGGATCCGTGTCGGCCACTATAACAAGCGGCTCTTCATCATCGTCGTCGTCGTCCTCCTCGTTGTCTCCCATCCTTGATCTTCTGTCAGCTCCGATCATGACGTTGCGGCTACTGTCATTCAACACTATCTGCAGATCGTCTTCACTGTCGCTATCCCAATCATCTCCTTCTCCTCCGTAGCCTCCGCCGCCTCCATCGTTAACCTGCTCAATTTTCACCGTACCTTGCGTAACGCCTCGATCTGTCGCCAAGCCAGGACGCGCTGCAGCTTCAGAAGCGGAGACGAAAAGGCCAGGAATCGCAGGCGTAGAATCGGCATCGGGTTCTTCGATATCGAAGCTCATGTCCTTGTCGTCGCCGCCACCTTCGCCAATTGCTTGGCGATTCGCGCCCTGAGAGATACTAATGGATAATTTGGAGGCGTCGTTGTCGGAAACCCTAGCGGCGGGAGCTGAATTAGCTTCTGCCACATCCTGATCCTGGGATCGGAGGTTGAGGTCGATTGAACGGTGAGGAGGCGGAGGCGGAAGAGCGGCAGGAGGAGGTTGGAAGGGCTGGAGGACGTCGGAATAGAGATCTCCGAACTCATCGTCTTCGTCCATTGGAGTGAGAGATTGATTGGAGGAAGAACGCCCGATTCGAAAGAAGCACGAAGAGGAATAAGAGAGAACGGTGAAGCTAAGGGCTTCTTCTTCTCAAGTATCGGCCTCTTTTTATCATCGCGAGGGCCTAATTTATATTTCCCAAACCCAAAAACGGAAATCAGGACTAATTAAATGAAAATTAATAAATATAAAAATAAAATCTTTCGTCATTCATCAAAGTAAAAGACAAACCAGGCTGAAATAAGCGGCAGCATCTCCAGATTTTTTTTCCCGGAAAAGCGTGATTTTAACCGGAAAACGAAAAGATTCTGTTTTTAGGGTTCTGGGTTAGCCTGTCCGCACGTGGAAGCTGAAGAAGACGAGTGAAGATGATCGGAGTCGGGAAAATGAAGCAGTACTCCAACGTCCTTGACAAGCCCCTCAGCAAAGGCAAGCAAGAGGTAAATTCTCGCTCCCTAGATCCACTTTTTCTGTTTCAAGTTTGGACATTTGCTCAGAAAAATCTGATCATAGGAATGACACTGAACCGAGTATGGAAAGTGAGAACATGATTTCGATTTGGATCCGGATCTAATAGTCTTCGATTCGAATCTCTCGGCTTTCGATCATTTTCGTTGATCTCTATGTGGTGAACATTTCGATTTCTGAAAATTTAGTCCATTTGGAATTCTACGTACGTTGCAGGTGAGCTTGACCGCATTTGCTTTCTTATTCTCGGAGCTCGTTCAGTACAATCAAACCCAGGTTGACAATATTGCTGAGCTTGAAAGAAGGTGAGCTGATTGGTTTTGCAAGAACAACATATGATTTCACTTTCCTAGTTTAGAATCATTCACATTTAACATTGTGTTTTGTTCTTGATAACTATGGCTCTCAGGCTAGAGGATGCTGGTTATGCAGTTGGATCTCGAGTTCTGGAGCTTCTTTGCAACCGAGAGAAGGTAGGTTTTGTTTGTAGCAAAAAACAAAAATACTGATACTTATATGCATTGCCTCAAAGACTGAATAGACTACGTTCTCTTCCTTATAAGTTTAGTTCATGGAAGAGCAATGTCTCTCTTTGTTTTATGGATATTATTGTCTCATTGTTTCAGGGAAACCGAAGAGAGACACGGTTACTGGGAATTCTATCTTTCGTCCACAGCACCGTGTGGAAGGTGTTGTTTGGAAAGGTGATGAATAAATTGTTGAGTCCTTCTATGAATATGTCTGTTTTTGGATCATAACGCTCCCTTAACGAACATGCCATAGGTTGCTGATTCACTTGAAAAAGGAACAGAACATGAAGATGAGTACATGATCAGTGAAAAGGAGCTTCTCGTCAACAGGTTTAGATTGCTCCAGCACTTTACCAATAAATACTCAAGACAAAGGCAATTGTTGTTGTAAATCAAGAGAACTGATGAAAAATGTGAAAAAGTGTAGGTTCATATCGATTCCTAAAGACATGGGAACATTCAACTGTGGAGCGTTTGTTGCCGGCATAGTTAAGGTTAGTGATCATCCCTCGGCATATACATGAATACAGTTTGAATAGAAATAGTATAAGAAGAGAAGAATGAAACAGCCACCATTTTTCCTCTATGCAGGGAGTTCTGGATAACGCAGGGTTTCCTGCTGTGGTAACTGCTCATTTTGTACCCATTGAAGGACAACAACGTCCTCGGACTACCATTCTGATCAAGTTTGCTGATGAGGTTAACAATGCCTACATCCCTCTATTTCATTTTTTTTTCTTACTCTTGACACTTGTTTCACCTTCTTTCCATCAATGCATGCACAGGTGCTTAAAAGAGAGGCAAGGCTAAGCCAATGAGACCAGTTTTTGTCACGAGTTGCCTCGATCTGTGGCTTTATCTTAACTGCTATATGTTTTTGTATGACTTATATAACATTCTGAATTGAGCTGCTAAGCCTTTGTCCGTGCATTGATGTAAACTTAAATACATACCCTCTTGTGGCAATTGCAGCTGATGTTATACAATCATACAACACATTTATAGCTTTAGTTGATGTAAACATTGTTATGCGAATTGCGAAAGAAAAGAAAAACATGATATTATCCAGTAGCGAAGGTACAAAAGCAAATTGATATTATCAATATAATCACTGCAAATTACAAAGCAAAAGCAGGCAACAACATGTCATGTGTCCAACAAAATCAATTCCTGCCGAGAGGGAGTGACCGGCAAGAGTAAGTCTCCCTGAAATCAGTCTTCTTCTTAGCCGAAGTAAACAGAGAAGCGTAGACTTCCTTGGTAGCATTAACCGGCACAGCATCCCCAGCCTTGAACTTCTTCACAGTAACGCCATTCCCATTCACATTCCCATCATCCATCTGTCTCTTAGCGACCTTTGCTCCTGTATCAGCCACAACAGCTACACCGTTTTTGCTCTTCTTCGATGCGCCTTTCTTCTCTCTCAGCTTTGCCTTCTCCTCCTCCATCCTCTCCCTCAACAAGCTCACCTCCTCTTCTGTACCGTTTATCACAATCTTATCAGAGTCTGAAACATCCGCGTGACACACCAAACAAGCTGAAGACTTTATTTCCTTCAACGCCTTTGCGCTCATCACATGTCCACATCCCTTAAGAACGAAAAACTTGTACTTTCCGTTGAACTCAAGCCCTGAGACCGGGCACTGAAACTGGGCGTTGATCGTATCTTGAGCCGATCCATCGGAGCCAGCGACAGGCGTGAGCTTGATATTCACCATATCTTTCAAACCCTTGATATACGAGAATTGCTTCGGCAGCTTCTTAGACAACAGAGCGTTTACCAAAGCTTCTTTGTTGAACAAATTCCCGAGGAGATCAATCACGCAGGGCTCGGCCAGAGGCTCGTTGGACAAAGCGCAATTCAGCCATTTGGAGAGCCTCTGCTCGTTCGGATCCACCGTGTCGGGTTTCTTCTCCGCGTACATCTTGAGGTAGCAATCGCGAGACTCGGCTCCCGTTGCGCCTCCATCTCCTCCACCTCCACGGAGGCGAGGGTATAGAGTGAGCATGGAGACGGAAGGGAGGTTCGATACTTGGATCCGTGTAGAGCCATTCAAAAGCTTACCATCTAGCGCGACGAAGAAATCAGATAGCGAATTACGCTGCGATGATTCGAGTAAGGAAGTGAGACCGGAAAGAGTTAATACGGATTGAGAAGGATCCAATTGCAGAGCGACGAGTTGTTGACAGAACGGAGATTTAACGAGGATTTGGCGACGGTTATGCATGGTGGCGGAGGAATACGAAGAGCCTCGTAGGTTTCCGATCAATTTTGGCCGGTGATTAGATTATTGGGGGATCGAGGAGTGAGAAAAAAAGGAAAACGAAGCAAAGTCTGTGTGCATATGTAGAGCTGGACCGACTTATCAATGAAGTGGGCCATTTTAAGTTTGGGCTTTTCTCTATGTGGGCCTTTCTTAATCTTTAATTACTTGCGTTGTAGTGCACACTAATTGATAATTGTAATTTTCGGTTTTTTTTCTTTGAATTTGCTTAGATTTCTTTTGCAAACAAAAAGAAATGAATGATTAGGATCATTTTAATCATTCGAAGGGGCAAATTGTTTACCTGACATGACAATTAAAAAGTTTGAATAAAAAAAAAGAAACAAAAATAAATTTGATTGTATAGAGTTGGGTTTTAGGATTATTAACAACAAAAAGAAATACATGCATAGAGGCCGGCCGGCCATGTACGACTTTTGTTGTGAGATAATATTGAGAGATTCGAAACTCATATTAATATATAGTTAAGGGAGTAAATATTAAAAGAGAAAATGAAACGGCTGAGTAAATTAAAAAATTAGAAATCAAAAGTTTAAGAAAGAATAAAAATGAGGATAAAAATGCCGGAGGGAAGCAAAGGAAGAAGACAGAATTGAAGAAGAGATGGAAAATGGGAATGGAGAAGGAAAGGGAGAGTTCATAAACCAAAACAGTAACGACTACTTCCTTGATTCCATGTCAATGCTCTCCTCCCTCCCTCCTTGTTGGGACTCATCTCTTCCTCCTCCTCCTCCTCCGCCGAATTCTCTCTTCCACGCTCTCACCGTCGACGCCCCCTTCCCCGACCAGTTTCAACACCCTCAGGTACCAAACTATCATCTCACATATCACATTACCCCAAATTCTAATAATGTTTCTGTATCCTCACATTACTTAGTATATCTTTTTGTTGTCAATGCAGGAGTCAGGTGGTCCAACAATGGGCAGCCAAGAAGGGTTGCAGCCACAAGGGACGGTTTCGACGACGAGCGCACCTGTTACTCGCCAAAAGCCAAGGGTGCGAGCCAGGAGAGGGCAAGCCACTGATCCTCACAGCATCGCTGAGCGGGTATCTCCATTTTTCACTTCCTTCATCTCCTCTCTTATCTCTTTCCTTTTCTGAAATGAATTATGTTGTTATGGTTTGGCAGCTGAGAAGGGAACGCATTGCAGAGCGTATGAAGTCTCTCCAAGAACTAGTTCCCAACACCAACAAGGTAATTAAACCTTTCCTCATTTATCTAACTCTTATGGTCTGAATCTGCATAATAATAGTTTATTTGGCTGATGATGAAATGCAGACGGATAAGGCATCAATGCTGGACGAGATCATCGAGTATGTGAGATTCCTTCAGCTACAAGTCAAAGTACTAAGCATGAGCAGATTGGGAGGTGCAGGTGCAGCTGGTCCACGCCTCAATGGTCTCACCTCCGAGGTCAGTTTCTTAGTCCCTTATTACGTTTTTATGTAAAATGCCATCACCAATATTCACCAATCATCATCGTGTTTGGTAATGTAGGTAGGAGGACGGCTCAACGCACTCTCTGGACCACCACCAAGCAATGGCATGAACGGGAATGGAAACGCAACAGGATCATCCAATGAGAGCCTAAGGACAACAGAACAGAGGGTGGCAAAACTGATGGAAGAGGACATGGGCTCAGCAATGCAGTATCTTCAAGGGAAGGGTCTTTGCCTGATGCCAATCTCTCTCGCAACAGCGATATCATCTACATCTACTCACACTCGTGGAGCTCTCTTCACCCCCAACTCCAATGCCATAGCAGCAGCGGATGCAAACATAGCTGCAGCAGCAGCCGCAGCCTCAGCAGAAGCACCTGAAGCTTCCTCTACTATGGATGATGATGTATCTGCCTCCAAGGCCTGAACCATTAGGATGTCCTTTGTGTTTCAGCTTGTCAGTTTTAAGTCAAAAGATTATTCTCCTTTTATCTATTTACCATTTTCACTTTCAAGTTTTAATCATTCATGGATAATATAAAATAACTGTATAACAAATAGCATAACCGACAGGAGAGAAACACTCGTGAACGTATTACCGTATACGTGTGTGGTTGTAGAAACAGAACAGAAGTGGTGGGACCGAAAAGTAAGACACATGCGTCCCCACTACTTTCCCAAATCGCTATGTCAACGTAACCGTTGTTTTAACTTTTTTTTTTGTTTGGTCAATCGTGTGTGTAACTTGGGAAACAGTATAATATTCAAGTTAAAGCTTCCACTATCTAGTGATAGGCCTAATTTGGTTGAACCGGCCCAGCTACTTTCAGATATTTGATAGCCCATTAGAGGCAGAAGAAGACTACACTACACACACACCTCCTAAGCTTCAGTATCACTGTTCACTGATGAACAAAGCAAAGTTCAGTAACTCATTAACCAAATAATCAGGGTCTATACACAGGTATATCTCAGCATATTGTATACTAACTGCTTGATTGATCAACATATGTTGTGTTCAATAGACATAAGGAAAATAATCAGGTTTTGAAATGCGCTCTCTTTTATTCCCATGTTGTAGGCTTACAACTCAAATAAAGACAAGACTTTTGAGAAAGCTATAAAACAAGTGAAACTATAAGGCAAAGAAAATGACTCCCATGTTTTCATGAACAATAATTGGTATCAAGGGATTAACTCAGTGAGCACATTAGGCCATTGTTATCTTCCTCAACAGAAAAGTCCTACACACTGACAAAGACAAACAAAAAAACTACTCCGAATGAGGGGAAAATTCGATATGATCTACTCAAAGACAACTATAAAGCTTATTCATTAAATCAATGGTGAGAACACATATAGGATAGGTTGAAGAATCAAGACTGATGTCAAATAAGAACGGATTTAGAAATATTAGAGTGTTGTTAGGAACGAGGACGAACCAGGAAAGGAAGGAAACTAAGCGGGAGGGGAAGGCTTGAAAGTGTAAGGCTGAGGGAGTGAGATTGGACCTTTCCTCTCATCTCCATCATCCAACAGCCTTTGCACTCTCTTGTTTCTACAATACTCCCTATCGAAATGCTTCACCTTCATTATTCAAAAATTCGCTCCATTAATGTCAATCACCAAAAAGGAAACAGGAAGCATAGAAATGCAAAGTAACTGAGATTGAGAGGAACAGGATAAAGATATATACCCAGGAGGATCGGCAACTATTAACAAACTCGGTTCTAGAAAGGCTGCATTCCTTTGGGTAGAGAAGACCGACGGAAGCGATTTCAGTAGGTTTCTTCCCAGATTCCTTTTCCATACAAGCGTAAAATGCATCTCTCGCCTGCAATTAGTGATCACTCCCCACGATTACCGATTACCCTAATCCCCAATTATAACCATCCGCGAAAATCACAGCAGCTAAAAGAAGAAATAAAAAGAAAGCGACCTTGTAGCAAGCATCTCTGGATTTCAGAAGAACATCCGTGTGAACCTGATTAGGGTTCGACGAAGCATAAGCATCGAGCGCCATGTCTAACGATTAGCAGCGAAGACGAAGAAGGAAACGAGAGCCAAAACTAATAAGAGAGAGAGAAAAAAAACAATAAATACACGTGGCCCACTAGTCATAAATAGACGGCCCGGTTCGGCCCAATAATTTAGTCGGTACACACACATGCCGTTGAACCAATGAATAACAGAACAAAATTCGTATAGTAGAACCTCTATAAAACAATCTTAATGCACGACGTGGTTGCGACACGTAGGATTTTTATAAAATATAGGATTGCGACATGTGTCACTTTTAATGTTATATCCGTTAAGATCGTGACACATGTCTTCAAAAAAGGAAATTTTTATTTTAAAGGGAAAATTTTAATATCTTATAATAAAAACGAAATTTTATATAATAAAATGAAAATAATATAATAAAAAATTCCTATTAGTATATGGAATAGGTATGTAAACTAAATATCCTAAAATTGTATGGAATAGTTATATAAACTCCTATTTAAAAAAATCCTATTAGTACATGTAATAGGTATGTAAACTAAATATCCTAAAACTGTATGAAATTGGTTACATGAACCCCCTATAAAAAGAGAGCTATTGTAGTCTCTTTTTCTCATTCACAAACTCATCAAAGCAAATTCAGAAAATCTCTTTGATTCTCTTTCTCTAATTTCAAAATCATGTCTTTGAAAGTTCAAGAGAACAGTGGAGATTATTTGACTCTAGGTCAATTGGATCGAAATTAAAATTATTTGAATAAAATCCTATTAGTACATTAGGAAAAATCAGAAAACAGGAAACAAACAATTAAAAAGAAAAAATATTACATCCATTATGAGAAGTAAAGAAAAAACATAATTCTATTACGAAAAGGAAAAAAAACGAAAATCAGAAAAACATGAAGAAATAATTAAAAAATGTTACATCCAATAAGAAAAGGAATAAAAAACATATTCCCATTACGAAAATGAAAAAAAAAACAATATATAACAAGCTATATTTTTTAAGTTTCTTTCTCATTAAGAAATAAAATTCATGTCTTTAAAAGTTAAAGATATCAATGAAGAATACTTAACTTTAGATCGATACATGTGTCTAATATTTGATGAAGTGATGACATGTGTCAACACAAGAAAATTGGAAAAATGTAGTAACATAAATAAATAAACTAACAAAATAATATTAAAACAACTAACTAATAATGAAAATGAAAATTTATAATGGTCAGAGGCAAAAACGAAATTGAAAAAGAAACAATATAAATAGAAAACTAACAAAATAATTATTAAGGAACTAAATAATATTAAAAAAGAAAATTTTATAATGGACTGATCTTCTAATATTAAATAGTTTAATTTTCCATGTTTTGTTAGGTAAAAAAATATTAAAAATAAAGATTTCATCATGGAATAATCAAAGTTTCATAAAATAATGAGTCGATTAGATTTAGACACATGTAAATCTTTCTATTTCATATCATGAATTCAAAATAAAAATGTAAAAGACTACATATCTTTATTTAGAGATTTGTTATCGGGTTTTTAATATTATTTTCTTATTTTTAAAATTGATCAAATTTTGTTTAATATTCTTCCGTGATTTAAAAAAAAAAAATAAATAAACCCGCGTATACGCGGGGCCTAATCTAGTATCGATAAAACAATAAACATTATAAGATAATATTTTTCTCCGGTCCCAACTCAGGCCAGTGTAAAAAATAGCATAATGCGATAAGATGATAAGACAATAATATTTTTGAAACTTATGTCAAAATATAGTCCCAACAATAAGCTAAGACAATAATTATAAAACTAATGTATATATATCTAAGACAATTTAATAAAATATGACTCCAATGTAATTTGTATTTCTGAAAATTGGAGTATTCTCAACATGCAGCCAAAAGTTGTGAAGAGTTCTCGAAGCCACAATTGCATCCTTGCGTGTAACTACTTGTACATGTCCTTCCTCATCATCTTCAATTTCATCTTCACCATTAAGAACAGTAGACATAATTTCTTATAGACTTTGAACTTCTGAGCATGAAATATGTAAATAACAAAGTATAAGGAAAATTTGAATAAAAAATCTGAAAAAAATATATTTCTATAAAGTTTTGTTTTGATAGAATATTTTTATAAAATAATAATTGTTTCTTTATTGATAAAATAATAACTCTATAAGATAATAAAATTTCAAAATCCCAACATTATTGTTTTATAGAGGTTTTACTGTATATACAATTCAAAGAACCAGTCACCAAAATTAGTCACTTTGTTCAAAACTTTTCTTCGAAGTACATTCATAAATCAAAAAAAATCCAGTTACACAAGCTATCTGTTCTTTCCTCAAGTCTACTTTTCAAGTGTTACATCATTAGTAGTCTTCTCTTCCGTTCCTGTTCCTTGCTTCTTGAGCTGCTCCAGCCCGAAGTTCTCTTCAGGATGCCTCTTCCACAGGTAATTCGCTGCGTCTATCCACCCTCTATGCACCACAAACTTCTTCTCTCTTATAGCCCAACGCACCTTTTCTGTTCCCACGTCCATAGCCACCACGTGTGTTACAGACGCATCCACTTCCGTCGCGCACGTGGCTCCTAGTCCTTCTGCAGTCCTCCAAAGCGGGTGATCCTCTGGCCGAGACTTTGTCGGGAACACCCGACTGAACACTACTTTACATCCTTTGAGGATTTCTTTACGCACTTGCTTCAGTAATAACCTGACGTCTCTGCCATTTGCGTCTTCTCCACCACCACCCTGAGAAAACAGTAATGATCAAAAACCCAGCCAGAGAAAAGAAAAGCTTTCTTTACATGTATATATATATATATATATATTGAGCATACCTCATAGTATAGACTATGTGTTTGTTTAAGGACTTTAAGAATAGAGGCAAGTATCCCATCCGGTTCACTCTCATCGCTCTCCAGCTGCGAGAGAGACTGGAACCTGTGATCAAACTGTCTGCAGCTTGAAGCGAAAAAGTGATATCTCTCTATCAAGATCAGATTGTCCTTGTAATTCGGCCATGCCTGCGCATCAAACCATAGTATCAGCACATCCAATCTTAACACAGTCACATCATGATTACGAAATTTACATGAAAAGCAAACGAAATACTTACATGCTCTGTATCGTCAAGAATCAGGACAGAACTTTCTTTCCCCAGCACCACATCTAAACTCTTTTGATGTCTCACCGTGCCATCGTCTCGAGAAATGACTCGGTCGCCAAAGTACTCTCTTTTTGGGTCCAGCAGCTTAGCCATCTGCTCTGCGTATGGTCTGTCTCCCATTGTGTATATATACATTTCAAACAACTCGCTGGCTTCTTTTAGAAATGTATGAACGAACGGCCTTAGTTTGGTCATCATATTCATAAACTCCAGCATGAATAGATTGCCACCAGAACCATCTGTGTTCAACAACAACAAAAATCAATATATTATTTTTAACACATCTAGGTGGAACAACAAAAGAACAAATATGAAGCTCTATATCATCCCACCTTGAAGAGAATGAGTAAGGCTTTTCAAGTATTCCTCCTCTGGTCTCAGGTCCCTAAGCACGGTTGAATTAAGCAAAGTGTGATCTAAATCAAGAACTAGGCACAACTTCCGCTTGCGCTGCAAGACTTTATTATCTGAATCACGCATCTTGGCGACTTCTTCTTCAGTGAGCTTCATACCCTAAAGATAAACAGATTTCCCCAAACTCATCAATCATGACAAAGACTTGATTTAAAAAGAAGCGCTTCTGAAACTTGTCATACTTTGTGCATGTATCCAAATGAAACACCCGTTTCTTCCTCTTTCAAACTTCGGCCACATTTAAAGCACAGTTCTCCAAAGGAACCTGGGTGTTCACATGGTAACTTGCTAGAGGATGCTTCTGCAAACAATAACAAGTTCAAAAGTCAATAAAATAGATACAGATGACAAAACACCAAAGTAAGGCTGAAGAAGAAAGAGAGAGCTTCACTTGAGAATTCTCCTGAGAAAGTCACACCCTGAATCTTCTCCTCGACTATAGTTTCTACATACTCCAACTTTCGTCTCTTTGACCTAGAAGATGATTAAGAAACATGATTTAGTGAAAAAATATACACACTGAAGTAGATATACCAGTAGAGCTTGAAGATTTTAATAAGAAGAATCCCAGAAAGACGGTGGTAAAAAGAGCATGAATAAGTGCGTTAATTAACCTATGATTAGCAACATCCTCGGCTTCTTCGCTGGGGAAGGATTCAGACGAAGAATCTGAGTCGGAGTCAGAGTCTAACTCATTTTCAAGGAAAGCGGCAAGATCGTCACTGCTGGAGGAATGCACCGGAGAATCACTCGCCACACTCATCTGAAAGCCACTCGCAATCAAGCAAAATCTGAAAAATTTCAGAATGCACGGAAACAAAAAGTTATCAATTGATTAAACCCTAAATTAAACACAAACAAGCATAAAAAGATGGAATTCGAATCGAAATCTCAGAGAATCATAGCACAAGGAAGAAGAATAAGGACGAAAACCTTAAAACTTGTTGTTCGTCTATTGCGAGAGCAATCAAATCGTGATTTGGGTTTTGAAGACGGAGTGGGAGATATATGTCTCGACGGAGCAACCGTAAAGTAAAATAAGCGTTTCGTTTCAACCTCTCTCCGGTTGGTTATATTTCGAGGCCCGTTTTGGGGCCCATAAGAAGCCTACTAAAGATTATCTATTTTGGGTCACACAAGCCTAGCGTAAGACTAAGAAATAAGAATGGTTAAACATTTCAATGTGGGATGTTTAGACTTTAGATCATGGAATGGTTTGCAGGAAGTGGTTGATTACAAGAAGAACATCAGATTCACATTATTCAGTGTATACAAGATGTGTGTATATATATAGTGAAGTGAAGTGGCAGAGGTAACAGAGAAACCCTAACTAAAAATACTAATGAGATTACATTATGTATTACATATGGGAGAACAAAAAAATTGAGAAATTTAAGAATTTTTCTTGAGTTTATTAGGCATCATCATCATATAAGCAGCTCTTTTTAGCTTAGGGACTTGTTCTTCTTCTTCTTCATCGTCATCGTCTACTACATTTTCCTCATCCTCTTCCTCCTCCTCATCCTCATCATCGTCTTGATCAGTCGTCCAGATCATCTTCTGCTGATAATATCTAAAGGCGACGAATAACATGAATGCAGCCCAAACACGGGCAACGACGGAGGAGAGGTTCCAGACGAGGGTGAAGAGTGTTAAAGCCACCGCTTTTTTGTGATTACATGATTCCCATGCGTCCCTGAATCTCCTCACCCAGAACTTACCTGCAAATGTACACAATCTGTTTTGATTAAAATGTCCAAAGAAGCCGTGGCTGAAAAGATACCAAAAGGAGTTTTAATTTACCGTAAGCAGAGAAGTGTGTTGAGTAGGAGATGAATATTTTCGGCACTGTAAATGCTCCCAAAAAGCCTGTTCTCACACCAAATAACTCAGAATCTATCAAAACAAGAAAATCTTGCAGTCTAGAGTTAAAATTGTAGGAGAAAAGTACCAAATTTGGCAAGGTTCCAAAGAGTGATAGAAGAGCCACACCTGGCCAGAACGAACAGCACCACTCCCATCTGCCGATCATCATTATCTCCGCTTTGTTAAGGGCTTTAAGGCCAAAAGAGACAAGGAGAGAGAGACGTGGACTTAACTTAGTACTTAGATTCAGGTGGTCCGGAATAATGAAGCTCCAAAATCTCTCTCAGTACTCCATAGAAACCAGGTTCACCACCTGAGCCACTAGATGATGTACCTTTGACGCAAACTCCATAATTAGCATTCTTTTTGTCTTTCCCATGATCATATGTATGAAATATATATCCACGGCAAAAGTACATTGGCCAGGAAGTAACTTGAACCAACGGACCATGAACGAGACTCATCAACCACTTAGGATATGCATTATCATTCCAAGTATCCTCCACCTGTTTTTCAAATCGATGTAAACAACACATAAATGATGATGTTTTATCTAGGATTTAAATAGAAAAAAAATTAATCAAACAAAAAGAAAACTTACATGTTTTTTTAACCAACTTGCATAAGTTTTTTCTCCCAACTCAATTAGTTCGTTTTCGCGCATTCCAGGATGTGCAGCAATTAAACTCGCATCAAATAACCTGTATAAACTCAAGAGGTGTAAATACACTGTTTTATATCGAATTTTATACTAAATATATATATGTATATTAAATTTTCATACCTTTCAAATGGTCTTAGTTGATCGCAGTTCCGCAAAACATATGTATGTGCGATATGATAATCTTCTTCCTTGAACCATGTTTCTTTTTCTTTACCACTTCCTCTTCCAGGTTGAGAAAATATATCTGGTATTGCTTCAACCAGTGTATCTTCTGGATTACCTCCATCATAGTGTCGATCTTCTCTCCGGGTTTTTGTCTTAATGTGTGGCTCAAAGTAATAACTACAAAAGGTAGAAATTTCTTCATTGATGTATTGCTCAACAATGGAACCTTCTACCTTTGCCTTATTCTTCACTTTTTTCTTTAGATGGCCCATGAATCGTTCAAAACAATACATCCATCTAAACTGCACAAGTCCTCCAAGGCTAGCTTCGTGAGGCAAGTGAATCGGCAAATGCTCCATGACATCAAAGAAAGAAGGAGGAAATATTCTCTCTAGATTACAAAGAACCACACAAATATTTTTTTGCATCATGGCAACTCCATCTTTGTGTATAGTCCTTGCACATATGTCTTGGAAGAATAAGCTCACACCTACAAACAAGAAAGAGTTTGTTATATAAATATAAAGTTTTAATCAACACAGCATAACACAACAAGAAAACAAAACATAACCAAAAGCATAATTAAACAAACAAAACTTTTAGATTTTCTGGCAAATAAAATGTTGCTCTACGAACAGCCATTTTTCGGGGCAGATTCCCGTCGTCGCAAAACGATTCAGGAAACGATCTTGGTACCAATGCGAAGCTATTTAAGTAGGCTTTACACAAAACCAAACTTATCTCGATTCCGACGTGTACTCCATAAGTTATGGTCTGTTTTTTCTAACAAATCATAAGTTTCTCTGTGAAAAGCCATTTTTAGGGAGATATAACCGTCGACTCAGAATGATTCAGGCGACGATCTTGGTACCAATGTGAACATCTATAAGTCAGGTTTACACAGGACAAAACAGATCTCAATTCCGACGTAAACTCCATAAGTTATGCTCTGTTCTTTCTGACAAATCATATGTTGCTCTGCGAACAGCCATTGTTCCGGGAAGATTCCTGTCGACTCAGAACGATTCAGGAAATGATCTCAGTACCTAAACGAAGATATTTAAGTAAGCTTTACACTGAACCAAACGGATCTCGATTCCGACGTGAAATCCATAAGTTATGGTCTGTTATTTATAACAAATCATTTGTTTCTCTGCGAACAGTCATCTTTCGCGACATATAACCGTCGACTCAGAATGATTCAGGCCACGATCTTGGTACCCATATGAACATCTATACGTCCTGTTTACACAGGACCAAACAGATCTCAATTCCGACGTGAACTATATAAGTTATGCTCTGTTCTTTCTGATAAATCATTTGTTCCTCTGAGAACAGCCATTTTACGGGGCAGATTCCCGTCGACTCAGAACGATTCAGAAGACAATCTTGGTACCAATACGAAGATATTTAAGTAAGATTTTCACATCACCAAACACATCTCAATTCCAACGTGAACTCCAAAAGTTATGCTCTGTTCGTTCTGACAAATTATATGTTCCTCTGAGAACAGCCATTTTTTGGGGCAGATTCCCGTCCACTCAGAAAGATTCAGAAGACAATCTTGGTACCAATACGAAGTATACTATGTTCTAACATTTCAGCTGGTTTTGTGGATCTTGAAATTGAGTAATCATATCTAAACATATTGTAGTATACTAACCATTAATTGAAAAGAATTGTTGGATTTGTAGATTGTTTCCTCGTAATAACTTTAGGCTTAGGATTGAAATTGACCACGATGCTAAAATCAGAGTCCGGTTAAATTTTCATTTGACCGCCAAAATTTTGGGAAAATTTCCCCCACTAATTGAGAGACACAAAAACGTGTGAAACTTATTAACCATCTCAGGCCGCCTCATATATATAACCGTTCCATCACTTCCTTTTTATTAGTGCATCGCAAAATATCAGAAACTAGTTTGTATTCCAGTTCAGAGATCTAACTGAAGGTAATTTTTACAACTCCTGGATTCTTAGAAACTGATCTCTACGTTAATTTAGAGGTTTTCCAGTTTGCATTGTGATCACCTTCCTATTGATCATTGATTGGTGTTTACTCCTGGATTTCGTTTTGTCTTCTTCATTAAAGTTTCTATCCGCAATTGTCTGTGGTCAAAGCTTTCTTTTTTTCACTACTCGGAGTCTTTGATTGGTGGTTTGTTACTTTAATATTTGGCTGAGAACCTAGGACTACAGATTACAAAATCATTAGCTTTTGTAAGAATTGTAAGTTTTCATTTGACAGATTTGGAGATTGATAACTTATGACTTTTCTTGTGTGTATTGTGAAGAGATGGAAGAGGCAGTTGTGGATCGTTCAGTTTTACCTATGCTGCATCCTTCTCGGGAAAATGGAGCCAAATGGTACGTAATCTCTTTCTAAAAACCATTGAATTTGTTCTTAGATTTATAACACATCAACTAATCTATTACAATGTAATAGGTTCAACCACGACACTCAAGTATCCACCGCTGTCAGAAAGGTCATTCAGAGCTGTTTCAAAGGCCCATATTACTCTTGGAAAAAAGTTCCTCCTTTCTACAAAGGAACTTGGTTTTCTCTTTTCAAGGTACTCGTCGTTTTGCTTAATATCAACTCTGAGTTTGTCATAAGTTATGCTTTTAATCTAGTAAATATTGTCCTTGTTTTCAGAAAAAGTTCAACTGGAATCCAGCTATCAACCATCAAGTTAAAGGAGAGTTTGATAAGCTTGCTGCTTATCGCCTCAAAGGAATGATAAGCGCTGCAAAGAAGGACGCTCAGAAAACAGGGGAAAAACCAGATTGGATCATGTCTGATGTTTGGGCCATTATGGAAGCTCATTGGGCAACAGCTAAAGCGATAGAAAAGAGTGCGAAAGCTCGAGCTTCACGAATGTCTGATCGCGGTGGTATAGGTCCATATTCCCACGTAGCAGGATCTCGTTCTTTTGCTAAAGTTCAAGATGTTTTGGTAATGCTTAAATAAATATTGGTTTCTTTATTGTTTTTAATCGTGATTGCTTTTATTATTTCACTCTGTTTTACTGTTTCGTTTGCAGGAAGCAAACAATGAGGACTTCTGTTTCTTTGCCGTGATGAAGAAAACACACCAGAAGGCAGATGGAACGTACTCTGATCAAAGAGCACGTTTAGTTGCAGAAGCTTACGAGAAGCATCTAGAAGAACACTTGGGACAGCTCGAAATTGCTGGGGAACAGTGGACCGCTGAAAATCTGGGCCTACGTGAAAAAAATGAAATTTATGTCAAGGTAAAGCTTTGAAACTGATCCTTAATTGAAATCTCAGTTGGATTTTATGAATCTGTCGAAGCCAACAATCTATGGCTTCATTACTCTTATGCAAAACCCAATGATTGCTTTTCATTTACTCGTTAATTACATTTCATTAGCTGAAAGTATTTCTGTATTTCTTTGAGTATTCTTCATTTGCTTATGCTGCATTTTAGAAATCTGTTGCTTGTTTGGTCGTTTTTATTGTCATGGTAGTGAAAGAGACTTTGGACTTGTGTAGCTAGTTGATTGACTTCGATATATTTGTGGTTTTTTTCTTCAGGCTGCTACTGGTGTATCTAACCAAGGCATCTTTGGACTTGGAGCACTACGTAGTGAGGTTTTACTAGCTGGCGAAGCTTCTTCGAGTGCACCACAACTTGAAGAACCAGAGATGTGTCCACAAAGGATGCAAGAGATGGAAACAGAGCTGAAAGAAAGCCGTGAAGAGAATCTGCAAATTCAGAGGAGACTTGAAGCTTTGGAGAAGAAACTTGAGAGTTTGGAAAGACAAAATGCCTAATTCCAATTCCATCATCAAAACCATTCACGTTTCCATAAGGCCGCTTAGGATTGTGTTTAAGTTTGTGTTTCTTTGTTTTGTTATGTTATGATATAGGATTTCCTTTTAAGTTATGATATTAGGATTTCTTTTAAGTTATGTTATTAGGATTTGTTTTCGTAAGTTTTCTTTGTTTTGAAATATTTTGTATTTTTAAGTAATTAAGTATTTTCTATTTTATTATTGTTTTTTTTATAATTTTAACTTTTATCTTTTGTTTTATAATTAAAAATGATGAATATTTATTGGTGACAATTAAGTAATAGTTCGTCACAATTTGTTACACATCTAGTAAGAAAAAGGGTAACAATTAAAAACAAATAGTGACTATTCTATGACTATAATTTAGTCACTAATTGTGACATATTTGTAACATTTTCCTGGTCTCATTTTTGTTACACTTTATTGACTAAAATATGGTAATAATTCGTGGCCAGCATGCTACCTTTTTTTTGTCAGAATTTGTGGCTTGTTTGTGACCAAAATTTGTCACCAATTGTGTCATTTCTGTAACTGTTAAATTGTGTCACAATTTATGACGAATTGTTACCATTGTCAATCGTAACAAACATTTGTGACGTTTTTGAGACTAAAAATGAGTTGTGACGAATTCATTGCTACGTTTTGTAATTCGTATCAATTTGGTCACAATAATGTTTTTGTGACGAAATATTATGATATTGTGACCAAAAAATGGTAGCAATACTTGTTTTTTCTTTGGTTCCGCATTGTTCTGGACACGTGTCCAGAAGCGAATGGGTGATGTTTTTTTTATTTTTCTCTCTTTCTTTTTTTTCCGCGACGAAATTTTCCCTTGGCACTTCGTCTCTTCTCTCTTCGTCTCTTCTCTTAGCCGGCGAAACACCATCTCCGTTCCGGCGACACGTTAGCTCTGCTCCAGAGACAAGGGTGTTCTTCCTCTTCTTCTACTTTTTTCGAACACACAAAGATAGAGAAAGAGATAAAAAAGACTCTGGTTTCATGGCCGAATCGATTTGGAGAGGATTTAGAATAGATAATCGAGATCGATGTTCAAGAGCCCCGGAGTTTACATGCATGAGGTTAGGTGGTGCTTTTAATTTCCATGATTTCATCGCTTCTAGTAGTATCTATTTGATTTGATTTCATAGTTAGTAGTTGAAATTCTGGATTTGATTCAAGTAGTGTCTCTGGATTTGATTTGATTCATGTAGAGATTGATCATAATTGTTTAGCTAGCGTTAGTCCATCTGAGCAATCGCGAGCTAGAGTTAGCCCATTTAAGTAACCGAAAACGCTTCCAATCTCTCCATCTCTCGCTCATAAATATCTCCTCACCTCTCTCTGTCTTTCTTCTTCTTCTTCTTCTTCTTTCATGGCTGTTACTGGCTCACCTATCACAATCTGAAATTCTTAACTCTTAATGAAAATGGTTTCTGTCATTTTCCTGAACAGTTCTTACACCCGCTTGGAATATTGGGAAAGATGGAATCGAAGCTGGAACCAAACTTTTACCTGTGAGCTCTCTCTGTCTCTCGTCTTT